CCACATATACAAACACAGAGACAATTTCAACCGAGAAGATGGATTATGGCTTAGGAATCATTGGAAGGTTTTGATAAACCATTTCGGGTCTTGATTGTTCATGCTTACGGTGGCATTCAGACCGCATCCATTATTTTCGTCTCCCCCCTCCTCTTTTTCGAACATAGATGGACTCGTCTATCTGAATAACTGCCAAATCGCTCTCCGTGGTGCTAACGTAAAAAAACGCCACTTTTTTAAAATTTTCTTGCTGTGGTTTTCACACCTGATGATGATTGCTTGTGTTGCAGTCGAAACGTCGTGAGAATGTTATTGTTTTATATTTTTATTTTATTGTTTCCCTTCTACGTGACTTTACCGAAATAACCAAGAATATGAATCACTGCAGTCACGAAAGCTTTAAATCAAAGTATCCACATAGTATATTTAAACAATGATTGTACACACAGCATGCACATATAATACACACAGCCTGCACAAGTCATACGCTGTAGTGTACCATACACACTGCACCTTGCACATTGCATACACACATCCTACAGACGTTACACGCCACAGTATATAGATGTACCACACTCACTGTTTGCGCATAGCTTACACCCTACACACAGCACGCACGTAGCACACAAATACCCCACTTGCAATTGCCTTCCACATACATCCTCGTCTGTTTACATATCACTACATAGTCACAATATATCTGTAAAATGTTTGTGTAACTTAATGTGTAATTGTACTATGATCGGTCTAACAATCATCTGCCCGAGCCAACTCTTATGCTGCAGGGAATGTATGATTTAACGTTGATTTATGTTGGCGTAATATTTTATATTTTTTTTATTCGGCAGAGCACTTGATTGTGCTCCGATTTATATTTGCTTCATTGCTATACTTTATTTTATTTGCTTTCGTCATTTTGGTGACCCGCGTAACTGTTGCAAATACGACGACTCGATACTATTGCCTTCTTGAGTTTTCACCTGGTAAAACAAAATAAACTTGAACTCACTCATATTCTTGGTTCTTTCGGTAAAGTCACGTAGAAGGGAAACAATAAAATAATAAAAATATAAAACAATAACATTTTCACGACGTTTCGACTGCAACACAAGCAATCATCATCAGGTGTGAAACTACAGCAAGAACATTTGAAAAAAGTGGCGTTTTTTTATAACGTTAGCACCACGGAGAGCGATTTTAAATCAAAATTGAGCTCACTTATTCACTCACCGTCTCACTCAAGACACTTGTTCAACCACTCACCCACCATCTGACTCACCATCTCGCTCACCCACCCACCCACTCACCTAATCACCCACTCACCCTACCTACCCACTCACTCTTACCAAATAGACTCATCCTAGTTTATATATGTCTCACCTGGTTGGACAAAATCAACGTGACTTGGGAACGACCGCTGGTTTGGATGATAAGTGAGAGCCCGAAGATGTATAGGATGGTCCAGATGTCTTGTGAACCCTAATTAATTGACCCCTGATAAGTATTTCCTTGACATATTCATTTATGTTTCAAATAAACCTTACTTAAAAAAAATGTGTTTTAGATATTTAAATGGGGGGGGGGGGTCACAAGACATCTGGAGCAGGAGAGTAGATCTCGGATCATCATTTTACCTGTGTGTGGGAATGTCCACATAACAAAGAGCTGAAGAGCCTCAGTGGAGTGTCACCTGTTATACACAAAGGTGTGCCACCGTCAGTTGACCTGATCACCCGGGATGCGCCCGATCTCGCCACAAACTCGGAAGCTAAAACAGGACTTTTGATCCTGGATAAATGGGTAACCATCATGGGCAAAGACCAGATACTGTAGACTTTGTGGGCAACATCCATTGCAGCAGAAGCCATTGTTGTTCTGCACTTATTTGCTTCCAACGTCTATCGTCGTCGCCTTCGCCAATCAGCACTGACCAGCGTGGTGAAGTATGGTCAAGTATCCCTGGGTGCCACGCTCGGCATGGGGGAGGACGTTATCCAGTAGTGGATGGACAAATCGGGTTGCCACACGTGCATCGCCAGCCACGTGCAGGGTCGTGCGTGCGGTGGGTGGCTTCGCATAGGAGCAGCAGTTTCATTAATAGTTCATCGCCTGCCACTTGAAATTGCATGTCCCGGGCTTTACTGCAAACAGCAACGTGATGTGCGCTTCTCGTGGTCATTTCAATGGAGCTGCGAGGAACCTGATGTGGTGAGATGCTGAGATTTTGGTCGGAGTCTACAGGTGAAGCAGCTCATAGGTGAGCCTACAGGTAAGCATTGTATGGGGGGGGGGGGGGGGGGGTGGGGGGCAAAGGATGGCTCAGCCCGGACGTTTTCAGCACCAAGGACAGCGGCTGAAAAACGGTCGTGGGGACGCGCGCGCTCCAATTTTGCAACAGACTTCAGAAAGGGTCGTGCCAAAGAGCGTACTTGCGTGCGATCAGTGCGCATTCGTGATGGAAGGGACTCACGAAAGTGCGCGGTAACAAGTGTTCACACTCGCTGTGCAACAGCCGTCTGCGACGGAGATGCCAGAGGCTCGGGTCTCTCACACACACACAGCCCGGGTCTCACACGCAGCACAGGTCTCACACACACACAGCCCGGGTCTCACACACACACAGCCCGGGTCTCACACACACACAGCCCGGGTCTCACACACACACAGCCCGGGTCTCACACACACACAGCCCGGTTTCTCATACACACACAGCCCGGGTCTGACACACACAGCCCGGGTCTCACACACACACGCAGCACAGGTCTCACACACACAGCCCGTGTCTTACACACAGCCCGGGTCTCACACACACACAGCCCGGGTCTCACACACGGCCCGGGTCACACACACAGCCCGAGTCTTACAAACACAGCCCGAGTCTCACAGACACAGCCCGGGTCTCACACACACAGCCCGGGTCTCACACACACACGCAGCACAGGTCTCACACACACAGCCCGTGTCTTACACACAGCCCGGGTCTCACACACACACAGCCCGGGTCTCACACACGGCCCGGGTCACACACACACACAGCCCGAGTCTTACAAACACAGCCCGAGTCTCACAGACACAGCCCGGGTCTCACACACACAGCCCGGGTCTCACACACACAGCCCGAGTCTCACACACACAGCCCGAGTCTTACACACACACACACAGCCCGGGTCAAACACGCATACAGCACGGGTTTCACACACACACACAGCCCGGGACTCGCACACACACAGCCCGGGTCTCACACACACAACCCGGGTCTCACACACACACGCAGCACAGGTCACACACACACAGAGCCCGGGTCTCACACACACACAGCCCAGGTCTCACACACACAGCCCGGGTCTCACACACACACAGCCCGGGTCTCACACACACACAGCCCGTGTCTCACACACACACAGCCCCAGTCTCACAAACACAGCCCGGGCTCACACACACACAGAGCCCGGGACTCACACACACACAGCCCGGGTCTCACACACACAGAGCCCGGGTCTCACACACACACAGCCCGGGTCACACACACACACAGCCCGGGTCACACACACACACAGCCCGGGTCAAACACGCATACAGCCCGTGTCTCACACACACACACAGAGCCCGGGTCTCACACACACAGAGCCCGGGTCTCACACACACACAGCCCGGGTCTCACACACACACAGCCCGGGTCAAACACACACAGCCCGGGTCAAACACGCATACAGCACGGGTCTCACACACACACAGCCCGAGTCTTACACACACAGCCCGGGTCTCACACACACACAGCCCGGGTCTCACACACACACAGCCCGGGTCTCACACACACACAGCCCGGGTCTCACACACACACAGCCCGGGTCTCACACACACACAACCCGGGTCTTACACACACAACCCGGGTCTCACACACACACGCAGCACAGGTCACACACACACAGCCCGGGTCTCACACACACAGAGCCCGGGTCACATACACACAGAGCCAGGGTCTCACACACATACACAGCCCGAGTCTCTCACACACACAACCCGGGTCTCACACACGTACACAGCCCGAGTCTCACACACACACCCGGTCACACACACACACAGCCCGTGTCTCACACACACACAGCCCGGGTCTCAGACACACACAGCCCAGGTCTCACACACGTACACAGCCCGAGTCTCACACACACACCGGGTCACACACACACACAGCCCGTGTCTCACACACACACACAGCCCGGGTCTCAGACACACACAGCCCGGGTCTCACACACACACACACAGCCCGGGTCTCACACACACAAATCCAAGGCAGCGAGGCTCCAGTGTTGAGCTCTCTCACGATTCCTCGAGATCTCGCGACTCCCTCATCGCCGCGTCTTCCAGGGATTTTTCGAGCAGCGTGCAGAGGACGCGTATGTACTGGTGATCCCCGCACTCATTGGCTTACACCTGGCGACCTTACATCTTGCCGCAATTCTCCCTCCTTTCAGCCGGCGATCCCATTCATCCCACACTACAGCTGGCGGTCAGACACCCCCAGCTACACCTACACCTGGTGACCTCCCGACCCATATACCCGGTGCCCACACCCGGTGACCCTCACAGTCCTCGTAAATCCACCCCCTTGACACCTGGTGACCCCTCCCCGCCCCTCTCTCCGCCGCTATATGTCCTTCACGCTCCACCCCACCCCCCTTAGCTTCGGTTGGATGACCCCGTGACCCGCTGACCCCTTGTGTGACCTATGACCGTCTAGCTGGATTACCGCACGACTACCTAGATGACCCCTTTGGTTTTGATAGACCCCGAACCACTCGGTTGGATGCACCGCTAGATAGGTGACCCCCTGGTTGGATGACCCCCCTCATCCCCCCCCCAGGTAGTTGGGAGGGGGGGTGAGGGGGCGGGGTGGGGGTGTCTGCGCATACCTGGGTGTCTACTTCACCTGGGCGGTGGGGGCAGGGTGGAGGGGGCGCGCAGGGGGGGGGGGGGGGTGGCGGTATGTGTGAATACCTGTGGGTACTTTTGTAGAGTCCCGTGTGTCAATCCGCTGCTGGATGAGTAGCGCCTCCCCACGCCGTGCCGTGGGGGGCAGGGCGTGGTGGGTATTTTGACCATACTTCACCGCGCTGGTCAGTGCTGCTGGGTGAAGGGCGCGCAGAGTGCAGAACTGCGCCGAACGCTCCGCCCGCTCCGCTCCGCCCGCCGGCTCTCACTGCTGCCGCGCTTGGGTGTTTGCCCATCCACGCGCTATCCAGGATCAAACCCCGCTTAGCTTCCGAGAGCTGACGAGGTTGGGTTCGTGTCGGGTCATTTAGCCTGGGCACACGTGGGCATTCTCCATCGCCCACCGTGGTGCGTGTCTGCGCTAAAGCAACGAGTGTGTTCAGGAGCGGTGGCACAGCGGTTAGCGCGCCGCGCCGCGGAGCGAGAAGCCCGTTTCGAGTTAGATTCGCGCTCACGACGCGATGGCCGTGACAGCGAATATTTGAACCCTTTCTGGGCCTCCCCTGGGACGATTCAGCCTTAAATGAGTACGTTCTGGAGCAGTGTGTGTAAACATCGCCACTCGGGAGGCAAAGGCAGCCGGGCGTGGTGCTGGCCACCCACCCCCTCGTGTGCCGTGCCGGCCTTCATAGGTGCTCGCTAACAGCACTTGCCCCAGCAGTCTGTTAAGGCTACACGGGTGGCATTTGCCTTTGTGCGCGTCTGTACCCATGTGAGTACCACGGCACACTAGTTGGTGCGGGCAATCCCACGCACGAACGCCTTTGTCTTCCCCGTACCGATGTATTAGACACTGCGAAAGGTTATTCGCATTGTCATCGTTCCTGTCCAGCAATGTAACTTTGATTGCCGAGTTCGTAGCGCGGTGCGCTAACCACTGCAACGCCACGTGTGCCATGCCGGCCTTCATAGATGCTCGCTAACAGCACTTGCCCCGAACAGGTTGTTAAAGGCTACACGGGGGATTTTCGTCCTTGTCTCTATGTGGGTATACATATGCAAATATCAATACGAACGTATCTTTGTTTCAGTCTACGCGTGCCTCGATGTGTAATCAGTAGTGTGTACGTGAACCGGCATATCTGCATGTTAATCTCAGTATATGTTCGAATCTATGTGTTGCATCTCTATATATCTAACGATACACAGTATGTGTCTGTGTGTCTCTGTGTGCTGTATGTGCTTGTGTGTATCTCTCTCCCCATGTACATCCCAACATCTCCCTTCCGTGTATTTCTCCCTGTGCACCCTTCTATCCCTCTCGCTCCTCGCTCTCTCTCCCCGTGTAGCTCTCTCCCTCCCATATGTACCCCCTCACTGTACCTGTGCCCCTCTCTCTCCCCGTATATCTCTCCTCTTATTATTATTATTGTACCCCTCTCTGTCTGTCTCCCCCTCTCTCTCTCCGAATATCCGCGGTATGCCTCGATGACTCCCCATGTATCTCTCTCTGTGTACCCCTCTCTCTACAAGTCTATCTCTATATCTCTCTCTCTCTGTCTCTCCCTCTCTCGATGTATTCCCATCCCCATGCATCTCTCTCCCTCTCCGTCCCTCTCTTTCCCGTGTATCTCTCTGCATATCTCCTGCTGTGCCCCCATCCCACGTATCTCTCTCCCTCTCTCTCCGAGTGTCCCCATCTCTGCCTCTCCCCATGTCTGCTCATCCCCATGTGTTTCTCCCTCCCTCCCTCCCACTCTCTCTCCCATGTTACCCCTTTCTCTGTATCTCTTCCTCTCTCTGTGTCTCACCATCCCCATGTGTTTCTCCCCCCCCCCTCTCTCTCTCCCGCGTGTACCCCTCTTTAGCTCTCCCTCTCCCCATGTCTCCCCATCCCTATGTATCTCCCTCTCTCTCCCTCCCACTCTCTCTCCCTCCCCATGTACCGCTCTCTTTCTCTCTCCGCGTACACCCCCCCCTTCCTCTCTGTATCTCTCCCTCTCCCCACGTCTCCCTGTCCCCGCGTATCGCCGCCGACACCCCGCCCGCCGCCCCCGTCTCTCTCTCCCTCCCTCTCGCTCTCTCCCGTGCAGGGTGGCACGGGGCCCCCGCTCGCTCCCTCGGAGGGAGTCGGAAGTCCCCGCGCGCTGACGTCAGAGGCTCCGCTCTGCGCTCCTCCGAGCTCCGCTCAGCGCTCCTCCTCCTCCACTACCTCCTCCTCCTACTCTCTCTACCTCTCAACGTCTCCTCGCCGCCGCCTCGCTCCTAGAAGCTCCACAGCGTCGCCTTCTCGCGCCGCCCGTGGCTCCAGATGAAGCCCCGAGTATCCGCGGGAGGAGAAGCAGGAGGAGGAGGAGGTGGTACGTGTGCGTGATGCACCCCCCCCCTCCGCCTCTCTCTCTCTCTCTCTCCAGGGGGGCGCGGAGTGGCGAGACGGGGCCACGAGGGCCGTGCGAATGATAATGTTGCTACTGCTGATGCTGCTGCTGATGTTGTTGCTGCTGCTGATGCTGACGATTGATGCTGTTGCTGTGTGAGCGAGACGAGGGCACCATAGCGATGATGTTGCTGCTGCTGCTGATGATGATGTTGCCGACGATGATGGCCAGCGAGATGAGGACACGAGATGCGATGATGCCGATGATGCTGTTGCTGATGATGGGAGGGAAGATACGCGGAGAGAGAGGGGGACAGCGGCCAAGGAGCCCAGAGCACCGCAGACTTTAGACGTGCGTGGTTTCTGGCGGCGAGGGCAGGGGGAGACAGAGAGACAGACAGCGGCGAGACAGGATGGGACACAGCGAGACGGGAACATGGGGGTGGGGTGGTGTGGGGTGAAACACGAGCAGGGTGAGACAGAGAGACAGAGAAAGACGGGGGTGTGAGACAGGGGGAGAGAGACGCGGACAACGGACAGGAGGAGACAGGAGTGAGACAGGGGGAGACATGGGTGAGACAGTGGGAGACACGGAGACATGGGTGAGACAGGGGGAGAGACGGAGACATGGGTGAGACAGTGGGAGACACGGACTGGGGCACGGCGAAGCGCGAATCCTGGTGCAGAGAGGCCTTGCGCCCTTACTCCCTCTCACCGCTACCCCTACCCCCAAGCCCCTATCCCTCCCCCGCCCCTACGCTTACCCGCACCCTCCATCCCCACACCCCTAACCCCACCCCTCGATCCTCGCTGCGGCCCCCCTCCATGCTGCCGCGGTGATGTGCGCCCGGGGGAGGAGAGGGGCGGGAGGGAGAGATGGGGATGGGGGGGTGGTTTGGGGAGGAGGTCTGGGCAAATCCTTCAGCGTCTCTCGGAGGCCACCCCCTTCGTGTCGCCGTGTCTGCCCCTCGGTGTCTGCCCACGATCGTGTCTGCTCCATTTGTCTCTTGCGTCTCGCGTGGTCCGCTCCCTCGTCGTGGCTCCCGGGAGGGACCAGCCGGCCCCTAGACCCGTGTCTCAGTGTCTCTCCCCTCCCTCTGTGCCTCTGTCCGTCACCTCCTCCCTCCCCGTGTCTCTTCCCACCCACCCCTCCTCTCCCCTCGCCTACTCCATGTCCCTCCCACACCTCCCTCTCACCGCAGTGTGTAATACAGTAACACACGTGTACCCCACATACACGTGCGCACATACATGTACAGGTTAAAACTCGCGCATACACACACACGTACACACTTATACGCTTATACGCTTATACGCGCTTACACGTATACGCTTATACGCGCTTACACGTATACACGTATACACAAAGACAAAGATCCCCTGTGTAGCCTAAACAGACTGTTGGGGCAAGTGCTGTTAGCGAGCACCTATGAAGGCCCCGTGGCACGGCACACGAGGGGGTGGGTGGCCAACACTACGCCCGGCAGCTACTCATTTGAGGCCGAGTCGACCTAGGGGAGACCCAGGACCGGTTCAGATATAATCGTCACTGGTGTTGGTGGCCGTGAGCGGGAATCGAACTCGGGTCGCCAGGTTCGTAGCGCAACGCGCGCTAACCCCCTACACCACCGCTCCCCTACACACACACACTGACACGTTCACACACCCCGCACGTGAACACCCGCGCATGTGCTCGCCCCGCCCGCCGCCGCTGTTGTTGTTGAGTGCAAAGCGAATGGGGAGGAGGAACGAATCGGGCCGCGAAGGGAACCTGCCTGCTCCCATCGCTTCCTCTACTCCCCCTGGTCCCTTGCTCCCCCCCCCCCACCTCATGCTTTAGCCCCCTCTGCTGCCCCCTAATCTCCTTGCTCCCCCCGTATTCTCCTGCTCCCCCTTATTCCCCCTGCTCTCCATTGTTTCCCCTGCTCTCCATTGTTTTCCCTGCTCTCCATTGTTCCCCCTGCTATACATTGGTGCCCCTGCTCTCCATTGTTCCCCCTGCTCCCCCTTGTTCTCCCTGCTCTCCCTTGTTCCCCCTGTTCTCCAATGTTCTCCCTGTTCTCCAATGTTCTCCCTGCTCTCCATTGTTTCCCCTGATCTCCCTTGTTCCCCCTGCTATCTCTTGTTCCCGCTGTTCTCCATTGTTCTCCATGCTCTCCCTTGTGTCCCCTGCTTTCCATTGTTCTCCCTGCTCTCAATTGTTCCTGCTCTCCATTGTTCTTTCTGCTCTCCATTGTTCTCCATGCTCTCTTCTCCCTGCTCTGCCTTCGGCTTTCCCCTGCTCTCCCCTGCACCCTCTTCTCCCCGCGGCTCCCTCTTGCTCCTGGTCCTTCTCTCGATCTCCTCCCAGTGCTGAGACACCAGGCAGAGCTCACAGTTGGGTGGAGTGAGTTCGCATCCGAGTTGCAGGTCATGGCCACGGAGGTGGCCTGCCACGATTGTGGTTACGTGGGTGGTCATGGATGTGGAGGGTGTCTGCACCTGTGTGTGTCCTTTGTGTGCGGGGAGCGGTAGCGCTACGGTTCGCATTACTGCGCTACGAGAGACCCAGCGACCCGAGTTTGAATCCCCGCTCGCAATCAACAACAGTGGTGAATATTTGAACCGGTCCTGGCCCTCCCCCCTGGGTTGATACAACCTCAAATAAGTGCCTGGTACTTAGCGGCTCTTGCCCCAGCAGTCTTGTTAAGCCTATACGGGGGACATTTGTCTTGTGTGTGTGTCTGTACTCGCACGCGCGCGGCTGGTGTTTCAGGGAGCCCGTAGTGCAAGTGGTAAGCGCACCGCGCTACGACCTCAGCAAACCTGAGTTGGAATCCCGGCCAGAGCTAACATGGGTGGCTAGTGATAACTTAACCGGAACCCTCGCCCTGCCTTTAGCCCTAAAAAAAAAATTAGTTCGTACCCAGTGCGGTGTGTCAACAGTGGCCCGCACTTCGGAGGAACTGGGCGTGGTGCTGTCCACACCACAAAGCCACGTGTTTGTTACAAGGGGATGTGAGTATGAGAGAGCGCGTGTGTGTGTGAGAGAGAGAGACTGTGCATGAGAGCGGTGTGCTGTTGCCGTGCGTGTGAATGCATGCGTGTGTGTCAAAGAGTTTGTTATGAGTTGTGGGGAGCGGTAGTGTAGCGGTTAGCGCGCTGCGCTAGGAGCCCGGCGACCCGGGTTCGATTCCCGCTCACGGCCAACACCAGTGTGACGATTATCTGAACCAGTACCTGGGCCTCCCCTAGGTCGACTCAGCCTTAAATGAGTATCTGGTGCGATGTGTAAATATCGCCACCGGGGAGACAAAGGCGACCGGGCGTGTTGCTGGCCACCCACCCCCTGTGTGCCGTGCGAGCCTTTATAGGTGCTCCCTAGCAACACTTGTCCCTACAGTCTGTTAAGGCTATACGGTGGATCTTTGTATTTGTCTTTGACTGAGTGATATAGTCTGCGTGTGTGTCACGTTTTGGGAACTCAGCTGCACGAGTTCGATTTCAGACCACGGCTGGAAATCGAACTACCATCAGCGGCAATTAACATCGCACCTATCGTCGATCCAGTCTCAAAGTGAGTAACTGGAGCGATGCGTAAATATCAGCACTGGGGAGACAAAGGCGGCTGTGTGGCGTGGTGTGCTTCCACATTTCCCGCTAACAGCACTTGCTACGCTTGTAGACATGCCTGCGAGTCGTGAGGATGGACCGTACTTCAACTCACCGGTCGCAACATTTGCGAATTGAGAATAGAAGCTTCGCGGTGGAGTACAGCCAGTGTGGCTTTTGCTGCCACTTTCACGTAGCCCCACGGGACGCTATGAAAGCCTGTCTTTTTTGTGAACGGGTCACCCACCCACCGATCCGTCCAAGCAACTATCGAGGCTCACCCCCCCTCTCGCAATCGCCCAGCTTCCGAGATCTTTTGGCGATCGGGTAGGTCAGAGGAGCGCGTGGTCGAGTGTGCGACCGCGTGCAACTTGGCTTCGACGGGGCACGTGGCTTGTTGGTCAACTCAACTGTGCGACAAGGACGAGAAAGGGATGGGAATGAGAGGTGGGGGTGGGGGGGGGGGTGTTATGCGATGTTACGCGTGTCTGTCGGTAAGGTGCGCGTGTGTTTAAGTGGATTAGGGTGTACGTGCAAATAGGTGCTCGCGAAAGGCACTTTGCCCCCAACGCTCTCTTTAAAGCCATATTCTTCATCAGTGCGTGAGGGCCGCCACACACTTGAAACCACTGGGGGGGGGGGGGGGGGGTGGGTTGACAGCGGCACGATGATGATGATGATGTTGGGGCGGTGTTGTCACGTGCTGTGTATTGTGTCGGGGGCCCGCACGTCAGGGGTCGCACTAAAGGTCACCAGGGGCCGCAGTGGCCCGCGAGACTTGCAATGTCGAACTCTGGAATTAAAGGCCATGTGGGGATATCTGTCGTTGTATGAAAGCGCGTGCGGGACCGGTAGCGGTCAGCGCGCCGCACTACGAAATCCGAGTTCGATTCCCACTCACGGCCAATACCAGTGGTGTACGTGCGCACGTTGGACTTCTCGCGCACCGTACGTAGCCAACCGTGCTAATCGGAGGTCGCTGTCTGAACCAGCCCTGGGCCTCCTCTCTGGCGCGGCGTGCAAGCGTCAGGATTGGGGAGACAAAGGCAGCCTGGTGTGGTGCGTTGGGCATGTGTAGGTTTTTCGCTAACCGGACTTGCCCCAGCAGCCTGAGTCGGCTATATGGGGGATTTTTTTTGTCTTGTGTGTATATATAATAAGTAATTGAGCGTGACTGCGTTTTTGCTGTCTGTGGGTGATACAGGGTGTGTGTGTGTGTGTACAGATGTTAGTGCCAGGGAAGGGGGTGAGCCAGGCGAGTTCAGAATCAATGTATTTATACTGGAGGAATCCGATGAGCTATAAAGCTCCTTTTTTCACAGGTACCGGGTAGGGAGTGTTCGTATCTTACCTATTCACGCCTCCATGCATTCTCGAGCCCCTGGCTCATTCAAAATCCCTTGCAATTACTCACACCTGCGCATCGACTCACACCTGCACGTCGAATCACACCTACGTGTCGACTCACACCTGCGCATCGACTCACACCTGCGTGTCGACTCACACCTGCGTGTCGACTCACACCTGCGCATCGACTCACACCTGCACGTCGACTCACACCTGCGCGTCGACTCACACCTGCGCGTCGACTCGCACCTGCACGTGTACCTGCATCCTTTCTTATCGATTCACCCACACACCTACGCAGCACTCATATCTAGGACACACATGCACACCTGAACACCTAAACATCAACACACCTGCAAACTGGCATACATACATATCCATCCACTTGCACACCTGTATATCAACACACCTGCACATATACATTCATACTTGTACACCAATAAAAAAGACAAATATCCCCCGTTGTAGCCCTAACAGACTGTTGGGGCAAGTGCTGTTGGCGAGCACCTATGAAGGCCCCGTGGCACGGCACGCGAGGGGGTGGGTGGCCACCGCACCAGGTACTCAATTCAGGCCGAGTCGTCCCGGGGGAAGGCCCAGGATCGGTTCAGACAATCGTCACTGGTGTTGGTCACGAGCGGAAATCGAACTCGGCTCGACGCCGGGTGAGTAGCGCAGTGCGGTAACCTCTGCGCCACCACTCCCCACAATTCACCTGTGGAGGCACACACACACACACCTGCGTGCCTGCCCGCTCACACACACACACCTGCGTGCCTGCCCGCTCACACACACACACCTGCGTGCCTGCCCGCTCACACACACACACCTGCGTGCCTGCCCGCTCACACACACACCTGCGTGCCTGCCCGCTCACACACACACACACACCCGTTCAAGCCTGGCAAACCTGTCCAACGCCCGCGCACGGGCAACGTTGCTAATGTAACCCTTCTCGGGAAACCCCAAGAGCAGTGGGTTCTCAACCGGGGGAGGGGTGGGGGGGTACGTGGAGCCCCCCCCCCCGGGGTACGTGAGGTGGCTTCATGAATGTGTGAAAATTTGTCACTGGTGAATAATCAGGTGCGAATATGCCAATCTAAAATAAGTACGCTAACCATTTCATCCATATGGTGACCTGGAGCGATATCAAAGACCTTGATAAACTCATCGATCGCGTAAACAATGCCGGGTTCCAAGGGTAACCGGCGAGCGGGAACTAACTGCAGAACGTCCGTCGATTTCGTTTTTATTCGCTTCCAGTGAACAGCGAGTCAGTGTCCACGCTCACAAGTTGGACTCTTGGTTAAAAACATTGACGATCATTAATTCGTACATTTATTTCTCAGAACCACGTTGGGGGTGGGGTGGGGGGGGTATCAGGAAAGGGGGACACTCGGTTGTAACGAAATTCAACAAGAGGTGGGGGGGGGGTAGCAAGTAGCCAACACAATGTTGAGTATCACTGCCCGAGAGGGGTCGGCACAAGTCTGTGAGTGCGAGCGGTGGTGCAGCGCTGCGCTGCGCTTCGAACCCAGCGTCCCGGGTTCGATTCCCGCTCACGGCCACCAGCACCGGTGACGATTATCTGAACCGGGTAACTTGGGCCTCCGCTAGGTCGACTCGGCCTCAAATGAGTACCCGGTGCGGTGTGTAAACATCGCCACTGGGGAGACAAAGGCGGCCGGGCGACCTTCATAGGTGCTGCTCACGAACAGAACTTGCCCCGACAGGTTGTTGTGGCTACGTGGGGGATCTTTGTCTTTGGTGGTGCACTGCGCTACAAAATCACCGCCCGCGACCCGAGTTCGATTCCCGCTCACAGCCACCCCCCCCCCCTAGGTCGACTCAGCCTCAAATTAGTACTTTGATGCAGTGTGTAATGAACTGGGGGAGACAAAGGCGGCCGGGCGTGGTGTTGCACACCTATCCACCCGCTCGCATGCTGTGCCGGTCATAAGTAGGTGCTCGCTAACAGCACTTGCCCCAAAAGTTTGTTGAAGGCTATACGGGGGATTTTTGTGCGCGAGTGAGTGGTGTGTCTATTAATATTACTACGCCTCTTCGCCCTGGAGATCCTCATCGAGTCTCGAGACTCAGGAGGGTCCCTGCCAATTCAACAATAATTTAGTACCGTGTTAACAATGTATAACAATTAAACAATTATATTCCAATTATTGGTTTGGAGGCAATCCGAGTTGCTGCTGCAGATCTATGGACAATTTATCGATTGTCGAGTAAGCTATGGGGGATCGTAATCGATTTTTTTTGATCGACGGTCGATTACTCGGGCACCTTGAAAAATGGCATCACCCCCCGCCCCGCCAATCCGGCCTCCCGAAGACGGGAAACCCCCCTACAAGACACGCCCAGTGTGACATCATCCACAAAGCCCCGCCCGATCACCTCCCGTCCAGCGGCACACGTGGGAACGGAGGTGGGACTTCCTCCCCGCCCCCCCACCAATTATTTTCCTGTTATCCGATTGCGGTCGAGTAATCGAACCGAATTCGATAGAGAAATCGATAGCTCAAATAATAATCGGATTAGAGTCCAGTTCTGCACTGCTGTATCCATGGGAGTGGTGCGAGGGGGAGACGAGGGGAGTGACGCGGGACCGGCGGTCCCTTCTCTTGACCCTGCGCCCGTCTCGTCGGCCACAGCGATGCTGCTTCAGCAGTGAGCGGCGGCGGTGGCAGTGGCAGCAGGAAGACGACGACGAGGACGCGGAGGGGGCCCTGAGATGAGCGACCCTGGCACGGCATCGCCCGGCCACCTCACCTCCTCCGAGCCCAGCTCCGGGGAGGACAATGGCATGGCCTTTTCGCACGGTCAAGGTGAGTCCACCTCTACCCCCCCCCCCCCACCCCCCATCGCACGTTCGCTCACGCTCGCCCACGCTGCCCTCGGTTATTTTATGGTGGACGATTGCACGCACCCACCTGATGTGTGTGTGTGCGCGCACGTGTCTTGATGTGTGAATGTGTCTTTGTTGAATGTTTTCGTGTGTGAATGGCAGCGGATGTCTCGCTCCGGATCAGCGAGTGGCATTTTATTTTTATCAGCTGCGTAACGCTGTGTGGAAGCTACCTAGCCTCATGCTCCGTATGAAGCTGTGGGTATTCCCTTCGTTCTCTGTGCTTGCAACGCGCGGTGTCCGCTAAAGGATCATCTGTGCTGGTTTGAAATATAAAGGCTGGCCTTCCGACGATCCATCCTGGGATTAACCAAACTGGACAGTGTGAGGAGCTCACATATACTTGAAAGATCTGGACCCAGTTCCTGCGGTGAGCTACTCCGGCAAGGCGAGGCTGCGTTGGGTGGGTCACGTAGCCCGCATGCCCAGCCACCGCATGCCCAAGCAGCTTCTGTTTGGCTGGAAAGAGCGGGCTAAATGCGCGCTGCAGGGCTAAAGATCAAACTGACTGATGTTATACAGAAGTTGACTGTACTTGCCAATGACTGGCACCAGCGGTGTCAATATCGGCGTCTGTCGAGGAGGCTCGTGAAGGACGCTGCTGTTGGGCAGTTGTAGGCAGTCGCCCTCCAGCAACAACCGAGGGCAGAGGAGCGATGCTCACAACAACGAGCGGCTGAATATCAGCAAGTTGGCACAGTGGGGTGCAAATTCTGTTATCTTAGTCAAGATATGGCACCTGGGTCTGTCCTGTGACTTGTGTCTTGCCAGCGAGCCTTCGATACTTCACGTGGCCACAACGTGCACCTAGCCTGGCACAAGTGGCATGGTGATGTAAGCGCTACATCGTGGCAAACGGAATTTTTGTGTGAATGTGTGACTTTTTGTCGTGAATATGTGCATGTGTGAATGTGTCTGTGAGTGTGTGAATGTGTGCGTGTGTACGTGTCTGAATTCGTTTGTTTGAATGTGTCACCGTGTGCGTACACATGTGTGCCTCTCGGTGTTTAGTATGTGTTAGTGCACGTTTTGGCCTTCATAGGTGCTGTGACTGGGTGAATGTGTTTGGCTGTGTGTGCCTGTATAATTGTCTTTGTGTGGGAAGCGTAGCGGTTAGCACGTCGCGCTATGAATCCGCAGGCCCGAGTTTGATTCCCGCTCACGGCCAACACCAGGGACAATTATCAAAACTTGCCTTGGGCCTCCCTTAGGTCGACCCAACCTCAAATGAGTACCAGGTGCGTCGTCTAAAACATCAGCACTGGGGGGAGAGAGAGGCGGCCGGGCGTGGTTCTGGCCACACCAGCCCCTTCGTGTGCCGTGTCGTTCTTCATAGGTGGTTGACATAACAGCACTCGTCCCTCCAGTCTATGCGGGGAATCTTTGCCTTTCTGAGTGTGCCTTTGACTGTTTGCTCGTGAGATTGTGCGCAACTGCGTGACACATCTTGCGTGCATGTGCTTGAGAGGAGAGTGGCGTGTGCTGTTGGGCGCTCCCCAACATCACTTACCTCCCTACAGCCTGCTAGGACTATAGGTATCTTTGTCTTTGGCAACGTCTGTGTCACACACTTACATTATCCCCTGCGCCGGCTCCCCCACGATTGAGAGGGGATACTGTGAGATTGCGAGGGGGAGCATGGGATACTGCTCGGGGGGGATACTGTTAGGGGGGGATACTGTGTCCCCTGTCACAGTATCCCCTGGACTCCTCTCACAATATCCCTCTGCACGCTCCCACGGAAGCCGATTGTTGCCACTAAGCCCAGGAGCGGAGATTACGTGCCCCCTCCCTCCCACTCCCCTTCCCTCCTACTCCCACTCCCTCCAACTCCCCCCCACCCCCCTCCCGCCCACTCCTCCTCCCCCCTCCCTCCCACCCCCCTCTCTCCCTCCCTCTCACTCCCCCCCACCCCTTCCCTCCCACTCCCCCTCCCTCCCTCCCACTCCTCCTCTCACCCCCCCCCTCCCTTCCTCCCACTCCTCCTACCCCCCTCCCACCCCCTCCCTCCCTCCCTCCCACTCCTCCTCCCTCCCACTCCCGCTTCCCTCCCACTCCCCCCTCCCTCCTCCCTCCCCTCCCTCCCACTCCCCCTCCCTCCCACTCCCCCCTCCCCCTCCCTCCCACTCCCCCCTCCCTCCCACTCCCCCTCCCTCCCTCCCACTCCCCCTCCCTCCCACTCCCCCCTCCCTCCCCCTCCCTCCCACTCCCCCCTCCCTCCCCCTCCCTCCCACTCCCCCCTCATTCCCACACTCCGTCCCACTCCCCCGCCCTCCCACCCTCCCTCCCACTCCCCCGCCCTCCCACCCTCCCTCCCACTCCCCTGCCCTCCCACCCTCCCTCCCACTCCCCTCCCTCCCACTCCTCCTCCCACCCCCACTCCCTCCCTCCCACTTCTCCATCCTACTCCTCCTCCCTCCAACTCCTCCTCCCTTCCACTCCCTCCCACTCCCCCCTCCCTCCCACTCCCCCTCCCTCCCACTCCGCCTCTCTCCCCCCTCCCTCCCCCTCCCTCCCACTCCCCCCTCCCTCCCCCTCCCTCCCACTCCCCCCTCATTCCCACACTCCGTCCCACTCCCCCGCCCTCCCACCCTCCCTCCCACTCCCCCGCCCTCCCACCCTCCCTCCCACTCCCCTGCCCTCCCACCCTCCCTCCCACTCCCCTCCCTCCCACTCCTCCTCCCACCCCCACTCCCTCCCTCCCACTTCTCCATCCTACTCCTCCTCCCTCCAACTCCTCCTCCCTTCCACTCCCTCCCACTCCCCCCTCCCTCCCACTCCCCCTCCCTCCCACTCCTCCTCTCTCCCCCCTCCCTCCCACTCCCCCTCCCTCCCACTCCCCTTCGACCTCCCCGACTCCTCTCCGTTGCCTCCTCCCCCTCCCTCTCTCTTGCGGAATGAGCTGCAGAGTCAAAGTGCAGCTCCGTCTCCTCCGCTATGACTCAGTGTCCGCCACGAATGGCGGTGGGGAGGGGGGTGGTAGGGGTGGGGTGGGGTAGAGCAGGGGTGGGGTGGGGGGGTAAAGCAGGGGTGGGAGGGGTAGAGCAGAGGTGGGTTGGGGGGGTAGAGCAGGGGTGGGGTGGGGTAGAGCAGGGGTGGGCGGGGGGATGCAGGCGGATGAGAGGGCAGGGCGCACGAGTGGGTAAAGAGGAGGAATAGGAGGAGGAAGCATTTGCTCACACGCACACACGCACGCGTGCGCGCAAGGGGAGGATGTGCCCTGGCTGGCAGATGAGCTCAGGCTCAAGGGCGATGTGGGGCGATGGGGTCCCCCCCCCTCCACCAAACCCCATCGCCCAGCCGCCTGCCACCCCCCCCCCCCCCCCCCCACACGGCACGCCATTCCCCTCCCCAACATCCCCGACGTGCCTGGCTTCATTTCCCACGGCATATTTTCCTGGTCGTCGCCGCCGCTAGACGAGAGTAGGTGGCACATGCCTTAGTAGCCCACGGTTCCCTTAGCGAGACAGAGAGAGGTGGGGGATCATGATGGATGTGGTGTGCCGGGATGATATTTATTTATTGCCACAATCTTGCAGCAGCACCGGGATGGGGGGTTGGTGGGGTGGCTGCGCCACGGATTTCAGATTGAGATTCTTCTTAACGGTGGTGACGACGGCGTCTCGAAGCCTCTCGGTGACGCCGAGGAATCCTTCGGGCTCGGCTTTTGCTTGCGCGGCAGACACACAGACGGACAAGGCAATGTTGCCCCGTGTAGCCTTAACAGACTGTCGGGGCAAGTGCTGTTAGCGAGCACCTATGAAGGCCGGCACGGCGCACGAGGAGGTGGGTGGCCAGCACCACGCCCGGCCGTCTTTGTCTCCCCAGTGGCGATGTTTTTACCCACCGCATCGAGGTACTCATTTGAGGCAGAGTCGACCTAGGGGAGGCGCAAGACCGGTTTTAGATCATCGCAACTTGTGTTGGTGGCCGTGAGCGGGCATCGGACACGGGACGCCGGGTTCGTTGCGCAGCATAGCGCTCACCGTTCCACCACCGCTCCCCAGACAGATAAACTCGGGCATTGCCTGTCCGTCCAATGGGGGCGCACCGCGTAAATCACGCGGTAAGCAGATGCGATCGCTGATGGCTGCGCCGATTTATCGCCCAATTGCCAAATAAACAATAGGGACCGAAGGGGGAGAACGGTGGGCGACTGGGGCCTCGAACTGTTGTGGGAGGCGAGGAACAACGGCCGCGATGAGTACATGGACTTGCCTCTGCACACACTCTCCTACCTCTACCCCTCTCATCTCACTCAACCCGCCCCTCCACACACTCTCCCCCCTCTCATCTCACTCCACTCGCCCCTCCACACACTCTCCTACCTCTCGTCTCACTCCGCTCCCCTTACAGCAAGGATCCTGGGTTCGATTCCCAACTCGTGCACCTTTCTGTGTTTGTAATTTTTACGTTTCTCCCCCTGTTCTGTTTCAGTTTCCTCCCATAGCTAAAATAACAAATATAACACAATGTAACTTGTTTTCGCCAAACAGCCCAGTGATGACAACTTACACGCGCACATGACTCAAACTGTGATCACGCACGGAGGCGACATCGCCCCCTCCTGTGACGAACTTGCCAGGGCCCTCCTTCCCGAGACTCGGCGAGAGAGAGGGGAGAGAGAGGCCTTTTCCTGGGCAAACAAGCCGACCAGAAAATTTGTCTTGGAGGGCTCGGAGTGGCACTTTGCCATCCATGCGTCGGCTCTCACGACACTGCACGCTGTCTCCCCCCCCCCAAACCCCTTAACCCCGAGTCACCCGGCCGAGCGGCCGAACAACAGCTCCTCCAGCTGTGGCTCTCGTCCCAAGTGCACCAACGCAGCTGCGTCCAATTTGCATTCATTCACCATCAGCATCATCAGCAGCAGCCATGGTCAATCCACTGCTGCATGAGTGTCTCCCCCCCCCCCCCACGCTGCGCGGGTAGTAGGTGATATTTCACCACACTACACCACGCTTAGTGCGAGGAAGGGGGGCATAGATGTTGAAACGGAGTACAGTACAACTGATTTTTTTTGCTCTGTCCTCAGCTGACGATGTAGGTGCACAGCAGGCCTGTGGCACCCATTGCACGCATGGAGGTCAGTTCATCCACCTAGCGCTTATATCGTGATCCTGTGATCTATAATCTAATCATCCACCCGGCATGAGCCGACTTCATCGCTCCCATCTCTCTTCGGTGGACGGCTTCTCGGACGCATTCCATCCCTCGGCTTCGGCTCCGTCATTATTCGCAACCCTTGGCGGTCGTCTCTTCTGGCCGTGACGCATCCTGCCCTAGGCCTCGCTGACCTTTCTTCAAGATAAAAATTTGGACGTTAGCCCAGTGTACGTTCTTTCATCCCACGTGTCCGTCTTTGCGTCTCTCGATGAATTCCGAGCGTGCGTTTCTCCACACTTCTTTGCGCACTGTTTCAAAACACCTTAAGATAATAGCGCCTGAGTGAACAACGATGCAACTTAGTCTACCTGCGATCACCGGACTCTGGGAAATCTCATACAAAGAAACCCAGAGATGATTTTGACTCCTAAGTCACGTGGCATCCACTTCAGCCTTAATTGAGTTCCATATAAAACCACAGACCACAAGCCCAGAGGCCCAACTTGTCAAGCGGAAAGCAAAGGGCACTTTTAAATCGAGCGAGGTTATTATTGTAGGAGCTTGTGGGGGGGGGGGAGGCGATGATGGGAGGGAACTTTCCAAAGTGGAGCGGTGCGCAGGAAGAATCAGAAAGAGAAGCATTGTGACCTGCAGCATGGTGGTTGAGTGAGTGAGCGAGTGGGCGAGTGGGCGAGTGAGTGGGTGAGTAAGTGATTGGGTGAGTGGATGGGTGGCTGGGCGAGAGGGTGGAGAATTGAGTGAGTAGATTAGTGAGTAAATGAGTGGGTTGGTGAGTGTTGTATTAACCTGCATGGAGTATTGGTGGTTGGAGAGTCTTTCTACAAGTATTTAGATCCCAGTGGGATTTTTTTCTACTCGGATGAGCATTGGGCAAATGGGGTAGCACTTAATCTCAAGTTCAGAGCCCACAGGCCCAAGCCACGGGCGGAAATTCCACATTCCTATGGCTGGGCAGGGTGAGTTTTCTCTCCCCAGGACAACTTATCAACAATTTTACATCCCACAAAATTGTACGCGTTTTACCCAACACGGGGAGATGATGACTACGGGCCGCCTCGCTGTCTGGTCGCAGCGTCACCAGGCGAGAGGTTCAGCGACAGCGAGTCTTCCACCCTGACCTCTGACCCCGCGGAGGGAGGGGTCGCGCCGGGGGCCGGAGTTCGCGGCCCCGGGGCCACCAACGGCTACGGGAGCCCCGCGCCGGCCTTCACGGCGTTGGCGCCGCACGCGCAGCGCGGGGTCGCCGCGGCCCCGAGCGTGGGTCGGGGCCCGGGTCGGGGGCCGGGGCTCACGGGGCACGGGGCCCCCCCCGAGGAGGAGGAGGACGACGACGACGATGAGGCCCCGCGCGGCCGGTTCAAGTTTTCCCGCGCGGCGCCACGGGAGGTGCGTGCTTCTGCCGCATGCCACGCGCCGTCTGGTGTGCGCGCACATGTGTATGTGGGAGCGAATGTGTATGTGGGAGCGGCGGTGTAGTGTGTAGCGCTACGCTGCACTACGAACCCGGCGACCCGGGTTCGATTCCCGCTCACGGCCAACACCGGTGACGATTATCTGAACCGGTCCTGGGCCTCCCCTAGGTCGGCTCAGCCTCAAATGAGTACCCAGTGAGGTGTGTCAACATCACCACTGGGGAGACAAAGGCGGTCGGGCGTGGTGTTGGCCACCCACCCCCTAGTGTGCCGTGCCGGCATTCATAGGTGCTTGTTAACAGCACTTGCCCCAACAGTCTGTTCAGGCTATACGGGGGATCTTTGTCTTTATCTTTGATCTTTATGTGCGTGTGTGTGCCTTTGGAGTGGTCGTGCAGCAGTCAGCACGCCGCACTACGAACCAGATTATCTGAACCGGTCCTGAGCCTCGCCTAGGTCGACTCAGCCTCAAATGAGTACGTGGTGCGGTGTGTCAAACATCACCACTGGGGAGACAAAGGCGGCCGGGCGTGGTGCTGGCCACCCACCCCCTCGTGTGCCGCAGTGCCGACTTTCACGGGTGCTGCTCGCGAACAGCACTTGCCCCGACAGCCTGTTAGAGGCTACACGGGGGATCTTTCCTCGCTCGGCTTGTCTCTCCTCTCCTACGCGGCAGCTTGGGGGAGCTCGGGGCTGTGTTCGACCGAGCGGCCCCCCGGGACCCGGTGGTGGCGGCGGCGGCGGTGGGGGTGGCGTTCGCGAAGGTTCCTTTGTGGGGGGCCGGGCCGACGATGACGAGGACGATCACGACGACGGCGACGACGGGGAGAGGCTGGCGGAGAGCGACGGCGTCGACCAGGAGAGGCTCAAGGCCTTCAACGTGAGTACGGCCGCGCTGGCTTCGCCACACGGTTCACTCAAACTGACCCACAGGCTGACCCTCAGATTGACCGACAGACCGCCACACTTATCCTCACACAGATGTTTGATCCTCACATTGACCCTCGGGACTAACCCTCTGACCCCCAGACTGACCCCCAGACTGACCCCCAGACTGACCCCCAGACTGACCCCCAGACTGGCCCTCACATTGACCCTCGGGACTAACCCACTGACTCTCAAGACTGCCCCCCAGACTGACCACCAGACTGACCCCCAGACTGACCCCCCGACTGACCCCCAGACTGGCCCTCACAATGACCCTCGGGACTGACTCTCAGACTGACCCTTGGACCCTCACACTGACCTTCAGACCCTCAAACTTTACCCTGGGACTGACGCCTTGGATGGGCTTCAACACTGACCCTCGGATTGACCCTCACACTGACCATCACTCACACAGACGTCCTTGTGCACACTTGACAGCCCAGAGATGATGCAGCCTCGGGCTGCTCGAGGTGATCTTGAACCACGGCGTGGAAACGAGTTCCCCGTGGTCGCCCACGCAGACAGATCAGGCACGAAATGAAGCGCAGATCGCGAGATGCCGGGAACCCGGAGGGCGACGCGAGTTCCCGTAGACTCGCGTCGCGCTCACGCTCACGCCCGTGCACGTCTCGGTTCTCTCGTTCTCTCACTCGTTGCTGAGAGGGGACAATTCCGCTACCGTGTGGACTCATAACTCATAACCCCCTCACCCTCGGTGTGGCGTGTGACTGAGTGTTTGCACAAAAAGCCTCAGCTGCTGGAGCGGAGAGAGTGCGTGGAAGGGAGTGGAGTGAGATGAGAGAAAGACAAGAGTGAGTCCATCACTCTTGTCCATAAAACAAAAAAGCCCCTTTTGCTGAACCAGTTAAATTATTTCCTTCACTGGTATTGATATAAATCTCAGCACAGAGCGTAGAAGTCACTGCCTTGGAGTTGCGTTGCAATATCTGTAATGTAGCAATTGGCACGTTGTCCTAGGGGAGAGTCGGGCCCAGTTGTCCCAAACCGTTGAGAGAATCTTGAGCTCCTCTCACGGTCGAAGGTCATCGGGTGGCTCAGAGGTCAGAGCTCCGAGCTGTCACCATTAAGATCCTGGGTTCGTCTTAGCCCCGGTCACAACAAGTTAAATTTCGATCTTAATTTGGGCTTCATTGCATTTTCTGACAATTTAAATTGACCATACTCTTTGGTTCTTTTGGTAAAGTCGCGTAGGTATAAAATAAAATAAATCATGACGTTTCGGGCGCAACACAAGCGTCCGTCACCAAAGAGTATGGATTCCTGCAGTCACGAAAGCTTAAAATCAAGATAAAATTGACCAGTTCGACGGTAATGCGACGATATCACTGGGAGAGGCCCTTGGGACAACGGTGACGCTGACGGTGACGCTGACGCCGCTGCCGGTGCCGCGCAGATGTTCGTGCGACTATTCGTGGACGAGAACCTGGACCGGATGGTGCCCATCTCGAAGCAGCCCAAGGAGAAGGTGCAGGCCATCATCGAGTCGTGCCACCGCCAGTTCCCCGAGTTCCAGGAGCGAGCCCGCAAGCGCATCCGCACCTACCTCAAGTCCTGCCGGCGCACGCGCAAGCACGGCTCCGAGCAGGTGGGGGCGGCCGAGGAGGGCACGCGCCGCAAGTGCGCAGCCACCGTGAGTGCCGTGCGCGTCCGAACACCCCCCACCCCCCCCCCACCCCCCCCACCTCACCCGACCCACCAACCCCCGCGCCACAAAACATTCCGCGATGCGGCCCGAGAGAAACCCGCGGCGTAGGCCGCCGGCCGGCCCCCTCTGCTCGGCGACGAAGACCCCCCCGTGCGTAGCCTCGACAGTCTTGCGGGGCAGGTGCCGCGAGCGAGCTCGTAGACTCGCGCGTGGGTGCACGCTGCGCTCGGTCGGCGCACGCGCGCCTAAGCCTATGGTTAGCGAGCACAATCGCACACACATCGTCGGCACGCGCACCGCACGTATTTACACTGTCAGCACACAGACAAAGATCCCTCGCGCAGCCTCGACAGGCTGTTGGGGCAAGTGCTGTTAGCGAGCACCTATGAAGGCCGGCATGGCACATGAGGGTGTGGGTGGCCAGCACCACGCCCGGCCGTCTTTGTCTCCCCAGTGGTGATGGTGACACACCTCACCGGGTACTAATTTGAGGCTGAGCCGACCTAGGGGAGGCCCTGGACGAGTTTGGATAGTCGTCACTGGTGTTGGCCGTGAGTGAGAATCGAACCCGGATTGCCAGGTTTGTAGCGCAACGCGCTAACCGCTACACTATCACTCCCCACACACACACATTCATCACGTGCACACTAAACTATTTTATTTACCAGGTAAAGCCCACTGAGCTATAAGTTCTTTTTCAGAGGCGACCTGGCCAGCTGGCTACCTGGCTCATCGAAGTGGCTTATATCATTCCGTTCCACGCACCTCCGACGAGCAAAGTTGGCTACGTACGGTGCGAAGGAAGTTCAACATACATACAAAGGATCATCATCACACGTGGGAATTTATAACAGCCGCCAAATAATATGAACGCGTGTTTTTTTTAATGTGGAGGGAAAAACCCTGAGGAACTCGGAGAATGACGCATGAGCCCACCACGGGGACAGGGAACACGAAAATTCCAAACATGCAATGGGCATCATCAGGGTGTGGGGTCTAACCCGTGACCTCCTGCACACCAGGCGAGGGAGATAACATCTCGCCGCCGCAGCAGCACACACCTCGCACCCCCCTTCCACGCCGCCCCCCCTGCCCAGACCCACACAGAAAAAACTTCCCTCACCAAAAACTTAGTGAGACACCAGCTGCCACTCCTCGCTTCATTTCGAAACTATTTTGTAGCTACCCATCGATGCGAAGCCCCCGCACCCCACGCGGCCTTGGGAGAGGTGCCCAGGGCAGCCGCCCCACCCGCCCAGGCAGTGGGGGGTGGCGAGGGGGGCACAGGGGTGTGGGGTGAGCGTCGCGGTGACCCCGTGATTTTTGCCGGCACCTGCAGTCCCGCCCGCCGCCGGCCCACCTCACGTCGGCGCTCGCCGAGACGATCCTGGCGGCGGCGTGCGAGAGCGAGAGTCGCAACGCGGCCAAGCGAATGCGCATCGAGAGCCAGCTGCAGGTACGGGCGCCGCTCCTCCTTCTCGTCCTCCTCGTTCTCATCGGTGCCATCGTTTTCCCAAGCTCCAAGTAAAAAAGAAAAAGGACAACAGAACGTAAAAGAATCCCGGTAATCGTGCAATGCGGGGCCAAACGTTGAACCGTTGGAGCAGCGTTGGCCCGGCGCTCCGTGCTTACCGGGATGCTGATCTGTGTCTCCGCTTAATGATTACAACGTAGAGAACAAGGCTTCTGGTTGATAACTTGAGAGGCCAGCGCCAGTAAAAGGTACAGCACTCATCCACTGTGGTGAAGCCTCGCTAGTTGTGTATGTGTATTCAGATGGATTCAAATTGTCTTTTTAGACCAGTATTACCCAAGCAGTGTTTTGTTTTAAGCAAGCAAACTCTGGACCAGTAGCGACCTTTTGGGTCTCATTAGCCAGGTTGTTAAAATAATGCTGCTGGATTAATTACCAGATGTTTTTTTAGGAATAGCACTCCATAAAAACGATTTACTCTTTCAAAAGTGCAGTTAAGTTTGCCTGCCTGCTCGGTATGTTGGGTCTTCGGACCTGTGCTCAGCAATGGTGATATTATTTTAAAAAAACAGCATCCTGGCCACAAATGACAATCGCGTTAAATTTGGTTCCGCACTTAATTTTGGCAAAATTTCAGCTCCGAGAATGAAAATATCCGTTTTGCCCATCACGTGGTGAACCTGTGTGGTGCTGCATTCTCATCAGATGAGCACGGTTGGCTACGTACGGTGCGAATTAAGTTCAACATACATACATGTGGTCCAGAGGTAGGTTACGCGAAGGGATCTCTCAGAGGTAGCTCTGTGACGTCCGCTTCCGTGGAGCGTTCTCCAACAACAACGAAAGGTGCTTGCGCCGCTCTGCGAAAAAACCCAGCCAGCAGAATTCGTTTAACAAGCCCCGACTCTGCTGATGAGACCCAGCAGGTCGAAACCCAAAAAGGGATACCTTGTTGTGCGACAAGACGCCAATGGAGCAACCGGCGTAAATTCGTGGTTTTAAAATTACGACAGCAAAACCCAAAATAGAGTGGCGACGCGAAGCGGCACAGAAGCTAACGGAGGCCGCCGCTCGCCCACCTTCCTTCTCTCCCTCAGGACGAGGCGGCGGACATGCACTCCCAGCATGCCTTGCAACCGCTGGACGTTCTGCACGCGGCGGTGGCGGGTGGCGTCGGGGGCGGAGGAGGGGGCCACCCGCCGTTTCCGGCCGCTCCGTCCCCATCTCCGGCCACGTTCCTCCCGGACCCGAGCGGCCTGGTGAACGGGGCGGCACGCTACGGCCGCCACGCGTACGCGGGGCTCCCACCCCCACACGTGTCCGCACTGCCGCCCCCAAGCATCCCCAATGGTGAGGATCCCCCCCCCCCCACCCCCCACTGTTTATACGTTTGCCATTTATTTAGAGTTTAACATTGAATGTTTCGTGGCCCCCCTAGGTTTTTGTATGCCCCCCCCCACCGCCGCCCCACCCCTTCAACACTTAAAAGCAAGGCCACGCTACAGGTTTGCCCGCACCCCTGCCACCCACAGGCCCCACCGACCTGAGCGTGAAGAGGCCGGTGAACGGAGACGCTGGGGTCCCGGAGGGGGGCTCCGCCGCCGGTGGGGCCAAGGGTCCCCACCCGCCGCTGACCCCCGGCTCGGTGGGGTGCCCCACCTCGGGCTCCCTGCAGCAGCAGCAGCAGCAGCTGAGCCCCGTGGAGGTGTCGGCCGTGAGGCAGCTCATCGCCGGGTACCGCGAGTCGGCCGCCTTCCTCCTGCGATCGGCCGACGAACTCGAGAACCTCATCCTCCAGCAGAACTGAGAGTGGAGGGAATCGCCGAGGGTGGGGGTGGGCGGGAGGGGCAACCGGGCGGGGGGCAGGGTGGCTGCCCCTCCCGTGGGGGCGGTGGGCACCGGCCGGCTGCGTGGGCCGAATTTTCTGGAGACAACGCGAGCGTGTGGCGGCTGGTGGTTCGAGCTTGCGGTGGCGGCGAGCGGACATGGCACCTTTGACCTTTGCCCTTCGGGCGCCAAAACGTCTCGGGGAGGGGGGGGGGTGTTGCCACCTGTTCAGGTACACAACGAAAAAGAAAGGAAACCGCGACTGGCCGCGGGACAAAGAATATCTTCGCAGTACCCGGAGACGGGAGAACTGCGCGGTAAATGCGTCGTCTTGAGTGGACTTGAAGACTCGCACATTTTCCCAGGACGGCTCTGTCAAAAAAAAAAGAGGAGGATCCTGGGAAATCCAGGACAGGTGGCATCGTTAGATCCCTAGGGGCACCAGTGGTGTTAGAGGGTTGGTTGGCATGGCAAACTGGTGCAGGGATTAAATGTGGGAGGGGAGAAGGGAGGGGGGGTGCCCTCACCCCTGTCCAAATTCTCACGCCCCTACCCCTTCTCTTCAGAGCCTTCGGCTTGGCTCTCCTCCAGCCCGTGAGCCCTCCCTGGTTGCTGCTGCACCGTCCACGTCCACACGCTCGACATTTACGCCCGGGGCTTAATTTCTCGTCGAACATTTTCCGTGTCCCTGGTAGACTGGATGAGGCACGTGACTGTCAGTCACAGCCATAGCGAGAGGAATGAAGAATGATGGATGTGGTTTTCTGGGCACGGAAGTATTCTCTTGGGTCAGCGACCCGGACGGACCCAGCTGATATTAAGCCCTGACTTCGCCACTGATGAGCACGCAGATCCCAAGCGCGCACGCGTGCGCGTGTATGCATGCCCACGGACGTGCACACAAACACGCACATATATACACGCATATACAACAACCGCCAATCACCAAACGGCTGTAATATCACCGCGGTGCTTGTGCCAGACTAGGTGAACTTATAGGGCACGTGACTGTGTCGAAGGCTCGCTGGCAGGAAGTCACGGGACAGAACCAGGTGTTACGGGTTAACCGACTTGACTGGCAGACGCACTTTGCCTGTGCTCCCTACTGTGCCAACTTGTTGTGTTGCAGCGACCTGGTTGCTTTGCTCATTTCTGTGGGAGTCGCTCTCCGTCCCCTCCGCGGTTGTTCGAAGGCAGTTGCCTCCAACTGCCCAGTAGCATCCTTCATGAGCCTCTCGCACACACAAAAAGACAAAGATCCCCCGTATAGCCTGAACAGACTGTAGGGGCAAGTGTTGTTAGCGAGCCCCTATAAAGGCCGGAACGGCACACGAGGAGGTGGGTGGCCAGCACCACGCCCGGCAGCCTTTGTCTCCCCAGTGACGATGTTTTCACATCGCACCAGGTACTCACTTGGGGCTGAGTCGACCTAGGGGAGGCCCAGGACCGGTTCAGAAAATCGTCACTGGTGTTGGCCGTGAGCGGGAATCGAACCCCGGTCGCCAGGTTCGTAGCGCAGGGCGCTAACTGCTACACCACCGCTCCCCACATACATACACACGACCACACACACACCTACTCGCCAAACTGCACATGTACGCCCACACATGCGCATATGTTTTAAGTGCTGTTAACGAGCACCTATTAAGGCCGGCATGGCACATGAGTGGGTGGGTAGCCAGCACCACGCCTGACTGCCTTTGTCTCCACAGTGCTGATGTTTACACAGTGCACGAGGTCATCATTTAAGGCTGAGTCAACACAGAGGATGGCCGTGACCGGTTTAGATAATCGTGACTCATGTTGGCCATGGCTGGAAATCAAATTCAGTTTACCGGGTTTGTAACACTGCACCAACCACTGCACCACCATTCCGCACCTCCGATTTAGCGCGGTTGGCTTCGCACGGTGCGATAAAAGTTCAGCATACAGACATTCCATCCACGCTTTCACACACACTCGCGCGCAACATTCAAGGCACCCACCCCCCACAACTCCAAGGGCGCCTCACACAACCGTTAAGGTGCCCCCCCCCCCCAATGCCCACCCATTCCCTGAGCCTCCACTGCGCGATGCTGGGGATTGTGGGAAACAGAGCAGTGGACCGATGGGATGGCGACTCGAGCGCGGCGCCCATCTCTGCGGAATCGTGCCGGGGCTTCTCGGGCAACTTCCTCTCCGCTCGCCACTGACCTACTTCTCCTCCTCGCGACAGCTTTGAAAGCGCCGTCGCCCGAGCAGAAGCCACAAACCCCGGAGCCTCTCCGCACCCCCCCCCCCCCCCCCCCCCCCCCCCCCCCCCCGGCGCGGCACGGCGATCCGTGACCTCGTTTCCGCGACGCGGGTGGAGGCACAGGGGAAGAGACTCCTGCCAGCGCCACTGCTTTCGTCTTTGCGCGAGGACCCCGGGGGCCTCCCCCGAGGGACATTGGTCGCAGTAGACATCGGGGTCTCGGTTAGGGACACTGCTCACGGGACCGTACTCCCCTTCTGTCGGCACCACGGGAACCAAAACTCTGCCAGGCGGCCCACCTGCAGGCGCCGAATCCCCGCATGACGGCGCGGCGCACCGCGTTAGCGCGACAGCGACGGCCCGTGCCGTCTCGGCAGTCGCCGCGGGAGGAAAGGGGGACCCCCCCCCCCCGCCTCCTCCTTCACGGCTCGCGGATTACGCACTCGACCCGTTTTGAAGTTCGGCAAACGTGAAACACGCGCGGAGTGTGGAACAACTGTTGGACAGCACTTCGAAGTCGCAACATGGAACCGGAGACTTGTTGCTTAAAATAACCTCCGCCACCCCCCCCACCCCCCCACGAACATGGAGCCTCGGGCTTGGCTCTCCGTGCCAAGTGGCCGTAGCGGCAACATAACGGAGGTCGACGAAAAAGAAAGTGGAAAGCGATCAACGATTTGTGAACCCGGATTCACGACAAAAACCGTAAGCGGCAAAAATGACCGGCGGGGGGGGGGGCAGCTCGTGTGATCAAAAACGAAACGACTTCGCGAAGAGTTCGGAAACACGCCGCGGTCGGTTGGCGCGACGGCCGCGGACAGATTCCCGCTCGAACCCTGGTGCCAACTGGGAAGCCGTTTCTCTCTGTGCGTGACTGCGCTGCGGTGGCTTTTTGTTGTTTTGGAGAAAGTAACAAAAAAATCACGAAACGCTAAAATTGTAAATTCCACCGTTGTTGCTCAAGAGATTGGGCGTGCTCATTCATTCGGGTTGCCACCTCCGAAAACAGCGGGACGTTGTCATTGGGAAGATGGACATCTCACAATACCGGAGGAGGGCAGAACGTGTTCACGTATAGTCCCGAGTGGCGAATGGTTACGCAACTGACAAAACCCAGGAGTGCTTAAGTTAGAGATTACACGTTTCCCTGGACAGCTGCCACCAAACGAGGATGACCCTGGGGGAGAAAAAAAAAACCCAGGACAGGTGGCAACCCTAACAGTGATCAAGTCACGTGGCTCACCGCTGCACCCAAACCCACCTCGCTTCATGTGGTTGCGAAGCGGCCGTGTCCGAAGATTTCCCCAGGGCTTCGTGGTGGAGATTGTGAGTCCGCTTTCAGAGGTCACTGGGGTCGCGTCGGCGAGAGACGGTCACCTGATGCTGCAGCACTCAGCCGAGTCATCTCATTGCTCCCCGAGTCCACTTTCGAAAGGCCGTAGCGCAGCGAAATGGAAGTGCTGCAAGCCACTTTTGAGTAAAACCGTCGGTGCTTCCCCCCCCCCCCACCCCCCGTCAGCCAACGAGAACTGCGATCGACTCCCAGAAACGATGCCAAATCGAAAACGAACGCCAAGTCCGAGGGAGCGATCCTCACGTGCTGAGCGGGAACCGCTGCCGTGGCGGTGCGGAGACACGGGGGGCGGTGGGGGGGCGCGATGGCTCCCAGCGTCCCGAGCAGGCGACCGCGCGTGGAATACCGCGCCAAAACACGACAACGCGTGGAAGGGAGGATGAGCGCTCCAGCCGGGTTTGCCGCTCTTGCTGCGGCTCACCAGAGCGTGGAGGACTCGGGGAGAGCTTCGACCGCGAGCGCCCGGCTTCGGATGTCACCGCGACTGCCACCGCGACACCGGGAGGCGAGGGACGCTCGCGGCACGATGGCACGTGCAGACGGTGCTTGTGGGCTGTCGACACGGCTCAGCGGCGGTGGCGTTGGGAGCGCAGGCTTCTCAGAGTGTGTCCCAAGCGTGTGTTGTCGCTGCCTGCATGTGATGCCCATTCGCAGACCCACCCCTCCTATCGCCCCAACTCTCCAACTATCCACCATGGGGCTTCGCTCGTCTACCCACTGCTTTCACGCTCACCACAGTCACCTACCCGCTGCTGACTCGCCACACTCACCACATCAACCCACCACTCTCACTCACCTTCGGACACACCCACCGCTCACCCACGTCTACGTGCTTTAGTCACTCGGCACACCTGGGGCATCCATCGCACCTACCCACTCGCCACACTCGGCCACTCGCCATTCTCAATCGTTCAACCGCTCCACTAACCCCATCCGCCACGGCCACCATACTCAGCCAACCGTAGTAGGGTCAGCCTGCCATCGCTCCACGATGCCACGGGCTCTGCTCCACGCACGTCTCAGGTTCAAGCGACCGGGCAGCAGCGTCTGCCTCGCTCCCATCTCATCCACCCTGCTCGGTCGTTTGTTCACTCATCCACTCACAGTCCCTCCCACGTTCCTTGCAAACGGATTGTTTTTTTGTACTTTACTTTCGGTGTCACCGAGCGGCTTTAACAGCTTCCCTTCTGTAAAGTGCACGAGCATTCCTATGTCGTGTTCTTTTTGTTTCTGTTCATATTTGAGCAGCTTTTCTCCGGGCCCGTGTCAACACTCAACGAACCCGCGCTCTATTAACATCTGGGCACGATGTTTGTCCTCATTTCACCCAGACGGCGGGGGCAGCCGTTCACGATGTGAAATCGCGGCCACTTAAAAAAAAAGTCATCTCTCTCGGCGTGCCACCACATTTCCTATCTGTCCAGGAAATGCCTGCATTTGGATTGGTTTTTTAAAATCTCCGTGCCCCAAACGCCGGCGCTGCCAAAATGAGCACGGGAGATTGCTGCCAGCCGGGACTGCCAGCACCACTGGCCCCGTCATCGCGACCCGCACTAGCTCAGCACATGCACAATGTTGCCGGGGACTGGTACCATAGCGACATATACCGCCGGCGGCTCCACCACCGACGGCAGCAGCCGAGTACCAACAACACTCATCAGCAGTGGTAGACCAACACCATACACCGCCACCAACGCCTTCCTCACCACAGCACCGTCATCCCTCAGCACTCGTACCAACACTTAGATATGCCACCACCGACACCTTGGCAATAGCATCTTCACCACCAGCTCGGCACTACTAACACTCGCAAAGCACCATCGTCGCGAACCGGCAGCGTCACCGGCAAGTTCCTCCACTGACAGTGGGCCCTCTGACATCACCACCAGCACAGATACCACCGCCATCACAACCACCGCACCTTTGATTTAATCGAATCTTGGCCACTCAGATGTTTTGCTGAAGTGAACACTGTAACGTCTTTAAAGGCGCATTTTACTGCTCTTTAGATTTTAGGTTTTCCGCAGCCTTGATTACAATTTATTTTAAAACTTGATCTGGGTATGCCACCACACAAGTGGTCATTCCCGAATAAAGTAAAAACAAAGAGAATTTATTTTTATTTCATCTTAAGATTGTTTAAGAGTTTGCGATATCCAAAAAATGTGCAATAGCAAAGGCATGCCTGGCGAGAAGTGCGTTCGCTCAAGTAACTGTATTCTTACAAAGATAATATATGTTGAATTTGCACATTTCTGCGGAATGCAATTCCTGTGTTGTGTTGACGGCACGATGCATTTATTTACGTAAAAAAAAAACGCTTGATAATTACACCTCATCAAATGTTGAACTTCTTTCGCACCGTACGTAGCCAACCGTGCTAATCGGAGGTGCGGGGGAAGGACAACAAACTAAAACGCAAAATAAATGAGTTTTCGATCTAGATTTAAATGTGCATAGCTCCCAATAGGTTTCCAACTCGCGTGTCAACAGCGCGTTGCTGAACAGGGGGGTGGGGGGAAATGTCAAGTGAAATCTCAAAGAAAATTTCACGACAAACCCTCGACTTCTCCGCCAATGGAAAACCAACTTGCTTCTCCCATTCGGTGTGTGCGCGCGCTGTCCACCACGACAGGCAAACACCAGCCGGCGGAATTATAGCGCCGCTCACAAACAACAACAAAACAAGAGAGTGTGTGCGTCACGACAACTCCTGGGGGGATAACAGCTGCGGCCGCTTGTGTACGGCAGAAACAATAACAAAGGGCTCAAAACAAAAAAAACACAAACCCACGCGCACACCACAAACCCACGCACACCACAAACCAGCGCACACAACCCCACGCGCACCACAAACCCACGCGCACACCACAAACCCACGCACACCACAAACCAGCGCACACAACCCCACGCGCACCACAAACCCACGCGCACCACAAACCAGCGCACACAACCCCACGCGCACCACAAACCCACGCGCACCACAAACCCACGCACACCACAAACCCACGCACACACGTACAGCGACTGCGGTTTGGGATCGTGTTCGGTGTTACCGTTTGGTCACGCGTCATCGTCATCACGGCACGGTGAGCGGAAAGGTGGAACTAAAAAATGTCCCGGGTTGCCCACCACCTATTCCCCCGGACCTCCGCGTGACATCGCCAGCATGTCCTTACCCCGGGCACGACGGAGATAATGGACTCGCATTACAATAACCTCCGACCCAGACCCCTCCCCCCAAATAACTGAATGTGCCAGCTTCTAGGGGGAAAAAATCGTCAATGAGCACGTCCCCCGCTTCATAAGAGATGGGTTGTTCCTTCTGATCCTCCCAAGGGACGAAAAAAAGTGTTTAGAAGCATCCGAGAGAGAGGAGGGGGGGGGGCTCTGTTGACACCGTTAACCTTTCAAAACATATCACTGTTTGAGGGACGGTGGGGTGTAACTGCTGTTATGGCCGTGTCGTGGGGGGGTATTCCACCGTGCCCCCCACCCTCCCTGCAGTTTGCACAGTGTCGGTTTTGCCTGTGATTTGCTCCTTGTGATGTTGTTAAAAAAGAGACCTCAAAAAAGTCTGAAGATGTCCATATCATACACACCGTGGCTGAACGGCGCCAATAAAAAAAAAACCCGCGTGGTCAAAACCCGTTGTGCGTTGTCGCTCGAATCACAATCTACATTTAAAAAAGGGTTTTTTTAAGGTAAAGGCGCACAGGTGGTACGGCAATCAGCCCAGGTGGAGGCCCCGAATTCTGCGATTTGTCTCGCGCAGTCGCACCCAGGCTATTCTCTATCGCAGCCACGCCTTGCCGAATCGCATCATCGGTACGCTCACGGTCTTCAACATTTCACGGTGTCTCGGGGCGCTCCGATTTAAATCCGTGTTTGCGTTCTTTTACACGCTGTTGCTGAAAACGTCTCTCATGGTGATCGTCAAGAGGGCCCCAACTCGAAGCTTTGGCCGCACACGGAGGGGGGGGGGGGCAAGGCACCCCCTGCCCCCACGCTCGTTAGGGTACTGGGTGCAGCCCTGCAATTTCCTGCTCAGGCCACTGCTGGTGGAAGGGCCTCCTCCAGATCGAGATTTGAAGAGATCCCCCCCCCCCCCCGCGGGGGTATTTTGGCCTACTTTTCCATTTGTAAGAGGTGGGAGAACCCAGAATGTCGCTTTTTTTCTGCTGTTCGCGGCACATGGCATGAAGCCAACCAAGCAAAAATCGAATGGCACCAAGTCGCGCAAGGGGTCACCCCCCCCCCCCCCCCCCCTCCGGATTCGTGAAAGAAAATGAAAATTATGGGCGAGTCAAATAGCATCTCTGAAATTGAAACTCTTAACAAAAGAATGCACGTATAACAGTGCATTAATCTCTCTTTTATCATCTCGCTACAGCTCTATTGTGTCTTACATTTCTTATCGCGCTCCGGGGCTCTACCTCTGGTTTACATCCTCAATCATCTCACGAGGATTTTATACAACGGGAGGAGGGGGTGGGGGGTTAGGGAGAGAAGAAGGGACACAAGTTCTAGGGGCCCCCAGTTTGACCGTCACCATCACCTGTGGTTCTCGTGGGGGGGGGGGGGGGGGACACACGTGGCTCAAGACATCAGCAGGAGGGACACGCGAAGAGCAAGGGACACTGGGACCAGACGCTTTAATATATACTGCACTCCTTGTTTCCTTTAAACAGTAAATGTGCAACACAGATATCATGAGGTGAACTGACCGTCTACTTGTAGAATATACAGATACATTTTTAATTCCTATTACATCGTAACAGTTACTTGGTAATTTGTTTCCATATATTTTTTTTTTAATCTTAAAACATAAAACTCTTGGGCAAAAATAAAAAAAGCAAATCGTGCAAGCAAGCTTTAAAATATAGTTTCTCTACACGCAGCGGTTTTTAAGAGGCAAGTGCAATCACATTGGGTCTCCCACCAGACCAACAATTTTACACAATAAGAGTTATCCACAACAACAACACATTTTTCAAATCCCAGCCCCTGAATTTCAGGCTGCCCCAACAGCGCCGGGCGGATTGACACACACACACCACTCACAGTGGGGCTAGGCCCGGGCTGCCCCCCCCCCACACACACACACACACGGTGGGGCCAGGCCCGGGCTGCCCCCCACACAGCGCCACTCAGTGGGGCCAGGCCTGGGCTGCCCCCCACACAGCGCCACCCACAGTGGGGCCAGGCCCGGGCTGCCCCCCACACAGCGCCATTCGCAGTGGGCCAGGCCCGGGCTGCCCCCCACACAGCGCCACTCACAGTGGGGCCAGGCCCGGGCTGCCCCCCACACAGCCCCACCCACAGTGGGGCTAGGCCCGGGCTGCCCCCCACACAGCCCCACCCACAGTGGGGCTAGGCCCCGGCCGCCCCTTTCTCGGATGCTCAGAACCACCAATGCCAACCTAGACGCACCCCCAACCCTAGAGACAGGTTAACACACGTGGCTCACTCTCACTTCAGGTTTGTGCGAGTTAACATGGCCAGGTGGCTCAGCGGCAGGGCGAGCGGCTCGCAATAGGAAGGTTGCGAGTTCACATCCTGGTTGGGGGGTTGGGGTTGACTCGGCCCATCATCCTTCTCCGTGGTCGATAAAACGACTACCACTCTGCGGGGTAGTCAACAGTGGTTGTCTTATGGACAGACTCGCCCCTGCCATAGGTGGAATACCATCACTGGCTCAGTGCTCAGTGCTCATTTAAGCAGCAATTCTCCTACTTGCTGTTGTTGTTGAGCGAGCACAAGGAAGTTGCGGTTCCTTATCTGGCAATTGACAAAAGCCGTCTAGCCTGGCGTCTGCAAGTGGCCGTTCACTCTGCTAATGTACCGGCTGCCAACATAATTTGCCACGAAGTGACGGTGACACCACCACGGCATTTGTACCAGGGTCGGTGCTCCACCCACCCCAGACACATGGTCTCCGGCGGTGAGTTTTGTCTTCTGAGTCGCCCAAGAGCCAATCGTCGACTGTAATGCCAATAGCAAACGGAGTTGACGTTAAGTGCATCACGAGTAGCCACTCCGCGAGTGAACCGTCAGCCAACACCACCCCAGACACAGGCGCGCACGCGCCTCTGAACGGGTGTGGTGTTTAGTTGTTGCTTCAAGTCACCAGTTGGCGAGATGGCAAGTTGCGGAGAAGCCGGCGCGTTGCCCAAAGTGCTGTTCTGGCATGGGAAGGACTTAAAAAAAAAGGCAAACTCGTGCCAAAAAAAACAAACGGGGCGTCGACGTCGTTCACGTAGGGGATGGGTCTCTCGCTTTGGGGCAGGCGGCGACAGGTCCGGCAGGTGCCACTTCGCCGGGAGGCAACAGGGGACAGCCGCGGCCCCCCTTCTCTCTCTCTCTCTTCCCACTTTTGTCCAGGACTCGGGGCGATGTCGCGGGAGCGGTGGCAAACGTGGGGCCAAAGTTCAGCGCCCGTCTCAACGCAGCGCAGAAGCATCCGGCGCTCCCTCCCTCTCCTCCTGTAGGGTTGCCGCGATGTAATTTTTTCGCAGTGAGATGATTGCAAAGGATCACGACACGACGACGTTCGTGGGGATAGATTATCGTAGACACGTGTATTTTCGTATATTTTATGGTGTTTGTGCTTTTATGATCGATTATTTTCAGCACAAGTAAAGATCTACTTGAAAGTTCAACTGCAGTAAAATCGACACAATCCTGCCACAAGTCTTTGAACAGTTATAGATCTCCCAAAAGCAATGTCTTCTTACGTCTTATAATTATCGGCCAAAATGTAACCTTTTACATATTTTTCCTTTTAAGGTGGTATTATTGACAAATGTCTGGACTTTACTTATAATCATTGTAACCCGACAATTCTGCAACGCTTACGGCGCACACGGATATCGGTCACACGAAAAAAAAGCTCGGCGATTAGAGGAACGGCGGAAAAGACGCAGCCATTAAAAATGCCCCCGCCATCAACGACTCCAGAAAACGTTTTGCCGAAAGCCATATTGCGGCAACCCTACGCCAAACAGGACCCCCCCCCCACCATCCACCACCGCCGCATCTCACCGGCGTCATCACCTCGCTAGGGGGCTCCACAAGCGCCCCCCACCCCCCCCCCCTCCTTTGATTGACTCGTTCATCACTCACAATCCACCCGCCATCAAGTATCTGCTTAATCATCAGTACATTCAACTCGGCTCCTTTTAGGCAACCTCGTGGTAAGCTTTGGCAAACTCCCTTTCGGCTAATACTCCAGCTCAGCCACATAAAGGCATGCGCACCGCATACAAAAGAAACATACATTCTTTACATTCTTTTTATCTGCAGCATTTAAAATCAGCCAGATGCTCCGTGGAAGCACGTTTTGCATCTTCATCCTTTTTTTGTGTTATATTGCATTTCGTTACCTTAACATTTTGACGACTAAAATCACACGTTTACGTAAACTCTGTAACCATATGTATTTCATACACGTACTTTTTTTTCAGTTTTTTTTTTTAGTTTCGTTAAAACTATAGTCGATTAGCCCTAAACTAACGATGGGCAGGGCGCGCGACACTGGCAGTGACGGGGGCAGGGTTACGTAGGGGACACGCGTAAACAAGACGTCAAGTGGAAGAAGGAAACGCGCGGGAGACTTAACGGGAACGGAGGGCACCAACGCTGGCATCCAAGCCCTTGTCAAACCGCGGCCGCTCGCTCTTTCGCCGTCGGGGCCCAACCGTCTCGCTCCGCTTTCCACTCCTACTACGTTCCCCCGACCTTTCCAATTTCTCTCCCACCCTCACCGACTCTCGCCTCCGTTTTGAGAGAGCTGCGCCGCCCCCGAGAGAAGCCGTGGGAAAACGTTGCCCCCCGTTTCTGCCGTTGCGAACGCTCGACTGCGTCGGGGGTTTCATGCGGTTTGCGCGGCGCGGTCCCGCACCTCTCGTGTTTTTGCTGAACACTGGAGGCAGCGCAGACGCGAGGCGCGGGCGGGCGCGCGTTTACATCGGCTCGGTGCAGATTACAGCACTTCAACCCTAGTGTCAAAAAAGAAAAAACATTTACTTACACAAACCAGCATGAACAATGAAAGTGCAATATTCTCTTATTAAAACCTCAGGCCTTGTGCTGATAGCAGGACACAGCACAGTGCAAGTTGGGAAGGCAAGGGATGCGCGCACACACACACACACTGCCACTCGCTGACCGATCTTACACAGACCAATCACGTCTATTTACTTACTACTGAAGCCTTCATGTACTGTACAATGAGCTAACACACGATAACCATATTATAGAAAAACATATTCAAGATATAATTAGGTTTATGCATGTATATATATAAAAAAAGAGAACGCTGATGTGGACAATAGTTTCAAATGCGGCTCGCTCTCTCGCTACACATCTGGCAAACGGTCGCGCGTCAAGAGTCAAGACGCTATTGGGAGACGGGGCAGCCCACAAACAGCTTGGCGCCTCTGGTGCCGCACTTTTCGCGACAGGCGGCCGTGTGGCCCACGTCCGGCTGTGCCGCCACCGCCAAGGCCTTCGTGGAGCCCGCCGGCGGGCAGGGGACACGGGCCACCGACCCGCCGCCTCCCACGGCCGCCCGGGCCAAGCAGCGGCCGGGAAGTTGGCGCCCGGGCGTTTGCGCGGCCGGAGGAGGCGAGCGGCCCGCGGTGGCGGCGACGCAGGCCAGCGGGAGGCCGCCCACGGACAGCGCCATGCGGGGGTCGCTCAGCGGAGAGCCGCAGATGGGGATGGACGTGACGGTGGCGCACCAGGCCGTGTCGTCGCCGTGTGCCGCCGCGGTGCCGTCCGGCGACCTGCCGCCGTGCTGCAGCCAGAACGGCGGGGAGGACTCCACGGGCTTGCGGTGTTCGCCGACCCCGGCCATCGCCGCGGCCGCTCCTCGCTGCCTCGCGCTCGGTCCCCCGCGGTACCCCGCGGCTTCAAAGCCGCCGTCGTTGCCGCACGTCGCGGGATCGCACACGTGCCTCGCGTTCGCCGAGGCTCTCCTCGTCGGCGATGGAGATTTGTCGTTGATCTTCAGGTCGACCTGTAAAAGTGCTTGGAAGAAGTTGCATTCGGGGAATCGTTTGTCCCTGGGCTGGGTGAAAGACTCACAAGGCTGGCCGCCACCGCCACCGGAGGGACAGTGTGACGTGTCTGGCTTGGGCGCGGGGAAACTCTTGCTGTTCTCATTGCCCGTCATCACCGCGGAGTTTCTATGGCCGGGGGAAGAGAGTGCGGATTTCTTCACGGTGCTCAGCTCAGGTTCTTGCAAAAGACCTGACCAAGGAAGCTTCCCAAAGGTGTGCTCATGAATGGCGCTGCCTTGGTTTCCGAACCAACCCACCTTGCCTTTGTCGGGAAAAAGACAGGGATCGCTCTGGTTCTTCCGGCAACACCAGTCCTTGTGATGGCCTACCCTCGTCGGGCACGACTCCCTTTCGTGCACGAGCGGCAGTAGCTGCTCGCCAAAATAATACGGGGAAAAGTAGACGACGGGGATGCTGTGCAAAGGCTCCCAGAGCCGGAAGAAGGCCTGGCCGGCGTAGGCGCCGGCGGGTTCCGCGTCGTCCGCAACGTCCGAGTTGTCTCCTTCCTCGGGCACGAGGTCTGCCTCGCTGCGCAAGCGCTTCCTCTTGCTCTGGCTGCTGCGCCTGGCCTTGCACTTCCTCGTGCACCTGCCCTGCCCTTGCTTCTTCACGGCGGGCGACACCTCCGCTCTGATGGCTGCAGGAGCGGCGCACTTTAACAGGCTCTCGCTGGAAGCGCCCTTCTGCATTGCTGCGGAGGGAGTCAGCGGCTGGGAATTGGCGGAAGCATCGGCAGCGAATGGCACGCGGTGCTGATTTCCCTGCGCGGCTGCAGCCTCGTCGCTGTCCGTATTCTCCGCGCAGCACCGCGAGATTCTCCCCTCTTCGGAATTCTCCCTCTTTCCCGACGGGCCGCTCTTCGCGCTCTGGACGCCCGCCTTCTGCCACGGCAGATCCCTCGATTTGATGCACGGCGGCGCTCCCGCCGATCCAGCCCGGGTTTTCTCCGAGGCGCAATCCTCGCCGCCCAGACGGCAGGCCTGGGAAGGCGACGCTTGGCTGAGCGGCGCGGCGTCCACGCCGTCGCACTCCACTCCGCCGCCGCCGCCACTGCCGCCCCCCTTTCCCGCGCCAAGCTGTTTCGCCTGCTTCTTCTCGCGTGGAGCGGCCACTCTGACGGCAGGGGACAACGGCGGGCACGGTTCGGCCGCGGGGGCCCCCCTGGCGAGCGTTCGTCTCCTGGAGCAAACGGCCGACGGTCTGGAAGACTGGGGCCGTGCAGCGGCAGTCGCCGCGCCTTTGTCCGGGCCGGACGTTTCGGCGGCGGCGGCGGCAGGGACGGCAGCGCTGCGCAGAGCTGCGACGCTCCCGACCCCGGACGGATCTGAGCGGAGCACAACAAACGATGGCAACGCGAACAGTGAAGTCGGTGCTTTGTGGGGACGAGAACGTAGCACGCAAAGCAAATGCTACAACTAAAATATTTTTTTACTATTTTTTATTTTAATCAGGTAAAGCCCACTGACTGACATTGCTCTTTTCCAGAAGCGGCCTGGCCACAAATGATAGCTCAACGAAGTGGCTTATCATCGTGTGGAAATGTATCGTTGCCGAATACTCCTGACGTATGTGTTTTTTTATTTGAAGGAAAACACCGGAGAACCCACAGAGAAATTCACGCCACCACAGGGAGATAATGCAAGCTCCAAATATGCAGGCGTCAAGGTCGGGATTGAATCCACGATCTCCTGTATACCAGGCGAGGTAGTTAACATCTCACCCCCAAAGTGCCATTACTGCTTACGATAAAAAAAATGTGGGTTAGATGGCGTAAATGTCAATGTGTCGTACACCCACCTGACACGGCAAATTTGTCACGTGAACAGAACGTGCCAATAAATTACTACTTCGGCACACTTGTGTTAGAGAGAAATTCCACAACATTTACAACATTGACAATTGTATTCAACCTCACAACATTGACAAATTTACTCAATTGTAAATGTTGTGGGTTTGCCCTCCAACACACCGTTGTGCTAAAGTAGTCACTTAATCCACACGTATGAATGAATTATCTTTCCCTATTAAAAAAATCGCACTAACCTCGATCATCTTTCTCCATCAGCAAGGCCACTTCTTCTTCAGAAAACCCAGACCTTAAAAGCATAAAAACATTACACGTTACATTACCATGCACACCTTTGTTATACATAACCATGATGTATCTATTAACATACGGGGGTGTTGTACACGGCCCGAACAAAAGGCAGGTGGCACTCCAGGTAGTGCGAGTTTCCTACTTCTGTCCGTAGTAATCCTCAAAGAACTCCTCCTTCCACGCCTCCACCTTCCTCTCCTTCTCCTGCTTCAAGCGTAGCTGCATCTCCGCTGTGAATGCACCTGACCAGTGCCACGACACCCACATCTCAAACAAGGGCGCACACAACACTCGCTCCACTCACACTCGCTCCACTCACACTCGCTCCACTCACACTCGCTCCACTCACACTCGCTCCACTCACACTCGCTCCACTCACACTCGCTCCACTCACACTCGCTCCACTCACACTCGCTCCACTCACACTCGCTCCACTCACACCATCAATGACGGCCGCTCCACTCATATCCTCACACCGACGGCCGCTCCACTCACACCCGCTTCCACTCACACCCACACCCACCTCTACTCACACCCACACCCACCTCTACTCACACCCACACCCGCATCCACTCACACCCACATCCGCCTCTACTCACACCCACACCCGCTCCACTCACACCCGCCTCCACTCACACCCACACCCGCCTCCACTCACACCCACACCCACCTCTACTCACACCCACACCCGCTCTACTCACACCCGCCTCCACTCACACCCACACCCGCCTCCACTCACACCCACACCCGCTCCACTCACACCCGCCTCCACTCACACCCGCCTCCACCCACACCCACCTCCACCCACACCCGCCTCCACTCACACCCACACCCGCCTCCACTCACACCCGCACCTGCTCCACTAACACCCGCACTTGCTCCACTCACACCCGCACCTGCTCCACTCACACCCGCACCTGCCTCCAATCACACCCACTCCATTTCAAGAAAGAACCAATGCTGCGCCAATTTTCCCGTCAGTGGGTCCCCAGTGTCGTGCCGTACCTTCGGCCAGCCGGTGGGTCCACTCCGCAAGAGCGACGTTGATGAACTCGTTGTTTAAGGCAGTGCTGCTCGGCTGCTCGACGCCGGCCTTCACCTGACGGGTGGGGGGAACACGAGCATTTGTGAGCCGGGCGAGATAAGCCCCTTTCTGCGTGGTGACCTCCGCTTGCACCAACATCCAATTTTGACCGGTATCCCTGGAAAAAAGTCGTAGAGGCACAGACACGATATCCTTTGTACAGCTGGAGAAGGGGATACCATCAAGGATAAATATATTTTTGCCCAAGGTTTCCCGTCGTCACCCAGAAATTGAGCGTTGGCGTGACCCAGCGGTTTTAATTTCTCTCCCCGCATGGTGCAAAAGTTCGTGGATCGATCCCGGCATGCCGCCCTGGCTATCACTTCAGGTGCATTGACCTTAAGCTGCTTTTGCTGCACGCTTACGGCGGACGTTAAAAGATTCAGTGACGTCGCTGCAAAAAGAGAGGGGGCCACAATGTCGTGATGTGGCATTGGCTCCAAATTTGCAAAATTTGCAAACATTGCCTACAAATTTACTCAATTGGAATGATACACAGCAACATCGCCCTCCCAAGATCAGTGGCTATGCATACCGCAATCCAGCACCGTGGAGGAGAGGCTTTGGTGGGTCGGATAAAGATTACATAATGTTGCGGGACTCGCGTGCACGTGGGTATCGAGGTGCATTACCCTGGCTCTCCAGCAGAATGCAGTACAGCAAAGTGTGAATTGATACCGGCCGACCGTTCTGTATGGGATAGAGTGTTGCCCCCTCGCATGGGTAGGTTTTCTTCAGGTGCCTCGGTTTCCTCCCACATGTACAAAGACTCACCAATTGGCTGAACACATCTTAATAAATAGAGAAATGCAGAGCAATTGTTGGTTGGCAGCCTTCCAGCTTAGTCTGTGGTTCCCTAAGCGACTGCGAGAATTTGCTGTATAACAATTAATAATTAGATTTTTTTTAGATTTCCGAAACATAGCACCTTCGTAATAGCCTTGCACTACAACAGGGGTCGGCAACCTGCAGCTCGGCAGCCGCGTGCGACTCTTTAAGGACTCCTTCGTGACACGTTATTTGTCGAGGGCCGTCACCTATTCACATGCATCGCGGGCTCTTGAAATATTGAGTTTTGATACCGAATTTTAAAATGTTTTTATCTTCTTGTTATTTTTTTAGGTTTGCCGACCCCTATGCTAAAAGAATGGGATGAAAACCAAGTTAATATAATTGACATAATTAAATTAAGGCCACGGCATCCAACTGGTTCATTTTCTCAAGGCTTGGTGCGAGTCATTTTGGTTTATTATAAAAAAAAATCGAGGGCGCATACGGATTGTCGGACTGAGCGGTCATTTTAAAGGAAGGATTTTAGGATCCCTTAATCAATACGAGTGGGGGTGCGGAACACGGTTAAATTACGGTGTTCGTTACGCTGCAGTGCTTTTGGAGAGAGAACCAGGCCGACGAAGATTAGCGGCAGCAGCAGTGAAAGGGCGAAGGTGGAGAAACGTGCTAAGAACGCGGAGGAGAAGACAGATGAAGATGGGCCTACAGAGTACAAAATAATTACTCGCGTCATTTTGTACATGATGTAACAAAATTAATAAGGAGGTGATATGCCGCCACATAAAATAAAAATATATTTTTTTACACATCTCATCAACCATGCGGCCTTCTGGAAGGCTTATATTCTCCACAACGACGCTAAATGATTATTTAACGTTACGAGTTACATAGTTTTGCGTCGAACTAGGACCAACAACGAACACAGACAGGTCTCCTTGCCTATAAGCCACCTGACAGTTCAACAGCATTCATTCAAGCTTGACTCTGTTGGTGACACAGTGAATATCAACGCTGGCCCAGGGTTTTGCTTGTGTCGACCAACCCAATGCTGCTAAAATTGTGCCAATCCCACAAAAAGCCCACGTGGCTGAAGGTGACGTATTAAAAAATACTTGAATAAAGTAAAAATGTAACTTGTTGGCCGCAATTAACACTCGCGTGCGCACCTCCTTGTCGAGGGGAGGCAGCTGAGACAGAAGTTTCTTCCGGAAGTCGGCTGGCAGGGCCGCGAAGGTGTGCACGTTGATCAGGGCCTTCAGCTCCGTGTTCACGAGCAGCGAGTGCGGGGTGTCCACGTCCATGCTGTCCTCCTCGGGGCGCGATCGATCGCCTGCGGCGAAGGGTTCACAGGTTTCTACCGCCTCGAGCCGCGCCGTTGTGACGGTGAGCGCACCGGACTCGCGATCCAAGAGGTCGCCGGCCGCGGTTCCGTCTCACCGGCACGGCAGAGATGGAGCAACAATGCAAGTTTGTTAACCACCACCAATCCACCGAACAGTATTGTTGGTCCATCGGTAGGTAAAGTGTGCGTGAGGTAAAGTGAGGGTACACTCTCACCTCTTCGTCTAGCCAGTGGGAAATGGGCCAAATAATAATGGCCTCCGAAGGGGCTCTCAACTCGCGTTGCCAGGTTCACATCGCAGTCCCCTCGACAAAATACACTGGGCGAATACCCCGGGGCAGGTCGAGGACACGCTAAAGGGACTATGTCGCTCGGCTGGCCTGGGAACGCCTGGGAATTCCCCAGGAAGAGCTAGAGTCTGACGCCAGGGCAAGGGAGGTGTGGACCGCCCCTACTCAACACGCTGCCGCCGCGACCCTCACCAGGACCAGCGGACTGAGAAACGAACGAACGAATGACCAATTGACGTTACGTGACCGACGCAACGTAAACCATTTGCACACGTGCAGTTCCATTACCGCACGAGTGCCACAATGTCGCATCTCATATCCGACCGTCACACAACCACCCTGAACAATTACCAATTAACCGTCCACACTCAGTTCAGTGGTTGTGCATGGTGTAATTGCCGTGTCCCCTGGATGTTCACAACTCAGACCTTCTCTCAAACACACAGTCACAAATCTCACACACATTTGGTTACTGTTAAAGCCCAGTAAAGCAATTTCCCAAGTTAAAAGCAGTGCTTTATTTGTGTCCAGTAACCTACTGCTGCATGCACGGTGTAACGGTAACTTTGTGTACATGTTCACATATCCGCCTACACCTCAGCCCCCACGCGAGTTGGATATTAGACCATTGCACTCTACCTCCAAGCTCGCGTGTTACATAACTACACAGCAAAGTCCGAGTTTCTTTACAACCCAAGACAAAAAACAGATCATGTTCGTAGGGAAACTTCCATTAGGAAGCAGGAGACTTGGCCTCCTGAGAACTGGGGACAGCCGATCCCTTACCGGGTTGGGTTGCTTGAACGTCGAGGGATTTCTTGAGGGAGTACTGCAAGACGAGCGTTTTCGCAGACAGCCTCCGGCTCTGCGTTCCCCTCTGCTGTTTTAGAGCCTGCGTGCAACATTAGCAGTAAACAAAGATCACCCAACCCCCCTCCATATAGCCTTTAGCAGACTGTTGGGGCAAGTGGTGGTTAGTGAGCACTGCCGCAGAAAGCCGAAACGGTGCACAAGGGGGTGGGTGGGTGGGTGGCCAACACACCACCCCTGGCCTCCCAGTGCTCATGTTTACTACACACCGCACCAGGTACTGTACTCATTTGAAACTGAGTCGACCTATGGGAGGCCCAGGACCCATTCAGATATTCGCCACTGTTATTGGCTGCGAGCGGGAATTGAACTCGGGACGCCAGGTTCCAAGCGCAGTGCGCTAACCACTACACCACCGCACCCCATCAGCAGCAAACACACATACAAGCACATTAAAACACCTGAATATACATTTAACCTAATAATATTTCCCCCGCTGTAACCGAGACGGAGTAACGTCCCAACCACTTTTCAGAAATATGTGAATAACAGTGAAGTATAGAGCTGGCCTCTGTAATTACTTAACTAATTGATTACTCTGCTGATTATATTTATCAGTTCCATTATTCAAGTAATCGGATAACATGAAAATAGCCTGGGGGGGGGAAAAAAAAATATCTTGTCTGTTAGCACGCGTGCCGCTGCACGGGAGGCGATGGACGGAGCTTGATGACGTCCTCGGCTTCGCCACTGGCGTCGCACTTGGAGTAGCTTGTACGGGGGGGGGGGGGGGGAAGTTTCCTTCTTTCGCAGGGTGTCCAGGCAACCAGCATTTTTCAAGGGGCCCGAGTAATCAGTTAACTTTATTTTTTATTTTTGAGCGGACTCATCGACGTCACCGTCCCAAGCTCCGTACCGAGCCTCCCCCTGCGGCTGCTCACCTGCTTGAGGGCCCTCCTGCAGTGCTGCTGGCTGGCGGAAGCGGCGCGGGCTGGCGGCGCAGTCTTGGCGCCGTGGGCAGGGGGGCTCCGGGCCCGCGAGCCCCCCCTCCGCAATACGAGGCGCAGGGAACCTGCTGCGCATTCGCAGAAGCACGCACGAACGCACGCACGCACGCACGCACGGCCGCACTCGTGAGCTCTTGAGCTCCGGGAACCCAGCTAAGGGGAGGCGAGTCATCTCCATAGGGACAACTACTTTTGACTTCCCCCGCAAAGCGATACACATTTTATCGATCCCAGACAGACGATGGGCTGGGTCAACCCAACATAGTAGCAGCAATTGACGAGAGGCTAGGAGGTGACTCACCTGCGGCGAGCGAGTGACTGGCAGTTTCTGAATTGGTAATTTATGGATCATCACTCAACCCGACTGCTTTATTTTCAATTCCATAAAAGGTGGAAACTGGGTGCTCCACCCCAGATCTGACGATAGACCAAGCCCTTTTGACAAAAAACTTGTGGCTTTGTACAGTAGCACAAAGTTTGAACACCCCACAGAGAAGCGAGGTAGCGGACACAAACACGTCCACGACCAAGTCACCATCAATGCGCCTGACCTCATCAGATTTCAGAAGCTAAGCTTGGATGGGTGACCACCGGGGCTTGCCAGGTGTTTAGGTGTGGGGGTTTTGAGGTGGCCAGGAGTTGGAAGTGCCGAGCGTCATCCCCTCGTGCGAGTGGATTTTCTCCGGGATTTCAAGTTTTCCCCCACGTCAGGTTTGCCAACCCTACCGACAACCTGCTTACCGCATGCCGAATTTCAAAGGTAAGCATACCGGCTTTAGAAAAATCGGTTTGCGGTCACAGGGTCTAAATATTGGAAGCCTACCGCTTTAAATCGGTAAGGATGACAAATATGCCACTTGCACATCCATTTTGGTGATGTGACCGAACCTCTCTTGCAGATCTCTCAGCTCCGTGTGTTTTTGTCAAAAATGTAACCATACTGTGGAGAAGCCGTTGACCAAGGTCAATGTTGCAAAAAGAAAACTTGTTGCCTCAGTAGGTTCTCACCTGGTGAAATGAAGCCAATCAAACAAACACTCATACATAGTATTGATGAAACATCCCATCAGGGGTGGCCGGTCGATATTGGCGAACTAGGCGGTCGCCTAGGGCGCCAAGTTAAGGGGGGGGGGGGCAAATTCGAGGCAACAAAAGACAATAAAATAACGAAGATGTCATTATTTCAATTTCCGTGCGCTTAGAGGGAATATGAATTATAATTTATTTCTCAACATTTCTGAGAATGTATTGGACGGACAAACCAAATAATTAAGCCTATTTATAAGAAATATGCTTAAAAAAACATTAAATGGAAAATAAGGGCAAAATGTTTCCCAGTTTTCCAAAAAACGTCAGCCTAGATCTGCCCTTGGGGTTTGGGGGTTGGGGGCGTCAATTGCGTGGTTTGCCCTACGGCGCCAGTTGCTGGCAGCAGCTCGTCTAGGGACGCCCCTGATCCCAATGCAGAACCGTCTTGAATAATTATTCCTGACACTCTCCGAGGCATTCATGGGCAAATAATCAGAATAGTTCTTGTTGTAATCTTACATTTTTTTCCATCAGCATATCCAGTTTATTTTCTATTTTTTTGTATTCTCCACCCCCCCTTCCCCGGTTAAATATATACCCGAATAAAGAAAAATAAGCATTGAAAAATATCTGCTTCACATTTCAGTGCAATCCTGCCACTGCCCCCTACAGAAGCTACGGCTTACAAGGCCCTCGCCCCCCCCCTGCTGCGCTCAACCAAACGCAACATCAGATGGCAGCAGCGAGCACGCGTCACGCGCAACTCCCTTGCGTTTCTTTGCAGTGACGTCACCGAGAGGTCAGTGGCGAGAAAGGGCTTGTAAACATCTACGGCACGTGTCCACTCCCTGGCCAACGCATGCGCACTAGAGCACTGGGCCCTCACCAGCAGCCGAGCAAAACAAGCGAGAGGGTGACTCACCCCTCCTTCCACCTCTCCATTCCCTTGGTGCCTTTTCACAGATGAGCCTGCGCCTTAATAACAATGCCAATTATTTGTAGTATGATGATGATAATGATGCCAAAGACTGTCTTCTCGGGACTGTATAACACGCGATTATTATTTTTTTCCCTGAAGCTGCGTACGGCTAAAATTCAGGAGCGAGGCGAGGAGGCGATGATTTACACAAGGAGCAGTCGGAGCCTGGAAAGGACTGTCCACACAACACGCAGTGGAAGCGGATTGACTTGAGACTCTTTGTCAACAGACGCCTCGACCATATCCTAGAATCGATCCGCTACTCACAACCAAACGAATCGAATGGGCCGAATAGGCCTCTCCTCTCATTCTTAATTTAAAGCTAAAGTTTGAGTGCATCTTATAAACCAGTCGGTGTGCGTGTAACAGACTACATTTGTGTAACTTTATTGACACCGAGTACTTGCCGCAACATATAATCCAGAGAATACGGTATTTTCCCAGAATCACCCCGCAAGGAATTGGAAGAAAACTGGGGGGAGGCCTCTCCCAAGCGGTGAGAAGCTACACGTAGACTTCAACAACAACAGCACTGACGAAATAAACGAGGAGGGAGCGGGGGACGAGTCGTCGATCACCTTGTCTCGCTGGAAGAGTCCTCGCTCCCGCGCGGTGTCGCTGGAAAGGCGTCGAGCTCTGGCCGCCAGGAGACCTTGCGGGAGAGAACTTGCTCCTTCTGGTCAGCAGTGTCTTCCGAGTTCCGTGGCCCTCGCTCTTACCTCTGCGCCTGTGAGGCGCAAATTTCTGCAAACCATAAAAAAATAATAAACCAATACGTATGACAAAAAAGTTTGCACAGTTCCATGGTTTCCTACTTGTGTTTGGTCGATACTGCCAGGTCCTAGCATACCATAAAATCGTTTGGTATCGTTGTGAAGCATGTAAGTCATAAAATAAATAAGCAGTCAAGTCTCCTTCACATATCTGTCCGTCCATATAAAGAAAAAGAAAAGTATTTTTTTAAACAATCCATCAGCCACATGGCCTTCTGGTAGCGCATAATTTGGGCAGCGTTGGTTCAACGCGAGCAAAACTCTGGACTGGTCTTCCCATTCAGTGCCTCATGCTCGAGTGCACCAATGGGTGAAGTCCGTCTTAAACTTTCCGCATCTTTTTCGCATGTCTTCATATCCTCATCATATCATCCTTCCCTTCAACTCAATCAACATCATCATCTTCCTCTTGCTTAATCACACGTAATGTATAAATGGTGCTGGCAAAGACACGCAGCAGTGTGTGCCAAGGATGCACTAGTTCAAAGTTATTCCTTACTCAAATGACCATTGAGGCAGCCCTAATATCCTATTTACAGCCCTCAGCCGGGAGTGGAAATTCCAGATTCCTATTGTGGGCGGCGAGTCCATCCAAAAGACGTGTTATGCGCCAACATAATACAACATACTATCATGACGTGTATCAGGTGATGTCAGTACATCACACACCCGAAATGCAAAGGAAACTACTGCAGCGTTGTGGTCATCACACATGCGCACACGGTATGATCTGGAAGAAAATTAAATTACATAAAGTGCAGTGACAGCAACGTGCCTTCAGTTTGTAGACTCCGGGTCTGCCTGGGAGTTTGTAGAAAATGCCACCCAGGGTTCGCGAGTTTGAGTAAAGCATTGCACTCAACGTATTCAGAGATGACTGGGAATTTCCACTGGAATGTTCCGAGCAAAAGGCAACAACAACAACAACGGTGAGACGTTAAAAAAATCAGAGCAGGGCAGAGGTTACGCAACGCTCGCAAAGACAATACCATTTCCCATCTCCCCACGTAGGCATTCACCTTCCCTCATCGGCCACACTCGCCTGGTCTGCTTTGATAGCCTGACGTGTAAACGTTCTATAGGGAGGATTTTTTACCAGGTCAACCGTTTTCGAGGAAGCCTAACAGCAATACGTGAGCTTCCGTCATTCTGTACTTCCTGCACATTCACGAACCCACACTGACCAGGCTGGTGAAGTACGGTCAAATAAGCCTCGCCGCTTGCGCGGTGTGGGCGGTCCTTCACCCCCGAAGTGGATTGACACACGGGCTGCACACGTTGTGTGCACACGTGCAGTGCGATAACTCTGACGGCTTTACAAAGGAGCAATGACACATTAGGTTCACTGTGGCGATGTAAGCACCCTGGGATCTTCTGTGTATTGTGTGAGACTAATTAAATCAAGTCTGCCAAACAATCTGCTTAACGAGGAATGCGGTCAACAACAAATGCAGAATATTAACAAGTGAGCAGGTTAATTTAATCATGAAACTGACATGAGGTCATCATTCCTTCTGGAAAAGTTAACAAGACATGAAAGTCCAGTGGATTCCTCCTTGCAAATGTAAACGATAAGAAAAAGCGACATACCTGATGTCCTTGAGCTTTTCCTTGAGGATGACTTTGAGGATGTCATTCCTGCTCATCGGTGTGTTGTGGTGGCTCTCCAGGACCTGCAGCGAGAAAATGAGAGCATCACCCACCCCCCTTCTCTACCTCCACCTCCTCCTTCCAACCGTGAACTTCTCTCATTGATTCCTTCGCCTATGCCGAGGACTCGGTCTATCGCACTTTGACCACTTAATCTCATTCACAATGCGTTAAAAGCATCTTACAGCCGGTCAAAACAACTCTCCTTTCTGGATTCTTTCTGAGCACTGCTCGACTTTGGAATTCCCTCCCGTCGTTTCTTTTCCCAAGGTCTCGTGATAACCTCACTCAATTCCGGAAATTAATCAAATGCTCTATTTGTTACGACGTTCACAGTTGCCCCTAGTTGCTGGCCGTTTGGCATTTTGGTGCACCTTTGGGCCTGTGCTCAGCGAGATTAAATACAAAAATCCCAAAACAACAACAAACTGCCTCCCAGAAGAAAAAAAATACAAGCGGCTGGGCACGTTGCCCAGCCAACAGTGCATGGCCACTCACTCCACTGTAAGAGCAGCCTAACAAGCCACCGCACACACAAATCACGTCAGCTGGCCAGCCGACAGCACTCATTCGCCATCACCTTTAAACGGCCAATCGGGGTGCGTAGTCGAGTTTTCGAGGAGAATTGGGCCAGGTGGCTCAGCGGTCGGGGCGAGCGGTCTACGATCTGAAAGGTTTGCGAATTCAAAATCCTGCTTGGGAGGTTCATCCAGGCCATCATCCCCCTCTGGGGTTGATAGAAAGTAAGAACCACTTAATGGGGAAGTTAACAGTGGTCGTCCTTTGTAAAAACTCACTACCGCCACAGCGTAGTGAGATCTCTGGGCCGTAAACGGCAAATGAACACCACTTCAATGCTCATTTGAGCAAGAAATCACGGACTTAAAACAATTTTTATTTTACCAAGGCCCACTGAGCTCTTTTTCAGAAACAAATGATAGCTTAACGAAGTGGCTTTTCGCATGGAAATTTATCGTAGCCAAATACTCTAAACGCATGTTTCTAGAGGGCCCGGAGAAAAATCCACACCTCCATGGGGAAAACATGCAAACTCCATATATATAGGAGTCGGAAGTCAGGATCGGACCCACGACCTCCTGTATACCACGCGAGGTAGTTAACATTTCACCACCGTGGAACCCTTTATGACCATTCCACTGCCAATCGGGGGGGGAGAAACCTCGAGAAAAAATTTTCGGAGAAAAAAAACCCAGCAATGACCATGTAAAAAAATGTTAATCGATAGTTTCCGCTTTGCGGGGAGCGGCGGCAGCTGTTGTGCCGATTCTGATGGCGGTGCCGTTTTCAGCGCGCGAGAAAACGCGTTCACGAAGCCAACATATCTGCCGATCAGAGGAACGCACGAGAAAACCAAATTCTTGATCAGCAGCGGTCACAGCTAGAAGAGGGCTTGGAGCGCCGAGGTTTGTGAGTGCGTAATCGCAAACGCTCCACCCGTGCGGTTATCAACAGCTGCCAGTGTTTCACGTACGGGGTTTAAACACGCGTGTGTACGCCAAATAAGCACAGAAATCGTAAACACAAGATAGCGTGTGTGTGTGTGTACAAGTGGGGGGGGGGGACACGTACACACACCGGTGTTTGTATACCATATTACTCAATCGCGATGTACATAGCAATAGTTGCCCCCTGCTGCGAATAAACTTGGCACCCTCCTCGAAATCATGAGACTCGGTAGGCTTCCTTGGGTAAGTAAACAAGCCGAATGATAATGAGCGCCATGGAAACATGGGGGACAAACGTGTGTACATAAATACACACGACAGACCGAGTCTGTAACACGTGGACACACACACCTTTGTGTACACATGCGTCAACGAGTGCGCGTGTCATACCTGTCAACCCATACGGTTCACCCCCCCCCCCCCATGTTATGGGTTGACAGCATTCAGTTCGTTTAGCGATTATTTAGACACGCGGGATATGCGTGCACGTGGGCACGTACACATTGGCAGATGGACACGTGAGTACACATTGTGTGTACACACGGGCACGAGGACACACCAGCACACGTGCATAAATGTACTTGGGATAAGTAGTAAACAAAGGTGCGTGCAGAGTGACACGAATACAGACGGCCGCGCAAGTCCACGTGGACGCACGAGCGAGTTCACACAGCCACGGGGGGGGCACACGACTTCACACCGACACAGGTGTACACAAAGAAAAAGATCCCCCCCCCCAATAGCCTGAACAGACTGTTGGGGCAAGTGCTGCTAGGGAGGAGCACCTATTAAGGCCGGCACCACGCACGGCCGCCTTTGTTTCCCTAGTGGCGATGTTTACTACAAACCGAACCAGGTACTCATTTGAGGCTGCGTCGAGATAGGGGAGGCCCAGGACCGGTTCTGATCATCGTCACACTGGTGTTGGCCGTGTGCGGGAATCTAACTCTGCGACCCCAGGTTGTCAGCGCAGCGCTAACCGCTACACTACCGCTACCCACAGTACGCACGCACGCACACACTAAACACACGCGTGTGTAAACATGACCACGCACGGACACATCTGTACAACATGTACATCCACGCGTTTGAACACAGCGACACGTGTATATTACACACCGGCACACGTGAACACAAGGGTCACATGGGTACACAATGACTCACCAGCGCCGCACGTGTGCACACGCACACACTCAGCGCGCCGCGTGTAAACATGACTACGCGCGTCTGTACACAGCGACACGTGAACACACAAGGGACACACGTTGTGTTTACACACACACAAACACCAGACCAGCAACACACCTGTACACATGCACGGCTAAGTGTGTGTAGCTGTTAGCGATACGCTGCCCTACGAACCCGGCCACCCGAGTTCGATTCCCGCTCACGGCCAACACCGGTGTGACGATTATCTCGAACCGGTCGTGGGCATCACCTAGGTCGACTCGGCCTCAAATGATTACCTGGTGCGGTGCGTAGTAAACATCGCCACCGGGGAGACAAAGGCGTCCGGGCGTGGTGCTGGTCACCCACCGCCCTCGTGTGCCGTGCCGGGCTCCATAGGTGCTACTCGCTAAAGGCACTTGCCCCAACAGTCTGTTACAGGCTATACGGAGGGATCTCTGTCTTTGTATCGTCTACAACACGCACATCAACACGTGTGTATGTGTGTGTACACACACACACGTGTCGATGTGTGTACGTACACGTGTGTGAGTATATATACGTGTGTATAGACACACGTATATATACACACTCTCGCACACGTGTTACGCATGGAGTACACACGTGTTACGCATGGAGCACACACGTGTTACGCATGGAGCACACACGTGTTACGCATGGAGCACACACGTGTTACGCATGGAGCACACACGTGTTACGCAAGGAGCACACACGTGTTACGCATGGAGTACACACGTGTTACGCATGGAGCAAACACGTGTTACGCATGGAGCAAACACGTGAACCATACGGAGTGGTGGTGGTGGTGGCACAGGGAGTGTTACAACACGCGAGAGACATCTGGTGGCTCCACGCCGCGCAGGCGACACAAACAACAAGGCCGAGGCGGCACCGTGTCACCCGCGCTGCGCCATCTCTTCCCCATCAGCCCGGGACACCCCCCACCCCACAGATCCCTCCACAGCCCCCCCCCGACTCCCCCCTTCATCGCCGGGATACCCCCCCCCCTTCCCCACTCATCCCCACCCCCCTCCACTGTCTGGATGCCGGGGTCTCGTTTCACGGGGGGGGGGGGAGGGGGGTCCCGTTTAACTTCACGCGGGTCCCCATTCTACAGCCGGGACCCCGACAGACCTCTCCCCAAAGGGGGTCACTTCATTACGGGGCCCCTTTCACGCAGGGGATTACTCCACAGGGGTGCTCTACAGTCTGGACCCCAGAGGAGCCTTCACGGGGTCCCTGGACTCCCGCTTCCCACCGCCCCTCACTCGGTGCTATCTCCACGGGGGTCCCCCCTCCACCGAGTCCCTCTACAGGGGTCAGCTTCACCGGGTTCCTCTATCCCGGACCCCGGTGATCCCATCGTCACGGGGGGGGGGGCAGGGAGTAACTCCACAAGGGGCCCCCTGCACAGCAGCGATCATTCCGGGGGCCCCTCTACAGCCGAGACTCCAAAGCGGTGGTTCCCCCCCCCCCCACCCTTCGGCAAGGATCCCTCCACATTCACGACCCCAGAGATCCCTTTACCACGGCGATCCCCTCCACGGGGTTCCGTTCTACAGTCGGGGGAGGGGGGGGGTCCCTTAACAGGGGTCCCCATCGATGGGCCTCACTCCCCCGGGTCAGCCTACCCAACTTTTGCGCCACACGTACCACCCGGGCGGCCTCCAGCCAGGTACGGCCCGTCCTCCGCGGCGACTCCCTCATTCCTCCTCCTACTCGTCCTTCTCCTCTTCCTCCTCGTCCTCGTCTCAGCGCAGGGCCCGGGCCGCCCAGGCCGCGCCGTCCGCCAGGGACGAGGGCCCGGGCCGCATCATCATCATGGCGGGGAGACCCGCGCGCGATGCCACTCCGAGCCAACGCTGCTGCTGCTGCGTGCCGACCCCTCCTCCTGCTCCTGGTGCTGCTGGCTCACTCCTCCCGATCCTCCTCCTCCTCTACCACAACAACCCCTCCTCCTCCTCTACAACCCCTCCTCCACTACCATAACAACCCCTCCTCCTCTCTAACCCCTCCTCCTCTACAACCCCTCCTTTCACCTCTACAACCCCTCCTTTCTCCTCAACCCCCTCCTGCTCCTCTCCAACCCCACCTCCTCCTCTCCAACCCCTCCTCTTCCTCCTCCTCTCCAACCCCTCCTCTCCAACCCCTCCTCCGCCTCTCCAACCCCTCCTCTTCCTCCTCCTCTCCAACCCCTCCTCCTCTCCAACCCCTCCTCCTCTCCAGCCCCTCCTCCTCAACCCCTCCTCCTCCTCTCCAACCCCTCCTCCTCAACCCCTCCTCCTCCTCTCCAACCCCTCCTGCTCAACCCCTCCTCCTCCTCTCCAACCCCTCCTCCTCTCCAACCCCTCCTCCTCAACCCCTCCTCCTCCTCAACCCCTCCTCCTCCTCTCCAACCCCTCCTCCTCTTCTCCAACCCCTCCTCTACAACGACTCCTCCTCCTGGCTCACTCCTCCCGATCCTCATCCACCACAACCCCTCCTCCTCTACAATGACTCATCATCCTCCAAACCGAAACACTTCATCACATGCGCAATGTATAAAAACAAAAACACAACTGAACGCGTTCGCCAATAACATGGCCTTAAAAGACAACGCGGTAATAGGCGACGTTTCGGGCAATGGCCCTTATTCCACCACCAACGCCTCCCTCTCCAAAATTATTCCTCCTCCTTAATGACTCATCATCATCCTCCACAACTCCTCCTCAATGACTCATCGTGCTGCACGACTCCGCCTCTGCAATGACTCATAACTATCCTCCACAAATTCTTAGCTCTTCTTCAACGTGACTTTACCGAAAGAGCTAAGAATATGAATTACTGCAGTCACGAAAGCTTTAAATCAAAATTTATCCTCCACAACTTATTTGTCTAAACCGAGTCTCTCCCCCCCTCCTCTTTCACGATCATGTATCCTCCAATGCAACGGCTCCTCCTTCTAATGCTGGCTCACTCCTGATCCTCCTCTTCTTCTCATCCTCCACTCTTGACCCCTCCAGATCATCTCAGCTCCGCCTCACTCTTCCACCATTCCTCCTCCAGGATGAATCATCCTCCTTGTGTGTGCGTCCACCCGATCCCATAGCTTCTCCTTATCCTCAACTCCAACTTCTCGACAATGATTCATGCTCCCCCCTCCTCCTCAAAAACCACGACTCCACCTCTACAGTGACCCACCTCTCCCGATGTCTGCTCCTCCACGGATAAATAAATTTAATTTACGCATCCCAAATCGGCCGCAACACATTCGTCAATCGAGTGGCCTTGCGAGACCAATATAAACACATTCAAGGTCCGTTGCATATTATCTGTATATATTTCCCTATAAGACCGGTATTGTGAACAAACGTGTTGACTTTTGTCGTCACAGTATTAGTGCCTGTGCACCGCTGCCCACGCAGCAGCAGCAGCATCACAACATCATTCTTCCCGGTAAAAGTGGCCTAACGTTGACCCAACGTCAGCCCAACGTTGGTCCAACCACACGGCGACCGGCCCAAAGTTGTCACAATCACATTCGAACCAGACAACGTTGCCCTCCCCACCACCACCTCCCCGCCGTTAGCACGCTAACTTGCGGCGACTCTGCTGATCTTGTTTGTGTATTTTGCTGAGCTTGTTTGTGTATTTTGCTTTGTTAGTTTGTGTATTTTGCTGAGCTTGTTTGTGTATTTTGCTTTGTTTGTGTATTTTGCTGAGCTTGTTTGTGTATTTTGCTTAGTTTGTTTGTGTATTTTGCTTTGTTTGAGTATTTTGCTGAGCTTGTTTGTGTATTTTGCTTTGTTTGTTTGTGTATTTTGCTATGTTTGTGTATTTTGCTGAGCTTGTGTATTTTGCTTTGTTTGTGTATTTTGCTGAGCTTGTTTGTGTATTTTGCTATGTTTGTGTATTTTGCTGAGCTTGTGTATTTTGCTTTGTTTGTGTATTTTGCTGAGCTTGTTTGTGTATTTTGCTTTGCTAGTTTGTGTATTTTGCTGAGCGTGTGTATTTTGCTTTGTGTATTTTGCTGAGCTTGTTTGTGTATTTTGCTTTGTTAGTTTGTGTATTTTGCTGAGCTTGTTTGTGTATTTTGCTTTGTTTGTATGCGTATTTTGCTGAGCTTGTTTGTGTATTTTGCTGAGCTTGTTTGTGTATTTTGCTGAGCTTGTTTGTGTATTTTGCTTTGTTTGTGTGTGCATTTTGCTGAGCTTGTTTGTGTATTTTGCTGAGCTTGTTTGTGTATTTTGTTTTGTGTATTTTTGCTGAGCTTGTTTGTGTATTTTGCTGAGCTTGTTTGTGTATTTTGCTTTGTTTGTGTATTTTGCTGAGCTTGTTTGTGTATTTTGCTTTGTTTGTTTGTGTATTTTGCTTTGTTTGTGTATTTTGCTGAGCTTGTTTGTGTATTTTGCTTAGTTTGTTTGTGTATTTTGCTGAGCTTGTTTGTGTATTTTGCTTTGTTTGTTTGTGTATTTTGCTTTGTTTGTGTATTTTGCTGAGCTTGTTTGTGTATTTTGCTTAGTTTGTTTGTGTATTTTGCTGAGCTTGTTTGTGTATTTTGCTGAGCTTGTTTGTGTATTTTGCTTTGTTTGTTTGTGTATTTTGCTATGTTTGTGTATTTTGCTGAGCTTGTTTGTGTATTTTGCTTAGTTTGTTTGTGTATTTTGCTGAGCTTGTTTGTGTATTTTGCTGAGCTTGTTTGTGTATTTTGCTGAGCTTGTTTGTGTATTTTGCTTTGTTTGTGTATTTTGCTGAGCTTGTTTGTGTATTTTGCTTAGTTTGTTTGTGTATTTTGCTGAGCTTGTTTGTGTATGTTGCTGAGCTTGTTTGTGTATTTTGTTGAGCTTGTTTGTGTATTTTGCTGAGCTTGTGTATTTTGCTTTGTTTGTGTATTTTGCTGAGCTTGTTTGTGTATTTTGCTTTGTTAGTTTGTGTATTTTGCTGAGCTTGTTTGTGTATTTTGCTGAGCTTGTGTATTTTGCTTTGTTTGTGTATTTTGCTGAGCTTGTTTGTGTATTTTGCTTTGTTTGTTTGTGCATTTTTCTGAGCTTGTTTGTGTATTTTTCTGAGCTTGTTTGTGTATTTTGCTGAGCTTGTTTGTGTATTTTGCTTTGTTTGTGTATTTTGCTGAGCTTGTTTGTGTATTTTGCTGAGCTTGTTTGTGTATTTTGCTGAGCTTGTGTATTTTGCTGAGCTTGTTTGTGTATTTTGCTTTGTTTGTGTATTTTGCTGAGCTTGTTTGTGTATTTTGCTGAGCTTGTTTGTGTATTTTGCTTTGTTTGTGTATTTTGCTGAGCTTGTTTGTGTATTTTGCTGAGCTTGTTTGTGTATTTTGCTTTGTTTGTGTATTTTGCTGAGCTTGTTTGTGTATTTTGCTGAGCTTGTTTGTGTATTTTGCTTTGTGTATTTTGCTGAGCTTGTTTGTGCATTTGCTTTGTTTGTGACTGCTCGCCGGAGCCCCATTGGCTCACGCAGGCGCACGGTGCGAGTAGGAGGAGGAGGCAGGAGGAGGAGCTCTGAGCGCCGTGCTGATTGGTCCGTGGGGGGGGGGGTGGAGCGATGCGTGCCAGAGGCTCCGAGTCCCCTCCCCCTCCCCCGCCCCATAGCAACGCGCCCCGCTCAAGTGGTGACGGCGGGAGGTGGTGAGGGCGGCGTGCGGTGATCGGGGGGTCGCGGGGAGGGCAACGGAGGAGTCGCGGGGACGCCGCCGCCGCTGTACCGACTGTTCCCCGTCCTCAACTCTTCGGGCGAGGTGGTCGCCAGCAGACTTCACGGCGACAGGCTTTAGCGACGAGGCGCTTTTACCTCAGCGACGCCGTCGCGATTTCGCGGGAGCCGGCGAGTCGATCACGCGCAGTTGACAGCGCCTCTCTCAACAACCACCCACCCCCATCAGGTACTCCTACTGTAACGCACGCACGCACGTTGAACTTCTTTCGCACCCTACGTTGACGGCCGTGCTCAACCCCCGGAGGTGCGGTGTGGGGACGAAGGATTTATTTATTTTTGCCCGCGCGAGTTGAGTTTACAAGACGGCTATACTACTGGTAGGAACCTCCTGGTTACACACCACCAGCCCGGGCACAGGGGATTATTGTGTCCGTCGTGCATACAAAAATGGGATGGGTGGGGCTGGGCGGGGAGTGGAGGGTGGGGAGGGGCTGGGTGGGGAGGGGAGGGTGGGGAGGGAGGGGCTGGGTGGGGAGGGACTGGTTAGGGAGGGGCTGGGTGGGGAGGGTGGGGCTGGGTGGGGAGGGGAGGGTTGGGGAGGGGCTGGGTGGGGAGGGAGGGGTTGGGTGGAGAGGGAGGGGCTGGGTGGGGAGGGAGGGGCTGGGTGGGGAGGGGAGGGTGGGGAGGGGAGGGTGGGGAGGGAGGGGCTGGGTGGGGAGGGGCTGGGTGGGGAGGGGAGGGTGGGGAGGGGCTGGGTGGGGAGGGGAGGGTGGGGAGGGAGGGGCTGGGTGGGGAGGGGAGGGTGGAGAGGGAGGGGCTGGGTGGGGAGGGAGGGGCTGGGTGGAGAGGGAGGGGCTGGGTGGGGAGGGGAGGGTGGGGAGGGAGGGGCTGGGTGGGGAGGGAGGGGCTGGGTGGGGAGGGGAGGGTGGGGAGGGAGGGGCTGGGTGGGGAGGGGAGGGTGGAGAGGGAGGGGCTGGGTGGGGAGGGAGGGGCTGGGTGGGGAGGGAGGGGCTGGGTGGGGAGGGGAGGGTGGGGAGGGAGGGGCTGGGTGGGGAGGGGAGGGAGGGGCTGGGTGGGGAGGGGAGGGTGGAGAGGGAGGGGCTGGGTAGGGAGGGAGGGGCTGGGTGGGGAGGGAGGGGCTGGGTGGGGAGGGGAGGGTGGGGAGGGAGGGATGGGGAGGGTGGGGAGGGGAGGGTGGGGAGGGGAGGGTGGAGAGGGAGGGGCTGGGTGGGGAGGGTGGAGAGGGAGGGTGGAGAGGGAGGGGCTGGGTGGGGAGGGAGGGGCTGGGTGGGGGAGGGTGGGGAGAGTGGGGAGGGAGGGGCTGGGTGGGGAGGGAGGGGCTGGGTGGGGAGGGAGGGGTTGGGTGGGGAGGGGCTGGGTGGGGAGGGTGGGGAGGGGCTGGGTGGGGAGGGGCTGGGTGGGGAGGGGAGGGTGGAGAGGGGCTGGGTGGGGAGGGGAGGGTGGGGAGGGGCTGGGTGGGGAGGGGAGGGTGGGGAGGGAGGGGCTGGGTGGGGAGGGGCTGGTTGGGGAGGGGCTGGTTGGGGTGGGGCTGGGTGGGGAGGGGCTGGTTGGGGAGGGGCTGGGTGGGGAGGGTGGGGCTGGGTGGGGAGGGGAGGGTGGGGAGGGGCTGGGTGGGGAGGGGCTGGGTGGGGAGGGTGGGGCTGGATGGGGGGTGGGAGGGGTGGGGCTGGGTGGGGGGTGGGAGGGAGGGGCTGGTCACCCCGTGGTGCCCTTATAAAACTCAACGTTTAACCTACTCACACCGGCTTGTGCCCGCCCTCACAGTCGGGCATATTTGCGGAATACACCACGTGGTGCCGTGGACCCTGGCCATTGACCGAGCAACCCAACGTTCCTACTAGCTCTCTCCGCAGGAATGTGTTTGAATGCGTTGTAAAGTTGAGGCAGCCGCCGCAAGTGACCATATTCGCCGGATTAGGGGCCGTCCATAAATGACCTCACGCACCTAGGGGTGGGGGGGGGTCAGACATTTGTAATGATGTGTGACAAGGGGGGGGGGGGTTGAGAAATGTGACGTCACATAAAAATGCGCAACTTTAAATAAATATAGACAACACGTTCTACTTAATTAAATACTTTTTAATAAATGTTTTCTCCTACAACATCAGAGTGCAGCGCCACATTAAATACGCACTACAATGACAATAGTTTAAAGCGATTTGAAGCATGTTTAATATATTTTTTGGGGGTGGGGGCAGAGCTTTGTGACGTCATATTTGAGAGGGTGACGAAGGGGGGGGGGCTCAAAAATCGTTCAAAATCGCGTGACGTCATTTATGGACGGCCCTTATCTTATTCTTGAGCGATGTGTGTTTGCCCTGTCAAAACGTCAGGTCGGTCGTCACTCTGTAAGAGAGGCCCCTTCTCCTCTGCTGCCTTCGTTGTTCCTTCAACTCCACCCTCAACTCCATCTCAACTCCACCCTCAACTCCACCCTCAACTCCACCCTTAACTCCATCTCAACTCCATCTCAACTCCATCTCAACTTCACCTTCAACTCCATCTCAACTCCACCCTCAACTCCATCTCAACTCCACCCTCAACTCCATCTCAACTCCACCCTCAACTCCATCTCAACTCCACCCTCAACTCCACCCTCAACTCCATCTCAACTCCACCCTCAACTCCATCTCAACTCCATCTCAACTCCACCCTCAACTCCATCTCAACTCCACCCTCAACTCCACCCTCAACTCCACCCTCAACTCCATCTCAACTCCACCCTCAACTCCATCTCAACTCCATCTCAACTCCACCCTCAACTCCATCTCAACTCCACCCTCAACTCCATCTCAACTCCACCCTCAACTCCATCTCAACTCCACCCTCAACTCCACCCTCAACTCCAACTCAACTCCATCTCAACTCCACCCTCAACTCCACCCTCAACTCCATCTCAACTCCACCCTCAACTCCATCTCAACTCCACCCTCAACTCCATCTCAACTCCGCCCTCAACTCCACCCTCAACTCCATCTCAACTCCATCTCAACTCCACCCTCAACTCCACCATCAACCCCATCTCAAACCTAAAACTCCACCCTCAACTCCATCTAAACTTTATCTCAACTCCACCCTCAACTCCATCTCAACTCCACCCTACTCCATCTCAAATCCACCCTTAACTCCATCTCAACTCGACTCTCAACTCCACCATCAATGCCATCCGTGCTGCCAACTCCCTGCCTCGTTCAGGGCCCACTCATCTGCGAGTGACTTTGTGCCTTCACAAATAAATAACAAGTCCTGTATTGTGCAGTATTTGCCTCCTTTCTTTCCATGATGCACCTGTTTTCATAAAAAAACGTATTTAAAATACAGGAGCCAGGTTGTACGGTACATACAAAACTAAGCCTTCTGCACGAAAGTATGGATTAAAACATTTATGTTCAGCGAATGAAAACTCACGTACAATGTAGCGGAGAAACTCAACACATTTGGCAATAACGCCGCCTTGAAAAAGTAAATAAACGATGTTTTTTTGGGCAAGGTAGAGTGAACTCTCTGTGCTGTGAAAGACCAATGCCCGAAACGTCAACTATTCTATGTTTTTTTCTTCAGGCAATGTTATTGACGAATGTGTTGTTATTTGTGCTCGTGCACGACCGCCAATGGCAGTACAGTATCGCCAAATACTGTAATTAACATCTCCAAATACTGTAATTAACATCTCAATGCTGAAAAACCACCCCGCAAACGACTCGATGGGGATTGCAGTGAACGTAGCAACATCGCCCCCTGCTGCGAAAACGAAACAGGAACCCTCCGACAAGAGTATTGAGCCTCAAGCCAGGCTTTTCTGGGTAAACAAGTGTAATAATACTGTCATAATAAATAATACACCGACTCGAGATGCAACTGAATTTGGACACTTTATGAACATAAAATAATACAGTACCTTTGTGCGAGATATCTGATTATATCTGGCACATTTCAGATGACTTGGCCACAGGCGTTGCTACATCTTGTGACAAACGCCATCACTATACTCTGCTGTTGTTGTTATTGTCGTGCGCTTTGCCTCCCACAGATTTTGCGGTGATGCCAGACACGGAGCACTCAGCTCTCACCACAAGATGGGCTGGGCACCAGCAGACCGCAGGTTTGGCCAGGGTGCACCACTCTGTGTGATTAACTCCGTACGGTGATGTATGTGGGACGCTGCGTTCACTTGACTCGTGGCTGCCCTTTTATCGTAAAAGCAGAGAGCGCCGATCAAGACTCTATTGGCCCTCGACAAGATAAGAGCTCTGCATCTAGAGATGTGCTCACTGAATGTGATGGTAAGATGTCCCCCGTAGGAGATTACAAAACTCTATCGAAATCAGGGCTTAATTTCAAGAGGGTCTGTGGGTCGTCGAACCAAGAAATATATTGTCGCTCCCCAGCACAACACATCCTGTAAACCTCTCGCGACATCCGTGGCTGCCAGTCACATGCGTACTCCAGTCTATCAGTGCCTCTACAGCGTATGTATTTTGCAGTTGTGTTGCATAAATCTCCGATGTGTTTTCGCGTTGTGTCGCATGCCATTCGGCATATTCGACTTTTCACTCCGCGTGTTGGGACCTTTACAACCACAAAAAGTTAAGCAGTAGAATCTCAATTCTATGGGGAGAAAAAAGAAATATCTATTTTCCCACGTGTGCTGCTGGATGGGAGATGATGGGTGGGGCTTGGTAATGTCAGTGGCTTCTAGGGGGTTTCCCTCCTTCTGAAGGCAAACTGATTTGGGGCAGCCACCATTTTTAAAGGGGTCTGAGTAATCCACCAAAGCAAAAGAAGTCGTTTACAATTTTTTGTCGATTAGCCTGCTTAATGGATTAATTGCCTCAGCTCTAATGCTGCTCCTGCTGCCTCTTCTCATGCGGTGGTCCCCGTTGCGTATACGCGTGTGCAGGCGAGCCAGAGAGGGGCCTGCACACCGACCCACAGCCAGAAGCTGTGCAGGAGGCTCTACCCGAGCCTGAGCCATCTCCTCTCGCCAAGAGAGTCCTGCAACTCATCCAGCATCTGCAGATAAAGGTACAGATGGGTGGTCTCAGCAGGTGCCCTTCACAACCATCATCAGCATCATAGGCCATGGTCAATCTACTGCTGGATGAAAGGCTCCCAAAGCTGCCACCACCTCTCGCGATCTACCGATGTTATAATCCATCTAAAACATGCACATGAGCCGATTTCATCACTGCATCTCCTCCAGCGTCCCATTACTTCGTTGCTACTCTTTTATTATTCTTGACCATCGGCCAGTTTAATAAGAAATAATAATTATGATAATAGTTCACAGCTGTTTGTCAATCTACTGCTGAAGGATTTTCCTATGCCTTGTCAGTTATGGGGGTTTCTTTCATACTTAACCATGCTGGTCAGTGTGGGTTGGCGAAGGGGGTCTGGCCTAGGTACCAGGTCATGTGTTACTCGCCACAAATGTGAGAAGATTGTGACAGTTTTACACAATAAACATAACAGCCCTCATGCTGAATGTGTCTTTTTCACGTATGTGCTTCACAGACCTCCAAAAACATCTCATGTGACTCTCCACGTCCAATAATGCCCAGGTATGTAATCACTTGCGTCTATAGCTTTGCCTTTACATCATAAAAACCCATACGCATACATTACGCGGTGATGCTAATCGGAGGTGCGGGGGAAGGACAACAAACTCGTGATGCTTCGTACGTATAAATTAAGATGTCACAAAAAATAGAAACACATGTGCATCTAACCGAAGAGGGTTTCTAAATTCTTATATTTATGTTTCAGACGTAATCGTGAAGGTGAACAACACAATGTTTTGGACCAAATGGACCTTCGTGTAGAAGGCAAAGAGATGTACGCAAAAGGTATGATCGTCACGGCACGCACGATTGCCAAGGGCTTTTGTTTGCCAGCTGAACTACAGTTAAAATCACATGCTGCAATTAAACTAAACGGGAGAGAGAGACGGGGAGATGTATACGCAGTGGTAGTAAACAGACGGAGAGAGAGATATATCTATATATATAAAAGGGAAATTTGCGAATGTGTGTCTGTTCAAAATGTATAGCATACTTCCCGACATGCAACAAACTTGAAATTTGCCATGTGGGTACTTTTCAGACTGTACACCATGCAAAAATTATAAAAATAGACTTTTGTATTTTTTGGGGGGGCGGGGGGGCGCAATTATGGATATATTTTACACGGCAAGTGAGCTGTGACGTCACACTTCTGTCATGTCACCCGCGCGGCAGCGTAACACAGTGTGCCTGCTGACGTCATCCCCCCCCAACCCTCCGCGTAGGCTGTCTATGAATCCAAGACAAGAATCCAAGTCTCGGGCGAAGCCGGGTAGTGAAGCTAGTATGAGATAAAGAGACGCAATGAGAGACATTATTTTGGTAGGGTGATTTTTTCATAGAATTTACAGCCGAGGTGCAGAAAAAACGACAATTCAAGTAAAGGTTGCTAAACAATAGAGTTTCTGCTTCATCAACACACACACGGGAGCTTTAAAGCATTGAAACCAATAAACACAAATGCAAATATCACTGCGGGCATGTTTGATTATTACTTTAGAGTACAACATTATTGTTTTACCTACAGATAGTTTTCTGCAATTCTGAAAGAAACAGCTGCTCCATGACCATTTGCATATGGGCTCCCTCCACTCTCCTCTCCGACTCGGCAAATAGCCAGTGGAAAAACACCGGTGCCATGCTGGCCCCCTTGCTGTCTTGGCACAGACGCGCACTTAGAAAGGGGTAGTGATAGTCTCACCCCGGTGTCTTTACGAAACGCTCGTGGCTTCTTGCCCAAGTGAATGCTGCACGCGTGCTTTACTGATCACGTGCTTAGTGGAAGCACCGCGTAGAGTGCGTTACAGCGGTAATCTCTTGTGAGGCACTTGAACGGATGGCTGCTCGCTTAAAGGGAATATATGCTTGACACTTCAAGGGACCCTTTGCTAATTGGCATCATTACTCTGTTATTATTATTTATTACTACTACCTGGGGGAAGGAAATGTCCATTCGAACCTGATAAGTGATGGGTTTTGTCAACACTTGTTTTTTTAGAAGTGGAATGTTTTCTTCAATAGCTCCGTGCTGTTGCTACATTGAGCGGCTATGTTTGTATCGACAGCGGGTTTATTGGCCACTGGTGTTTTTGTCAAAAATGAGAAACGCTTTGTAGTTCAGGCAATATTGACACGAGTTCTCCAGTTGCTTTCGCCAGGGAGACGCTATCGATTTACCGATTTCTGCGGCGTTTACACCATGCAAAAATAATGTACAGCCCTTTGTTAATCCACTGCTGGACGAAAGTGTCGTGTCGGTGGTCGGGTTGTTTGATCATACTTCTCCGCGCCGGTCAGTGCAGGTTAGTGAAGGTGGGAGGGAAGGTACCCAGGACCGGTTGGGATATCCCTTGCCACCACGGGCGTTAGCCACGTGCGGGATTCAAAGTCGGGTTCGGTGGGTTCATAGCGCACTGCGTTAACCGCCTTTCCCCAGAAATGTATCCTGAACTCGTTTGTAGCTACGCTTCCTATGACTATTGATGCGAGATCGTGTCCATATGTTAAATAGGTTACGCCTCATAGGATGGTATCCTATACGATAGTGCGTTTTGATTTTATATAATTTATACATTTTCACTCAATGTCATTTTATATTCTCCGGTTACGTGTGCTTGGTCCCTATTGATAGAATCTAAGGTAATGCAATCTTTAATCCGCATTATTTAACATAAATTGTTGTTGACATACAGCTTCGAGATCCAACAATCCAAATCATTATTATATTATGATAAAGTAAAAAAAATTGGCTTCCTGAAAAAAAACATTTCTTGCATCAATAGACTAATAGTCTCCACGACTGTTAAGGCTCCACGATCTCCCGCTCTTCCTGAATAATAACCCATGCATATGTAAGCTGGAGTTTAGCATGATTAAAATATATTAATTATTTGTCAATTAACAATGCTGCCTTATCTTAATTTTGTAACCACGTCTAACAATTATTTGATTGTAAACACGTCACTGCCATTGTGTAACCAATAGCACCATATACATTAGTCTGGTAGCAGTTAAGTGGCATTTACAACTAAAAAAGAGTTGTTTAACACAATAATGGCATCGGTGAAGCAACCTTCCATAGGCCTCCGGACGAGGTGAATGTCGCTTCTCTGTCGCGGCGGTGGTCGTCTGGAATTCACTTCCTCCTCTGTCACCGTGCCGCACATTGGCATTGACCTTTCATCGTTCTACCGTTAAGGCTTCTCTGTCTTTTTTTATGAATTCTCCCACGTCTCCGAATGCCCTTTTTGGATTCAACGTGTGCGCGTCATAAACGTAATAACGAACGGGTGAAATGGTGACCCGTTAGCTACGCGGCGTCGATGCTCGCACGCGAGTCCTAGAGAGGCTTCGAGAGAATGGGTGGCGGTGGAGTCGAAGACTTGAACGCATGGCGCGTGTTTGGTGTCCCGGCCGTGTTGAGTGAAGGCGACGGAGCCGGCACGGAGCCCTGCGGCCACGCTCACCTGCGCCTGGACGAGGCGGCCGCGCTGCTGAGCTCCATGGAGCGCGAGCTGCGCCGGCTGGAGCACTCGCTGGAGCAGCAGAGCAGGCGCTGCCGCCGGCTGGGCCTCTCCGTCGAGCAGCTGGTGCTTGCGAGCCTGCGGGACGCTCCGGCCGATGTGCAGAAAGGTGACGTCGCTGGGGCGGAGAGGGAGCAAAGCTCCGTGTGTCTCTGTTTGTTGGTTCTTGAATGCATTTTAACTTTTCAACTACGGTTGAATGTGTGAACGCATTAGTTCCATCCATCTGTCTGCCTGTCTCGTTTTATTTTTACGTGGGTAGGGGGGGGTGGCATGATAAGATTTTGTAAAGGTAATGTAATGAGTGAAATTGCTGCTATTTCTTCATGACGTGTGACATCATCACAAGTCATGCGCGTGCCTCTCCTTTCGATTACGTGGTCGTGTGTGACATCATCTCGCGTCGTCATGTGCCGTGTGACTTCATCTCATGATTCAGCTTGGGACGTATCGTCATTGTTACCAGGACAGAGGCGTATTGTATGGCATTGCAGAATGCACGTATTGTTTTCCCCTTTTGTTAAAGTCGTTTTTTCTCATTTATTCCCATTTGTAAATCCAAACCTGTGATGGTGTCGCTGTTGAGCACAGGCAGGCAACGTATTTTACCGAGTGCTCCATAAAGTCCTCGAAACAGCAAATATAACACAATCGTATAGCCATAACGTTCTTGACATTGCAACCGTGATACGTTGGAATAAAAGATAAAAGTGAAACAAATTTGCGCGAAATATTAAAAGGCACCGTGTTTTGACGCGAAGTGTACCGAATAAACTGGCGATGATCTGTTTCTGAAAGAATAACCTGGAATGTGTAACGGCCACGGTTTTCATTCACTCTCTGAGAGAGAGAGAGCGAGAATGATGCATCAGAGGTGTGGGAAAACACAGACGAGCAGAAAGGCAGCCAGAACCAGCACCAGAAATTGCCGAAGCTCTGTGGTCCTATCTTTGGATGTTTGGCCAACTCCATTAACGAGTCTTTATACATGTGGAAGGAAACTGGATAACCCGGAAAAAAAGAATACAGATGGAATACAGATAGAAATGAACTCACTTACTGTACTGCCATAAAACCCTAGCAAGCGAGGACATCAGAATCAGAATATTTATACTGGAGGAATCCGATGAGCTATGAAGCTCTTTTTCGCAGATGTTCATGACGACCCCGACACCCACAAGTAGGGAGGGAGTTTCACAAAAATTGCGTGATCCACCAAACCTCACTGCCTCCACACAGCGCTGCTTTACAGGCACGCGCACAGCCACCAGTTGGCGCGCTCAGCCACAGGGAGCGTGCGAGATGCGAACGTTTGCACTCCGCGCGGTGCACGAGCGACTAACCGCGCCGCGTCTCGCGCAGAGCACGACCGGAGCGCCCCCGAGCTGTGCGAGCTGCTCCCTCGGCTCCAGCAGGCGGAACGAGAGGCGCGGGCGCGGCGCGACGCGGTCGCTCGCGCCGCCGACCGCGGCGGCCGCTTCCGCGACGAGCTGGAGGCCGTGCGGAGGCAGTGCCCGCTCGTCGAGGGCAAGATGCGCGCAGAGGCCGCGGCCGTGGAAGACGTTCGCCATTCGCAGGCGCAGGTGACATCTTCTGTTGTGCGTCACGAAACGGGGGGCCGGATTAACCCAAGCGGCTTCAGGCTTGGGAGGTGCCAAGTTGTTTTTCCACTGCAGAAGCTGAGCCGAGCTGTGCCACTGACGTCGATTCGCGTGTCGGGGACTCGGTGATGCTGTGTCCTCACAGTGTACGGACTGACATCGTACGCATTGCTAGCCACACCCCCAGCCCTGCCTGGCCCAAGTTAGATTCAGGTGTCTTGTGAGGCCAGCACATTATGGGTTTGTTGTGGCTCGGCACGGCAAATAGCCAGTGGAAAATCACCCTCGCCATGAGTGCCCCCCGCGCTGGCTCGGCTCGGGTGGTGTGCCAGTGGAAAAATGACCTATAAACTATTTCTATTTTACAAGGTAAGGCCCACTGAGCTATATATCTCCTTTTCAGAAACCAAATAGCAGCCAAATACTCTTCAACACATGTTTATAAATGTGGAGGGAAAAACCAGAGGACCCGGAGAAAAATCCATGTGACCACAGGGAGTTAAACATGCAAACTCCAAATATACAGGAGTAACGGTTGGGATCGAACCCACGACCTCTTGTATACCAGGCGAGGTAGTTCACATCTCGCGAGTGTGGCAGCCAAAAGGAATATCGCTGTCCATTTTACTTCTTCAATGCAATATTGTATTGGCAGGTGCCTATTGAGGTGCTCGCTTTGGCATCGTTTTAACCACCGGTTTTCTCTACGATCGAGATGCAGGCCTCTGCGGTGCTGAGCTCCGTGCTGGCCCAGCTCCAAAAGACGGAGGCGCGGCACCACGCCGTGTGTCAGGACGCCGATCGCCAGCGACGCTGCACAAGCGAGGAGACTGGCGCTCTGCAGCAATCGTTGAGAGAGCTGCAGTTAAGATAAAAAAACGCATCACGCACCTGTGTGCTCGTTCATTATTTTTTCTTTGGGCCCTTGCCAAGCCCGGGGCCAAAATCCCCAAGGTGTTACGGCTCCGGCAAACTAGAACCACTGTCAAAGTTGACTATAACAACTGTTAAAGTTATAACAGATTTCAGTGTAACGCGTTTGTAGAATCAGGTGTGGTTATTGCTGTAAGTGCTTGGGGAAAAGGGACGATGATGGGAGGAGGCAATTCCAAACTCGAGCAGCTAGAGAAGCGTTTTTCACCTGCTGTATGGTGGTTGAACGCAGCGTGGATGAGACGAAAAAGTGTTTTATGGTGCTGCTGTGAGCATTCGTGTCACGTAGCGGTGTAATCCTCTGTTAATCCACTGCCGGATGAAGGCCTTCCCGCTCCCTGTCAGTCATAGGGGTCGTTTGACCGTACTTTACCCCGGTGGTAGCAGCGGCCGAGAATCGAACTTGAGTCGCTAGACTTGTGTTGCAGTGCGCTAACCACTGTGCCACTGCTTCCACCGCCTTTGAACGTTGTTGTTGAGAAATGTTCCAGTAATCAATGAGCGACCGAATTGCTGGCCACTTAAAGAAATGGCTCTTTTCTACATGGGTGGTACCCCGTTATAATGGAACCACGTGTGGAACCGGCGGAAAGTTGACTACCCTTATCAGGGGTGGCTCACTAGACCCAGGTTTAATGGCACCGTGAGCTGGGTCTTTGAAGAAACCCGCGAAGACATGAACGCATCGCCGCCTATATATTTTTTTATTTGTATCTGCGCAGGTCTCCTAGTCACGTGCAAAAATGTATGCATTTACACACTAATACACCTTGTACAGTATTGACTGTAAACAAAACGAACGAGGATTGTGTGTTTGGCAGCAATGTACCGAATGTATGCAAATGCATATTTGCACTCGTCTCCTAGCCAGATGCAAAAATAAACACATTGCACAGCAGTAATGTTATCGCTGTATGGAGCCAAGTCAACACAAGAGGACATGTTCATTAATAACGGGGCGGAGGAGGGGGGATACAAGCATGGTTGTTCGTTCTGACGAGGGATAATACCGTAATATCTCCACATCTCTTAGGAGGACCCTTGTTCACACGCCACCACATTTCACACCCGCACGGCGTGCCTACTTTGTGTGGGGCGACAGGACGGAGGTCTCGCAGGCACGGAGTCTGTTCACCGCGTACGATCGGAAAATTGCCGAATCGAAGATTAAAATTGAGGAGATTGAGAAGATTCACAAGGCCATGCAGGAGCAATGTAAGGAGCTGAACGCGGAAGAGGCAGAGCAGCAGATGGAGGTATTCTCGACCTACAAGCCAGCAGCGCACAGTCACGTTTGCCAATTAAGAAATGTTGGCCTTTGCGTATGTATATGTATATATGTTGAGCTTATTTCGCACCGTACGTAGGCCGACCGTGCTTATAGGAGGTGCCGGGGAAGAACACCAACCTAAACGCAAAAAGCAGTTCGAAAGAAATGGGTTTTCAATCTAGATTTAAAAGTGCATAGCTCCAGTGGTTTCCTAATATCGGAAGGAAGAGCGTTCCAGACGGGCCGCAGAAGCGCATCTGAAAGCGCGCGATGTGGTAACCGCCTTTGTTTGATGGCTTGTTATCCATACTTCACCACGGAATCAAAACTCGAGTTGGCGGGTTCATCACGCAGCACGCTAATCGCTGCACGGCCGCTGTCCCCCTCACTGTGACTACACACGACCAACAAAACTGCAGGAAATGAAAATGCCTTGCCGGTGTCTAAGGGTGGCTGATGTTGGGAACCCCAAAGCTTAACCCGAGAATGCAGCGTTTGGTTCTAAGAGACTGATTCTGCCACACAGCAAGGAGGGCGTGGGCTAGATTCTCGACTCAGGCATCTTTCTGTTTTACTCTTGTTCTGCATGGGTTTTCCTTCTGGGTTCTTCAGTTTCCTTCCCATAGATGAAGAAAAAACCTAAACAATGGTATTGGCCAAACATTCCAATGCTGAGAAATGACATGAAAGTTACTCGGTTGGGATTATACTAAAGCGACGTCACGCCCTGCTCCAAAGACTTGGTAGAACCCTCCTAAAAAAGAGTCTCGAGACTTTTCCCGGGTAAACAAGCGTAAAAACGATGAGGATATACTTCGATATATGACTACGTTACAGTTTGGTCTGATGTCGTTAGCCTGTGAATGTTCTCCAAAAAAAATGAAATACTTCCGAGAACAAACGCATGTTGGAAAAGTCGGTTGTTTCAAACTTGTAGAAGTGCATTCAGTGGATATGTTCAACTTTTATTTGTTCATCATCTGCACGTGGTTATGCACACAGGTGAAGAAGATCGAGAATATACTCAGGAAGCAGGAACGCAAGCACAACAAACTTATTCAAGACTGCAACGTCCTGCAAGAACAAAAACAGAACCTGGTAAGATTGACGGATCGTGGCCACTTCCGCACCCGGAACCGCTTTGATTGTGCAGATCGCATCGCTGAAAAGGGTCTTGCGGCAAAATTAATACCACGCGGCGATGTTTTGCTAGAGACTTCACCTGGAGATGGAGATCAAAGCACTTCAGAGCAAAGAGCAGGTGTACACCAAGCAGCTGCATCACCTGCATGAAGAGAACAAGGCTTCCGCTTTGGAACTTAAGAACTTGAGAGGCCAGGCCACCAAAAGGTATAGCACTGTTTCACTGTGGTTAAAGCCTCACCGTGTATTCACATGTAATTCAATTCAAAATATATTTCAAATCTATCGGCGTTTTTGACATTCCGGACCAAAATAGTCCAAGCAGTATTTGTTCAGGCAAGCAAACCAGCAAACTCTGGACCTTATTTGGGATATTCTGGGTCTCGTCAGCAGAGTTGGGGATCGTTACACAAATAGTGCTTGATTGGCAAGAGCACTCCATCTAAACTATGAGAACCAATGCAAAAATACCACACAAGGGTTTCACTGCTCTGAACAGCATTCTGAGTAGATGCTTCATGCCATTGCACGACGTCAATAACAACTGTAAGAAAGAAAAAGCAACCGAAAGAAAATAGTCACCTTGCTACGCTTGTAATATATACCGATTAGCGAGTTCCACTGTGACATCCAATGGCATAAATAAAGTAGTCACGAAGGACGTCGCTTCACATTGTCGATACGTTGAATGACGGGCGAATGTCCACCACAGTGAGCTGGCGACGGAGTCGGTGCTGACAGAGACGCAGCGTTTCCTTGGCGACGTGGCCAAGATGGCCGCGCAGCAGGAGCAGCTGCCGGTCACGCTTGCCTCCGTGCAGGCCAAGAGGTCGCGCGTCGAGGCCGCCCTCCAGCAGGCTGAGAAGGTCGCGCGGATGAAGGAGGCCAACCTCAAGGTGAGGAAGTCCAGACGTGGATCTGTCCACGTGCCTCAGCGACGCGGGCCGCCCGGCGCCGTTCATTATAACTGCTGGTTAGATAATGTCACGGCCAATAAGCCACGCACTTTGTTTAGACGTGGTGGAGCGGCAGGGCGTTTGCCGCTCGTTGCGTAGCTTCGTTTGTTTGAGCCCGGCAGCCGTCCTGGTTAATGCTGCAGGATGTGTTGCATGCACGTACATGTGTATGTATGTTGAACGTCTTTCGCACCGTACGTAGCCGGCCGTGCTAATCGGAGGTGCGGCAGAAGGACAAGAAACTTAATACAAAAAGCAGCTCTTAAAAAATTAGTTTTCAATAGATATTTAATGATCACCAAAAACTATTTGTTTACCTTCAAGACAATGGAACATCTGATTGGACGGCTGTCCACTGTTACTCATTTCCCAGAATCACCTCTGACATAATTCATGATCACATCTCCATTAAACGTCGCTTTTCCCTGCGCACGACGTCAAAGTGGACCTTGTTCTATGTTTGTGTTGCAGAATACTGTGGAGACAATGAAGAGAGACCTGGCGCGAGAGGTGAAGAGCAAGGAGAGAGCTGAGGTTGGGATACAACACAGATCTCCCCCAACTCGCGAAATGCAAAGCTTTTAAACAGGGCCCATCTAAACATTATACAAAAATCTATTTATTTTGTCTGGTAAATATCACTGACATACTAATATTCAGAGTCTCAAGGGGGAAGGGTGGGGGAGAACAAACCCCCCTTCTCCCCCTCCTTCTTGGATCCGCCACTGCCCTGAATGTAGAAGCTAAACCTTACAATTGTCTCTATTCTGAGAATGGGTAAGTGAAGGAAAATAAATGGGAAAGGGAATAGGGGGGAAATGATGTAAAAGGAACGGAAAAACGGGAGCAAAGGGTCGGGAAAGATGAGGATAGGGGAAGAAGAAGCTACGCAAGGGCCTCACACGCTGCTACACGAAGCGGCGTCCGTTTTCACAGAGTGCGGTTGGCCACACGGAAGCCACGTGATTTATGGGAGGCTTCAGCCGATCTGGACGTATCGACGTGACCGTGCTTTTCTGGCGGCGGAGTGCGAGCGAGCTGCCCCCGTCCGTGCGTGTTCGCGCGTTTCAGGCCGCGCTGGACAGGGGGCGAGCGGAGCTGCAGCGGAGCCGCGCCGAGGTGGAGGGGGAGTGCCGCGCTGCGCAGGCCCGCGCCGCCCACGCGGCCGAGCGCCGCCTGCAGATGGAGGGCAGCACGGACAGCGAGCGCCAGCAGCACGCGCACAGCCAGCAGGTAGGGATGGCCGCGGGATACCAGATGCAGGGCAGCACGGACAGCGAGCGCCGCGAGATGCTTGTGTCGTTGCATGCCCAGTTAGTGCTGCTTGTCTGCTGTTGCAAGGTAGTCTCCCTGCCCATACGTGTGCAATAATATCCCCGAATACATTTAAACGTGTCTTTAACTTCATTTTAATTTTTACTACAAATGCTTTTTAAATGTAGATTTTCCGAGCCATCTTTCGTTCCAGGAAATTATTTTTGTTTCTGCGCATGTTTAGCTGTCATCCGCAACACGGTCGTTTTTGTGCTTCACTGTTGCTCTTCATTTTTATCTGATCGCTTTCTTCATTCCGGTGACCCAGGTCCGTCACTCTTACAAAATGAAACCATCCTGGTCTCTTTTTTAATTCTCACCCGGCCTCAACAATTTGACACCTGAACTCGCCCCATACTCCCTTTTAACCACGGCCTTCATGACATGGCACCGTGCAAACGATTGTCGCGCGTATCGTTGATGACTGTCCACTGAAGTCCAGCGGAAGCTCTGTGAGAACTACACTCGGCCACCGAAGACGCTGTCGCGAAGGTCTCCTTTGCTCTGACGGCAGATGCTGGAGTCACTCCAGCAGCAGCTCGGGGACGTGTCCCTCAAGAAGGCGACCATGGAACGGGAGCTCAAGGAGCAGACGGCGGGGATTGAGGTCGCACTGCGAGCCGCAAAGGTGAGGCAGCAAGGGAATCACCCTTCCCTTGAAATGACGTCGTACAAATACGATGCGGAAACGAATGTAAGGCTTGCTCCTTCGTGAAAGGTTTTTCCGCTCCACGTAAAAATATCGTCCGCTTTTAAGGATATAAGGCTACAATCGAGTGGAGAGGTCCATTCGGCCCACCGCTGTGAGTAGCGGATCGATTCCAGGATATGATCGAGGCGTCTCTTGAAGAAGAGTCCCGAGTGAATCGGCTTCCACCGTGTGCGCTGTAGGCAGCCCGTTCCGCCGCTCCTTGCATAAAAAAACATCGTCGCTTCCTGGCCTCGGTCCTCAACTCTATCGGTGTCAGACTGTGTGGCGTGCGTTCGTGAACTTTTCGAGAGACGGTTTGGTGAGACTAAAGGGAATGGTGGTGACAGTCGATGAGCGGTTGATGGATTGATTAGTTTGAAGATTGTTACTCTGTTGCTTGAGTGCCATTGCCATTTCCCTTTGATTCCTTTTTATTTCCTGCCCGTCTATGCCCCGAGACTACTCTTGTGTGAATTAAAAGTGGCTGTAGTTGGAATCTCGCGGGAACTGTTTAATATTTTTGTTAAATTTTCGTGGAACGCGTTCTAATCGTCAATTTAACTCGCATTATTTACAGCCCCTTGTAATCCACATTCCGTTTTCTGGGATGGACTATGTGTTGTGATCGCTTCTTCCCCGGAAGCCTTTACCACGCGCTACTGTGTGGGGCATCTTCAGGAGTTGCGGAGGGCAGCGGCGGCAGCGCGTGGCGCAAGACCGAGAGGAGAAACGGTCAGCGCGCGGTCCAACCCGAAAAAATCGCAACTTGGACGGTTCATTCTTGATTTCACGAAGTTCTAATCACACACGTGCACTGCGCGCGGTGCGCCTAGGAGCGGAGGGACGAGGCGGTCCCACAAGCACAGCACATGCAGGAGACAGCGCTCGTGCTGCGCGAGGAGCTCGCCCGCCTGCGCCCTTCGCTGCTCATCTTCGACAAACTCCGCACGAACACGGAGGAGGCCCTGAACCACTTACAGTTCCGTTGCACCGTTGTTCCACCATTGTTCTGCCGTTCCGCCGTTCCAACCTAAAATTTTTCTCTCATCGCTCGCGCTCTTTGTCTTTTTCGACGCATTTTTATCTTGTCTATCTGTTGATATTGTGGAATATATAGCGGCCACTGGAGGCTGCAAGGGCCACACCGACCCATCACATACAACACGTGTGAATGTGAAAATATAGATTCTCACGTACGATTTGATAAGTTGTATATTGGGAGCTTGAGAATCGATAATAATCTATGAATCGATGCGTCATCACTGCTTGTAGCTCATTAGCAAGGGCTGTTCCATCCCTGAAACTTTTTCTTTTATTTTCACCCCTCAAATTGTGTCTGAATTGTGCTATCGGCGTTGTGTCACAGTGGACCGGTGCATCGAGCACGTGACTTGTAGCCCCAGCCATAGTGAGAGGGACGCTGGGTACAGAACTATATCCCGGCTCACCAACTCGGACAGACCCAGCGTGACATCAATCCCCGACTGCTAAGTGACTGCGGTTGCCTGCTTTCATTTTCCCCAATTTTATCTCAGTTACGCTCTCGACACAAAGCAGCTGCCCGCAGAAACGGATGTCATGGAGCTACCTCTGTGATTCCTTCAACTGACGTCTGATCCACGCAGTATGAGGCAGCACTTTCCCACCCGCCCTGCCATGGAGAGCAATGTTTGTCGCATGACAGAACTCGAATAGCACCATTTTAAATGCGGAGTCAAATTTAACATAATGAGGGTTTGTTGTTGTGCAGTCACTTGTGACCGAGCTGAGACCATAAACTCGCTGCGCTTGAGAATCCGGTTTAATCACAGGTCACACTTGGGTTCGAACCCAGGTTCTCGGCCATGCCAGCTCAACGCTGTGACCTCTGAACGAACAAGCATGGCCACCTCATCCTACCACTCAAATTCTAAGCTTTTAAGTCGATCACTCGTAGACACTGCCTGTGATATTGAGGCCGCAGGGGCAGCATTACCACCGTTACCTGTATTTGTCACCGTTATCTATCAGTCGTGACTTTATCTTCGGTCGTGCATTCAACCTTGAGATAATCTGCCCGAGCCGATTTGCACCGCAGGGAATTCTGTTTGCAATATTTTATTTTCCCCAATGCGATGTGGCCGCTGTTGGCAATGCAAGTCACTCTTGCAAAATTTTAGACTCATCCTGGTCTCTTCAGAAACAATGCAAATGTTTATCTGGTGATGCTGCTGAGTTGGCAGCGGTGCACAAAGCACAATTAAGGAACAAAACAAAAAACTTAAAACACGTTCGCCAACAGAAACAAATAACAGGTGACATTACAGGCAAATGGCTCTCCCTTCGTAATGGCCCTTCATGGTCTGAAGAAGGAGCCATTGGCCAAAGAGTGCCTATTAGATGTTTTTCTCTCCAAAGGGCCACAGTGACATTGCCTAGAGTTTCCTTCTGTTATCTTCAGCCCTCCCCTGGCTCAACAAAATAACCCTGAAGCTTGAACGCGTTTGATCCCCGAACGTGCACGCGCCACTTCGAACGGTGGCTCCGTCTCGCTGGCTCGGGCTCGTCGTCGGCGAAGCCGCGAGCGATCTCTCTTTCTCTGTTCCGGTTAGCAACGGCGAGCGACCGTCGCCGATTGCCTCGTTCGCCTCTCGTCCCCCCCCCTCCCCCCCCCCCCCCCGCCGCCCCCCTCGGGTGCCGCGGCGTGTCAGGAGCGAGACCGGGGAGCTGCGCGGCCGCTGCGAGGACAGGCGCGCCGTGCTGACGGCCCTGCGGGACGAGCTGAGCGCGTGCGTCGCACGGAGTCGCGGCTCGCGGACCGCGCACGCCGCGCTCGTCGCCTCGCGCGCCCGCGTCCTCGGCGACGCCGAGGTGACGGGCAGTGGTCTCCGGCGTTATCTTAGTCAGCGATGTTTTGGTTTTTATTTACAGTCTCCAACGATAGTGTTCTTCTTCCAGCGTATGGAAGGTACGTGTAAATTATACGCCCAGGTTTAAGTTTGCGATAATAGCTTCGGGAGTAGCGCGACTCATGTCCAGTCCGCAGGAGAGTGGGCGTAGAACGATGCGGTTGCGGTTCACGATGTGGCCCATTGTTTGGTTCGGGTGGCCGCAGTCACCGCACTGTGTGGTGGGGGAGGGGAGTCATCTTTAATTTCCCTATTATGGAAGAGGTGTGCGCAGCAGTGACCAGTCGCCGCTATCGAAGCGGTTGATGGAGCCACCTAAACGCATTAAGCACCGCGTACGTTGTAAACGGGCAGGCTCATTCCATACGGCCAAGAGCGCGGGCAACTTTCACGCGCCTCGCATTGCTGCCGTTAACAGGGGGGGGGGGGTGGAGGGGGGCGAATTTTTCACGACATCTGGCCGCCGGTTGCGTTTCGCAGGCTGAACTGGAGGCAGAATTGCGGAGTAACTCGACGCTGGCCTGCCAATATCGGGAATTGCAAGAGAAGCACTTGGAGACAAAAGCTCGAACCGCCGCCCTCTGTGAACAGCGACTGAGGCTGGAGTCCGCCGTCCAAGACCACGAGCAGGTTAAGCCCCTCCCCCCATCGTGACCGTCCCTCGTGGCAGCGGTGACGGGAGAGGCAATGCCACCGTTGCTGGGAATGTTGTGTCCATCCTGCGCATGGACATTGACCATTGGTGCTACACAAAAGGGAGGACGTCCGTTTTAAAGGCAAGGCTGTGTTTGGAAAACGCCGCCACTGAGCCGGCCGGGTGGCTCAGAAGTTGAATCCAGGTTTCAGCCGCCTGTGATTAAACTGTGGATTCAAGTGAAGTGAGTTGATGGTTTCAGCGCAGTCACAGATGACTGCACGTTAAAAAAAACCTATCGCGTTTTATTTGGTTCTGTGCTTATTTTACTAAATTCCCGCTGTTGGTAATTAAATATATATCGGTTTACTGATTTGCTCGAACATTACCGTCAGTGATGTGGCATGTGGAAATGTGGTGCCCTCTACTGCGTAGACCGGAGGTCAACTGAATGGGATCTCAGATGTGGCTCTTTGAAAGCCACTTTCGTGGGCCATTCATAACATGAAGGACTAAACTGCTCTGCGAGAGATCCAAATGGATACTTGATTTCATGACATCATCGCGACAGCTCAATAATCTTGTCTGAATATCCAGCTCTGAGAATTAAAAATGTTGTTTGTACTGTCATTCCGTGAACATTACTGTCAGTGACATGGTCGGCAGGGAAGTGCTGCCTTCTACTGTTAGGAGCAGAGGTCACTTAAAGGGATCTCAGATGTGTCGTGTCTATTTTTGTGGGGCTACTTTAATTATTATATTATTACTGCTGTGCGAGAGCTCCAAATGAATTATTTGTCTTGTGCGATGACGCCAAGAGCGTAGGGACAACAACAACAACAACAAAAATAATGAAAAGGTTGTGCTTTCGCTGACGTCTCTCTCCTCTCAAACCCAATTTCAGCTCCAGCTACTGCAGGCCCGCATGCAGGCGTTGCTGATGCGCTACCTCCGCCACAGAGGCCTGTGTGGTCAGGCCAGCCTCGACGAGCTCCAGGCCCAGTCCTGGAACGATGCACAGCAGGTGGTGGAGATTCAGGTAGGAGAACACAAGCTGACCGCCTAGCACGTGCCACAGCCCCCTGTGTGCCAATCCACTGCTGGATGAGGGCCTTGCTGCGCCGTGCGAGGCCGTGGGCATTGTTTCATCGTACTTCACCGCGCTGGTCACAGCCGGTCGGTGAAGTTGGGGAGTATAAATGCGGGAGCGTAGGGAGAGGTAAAGGTGCAGCCCTGCAATTGCTTGCTGCTATAAATTGTCCACATGATGATAAGCCACTTCTTTGAGCTATCATCTGTGATGGCCAGGTCGCTTCTGAAAGACAAGCCAAAAGCTCAGTGGCCTTTACCTGCTAAGATAAACAAATTGTTTAGTTTTATTTGTATATATTTTTAAGTAATTTGTTTGCCTTTCCTATACTTTGCACTCCTATCGTGTTTTGTATTATTTTCTGTTGTAACGTTCTGACCTGCCCCAACCGGACATCTGTGAAAAAAAATGCTTTATAGCACATCAGATTCCTCCAGTACAAATACATATTCTGATTCTGGCGGAAAGGCGTCCATGAGAGAGCAATCTGGAGAGGCCCCTGTAGAGAGTATTCTTGACGAGTCTTCCACACTGGCCAGACGTCTTTAAAGAGGTGGGAGTACCCACACTTTACCCCACCACAGTCGAGTACAAGATTGGAGAACACAGAAGAATGTATTTTTCTGCCTTCTGATGTCCACGATGTAGCTCCTGCAGCAGTCTGCGATATCCTATTTTATCCACGGTAGCTGCCTATCCACGAACTATCCAGGCCCAAGTCTGCAAAGCCTCCCAGGTCTGACGATATTCGACTCATGAAAACGAGACAATTATATATCCTTCCTTTGTAGGCAATGTTATTGACTAATGTGTGGAGTTTTTTTTTGCGTCGTCCTCGTGTTGGAGTATACCTTGGTATACCTCATCTATCACCATCACCTTGGCCACTGGATCTCTCAGCATCGTTCTGGGCCATTTTGGTCATGGGCTCTTATTCCATGTGGCTCCAGAAGAGGCACGATCGATGCCTTGTTAGTGCTGAAATCAATACGATGGGCCCATATTAAACTTTTTTCGTTTGTTTCTTAAGGGAAGAACTGCAAACCTCTCCCTTAGATTCCTTGACTCAATATCTGTGGAGTGTAGTTTGGAAAGCTCTGCTATGCACTATACTATCGTCATCACTGTCATCAGCCATGGTCAAGCCACTGCTGGATGAAGGCCTCCCCATGCTGCCACCATTACGATCCGGCGAAGCAATAATCCGCCTGCATAACCAGCTGATTCTATAACTCCATCTCCTCTCAGACGCATCCCATACCCCGGCTGCCGCTCCATCGCTATTCTTGACCATCAGCCATTGTCCATCCTAGCCACGACACGTCCTGCCCAAACCCCGCTTGCGACGTCAAGTGTGGAGTGTGAAGCGGTGTCGGTAGAGGAGGTTTTGTTCACTGTTGTTTGCAGGGGGATGTAGAGGAGGCTCTGAAGAGGGTCGTCGAGTTCTTGAGAGCTCCTGATGAGAGCCGGGACTCGGTGGAACGTGTTTTCATCACGGCTGAGCACGAAACGTCGCCAGCAGAGGGCAGCAACGCAGAGTCCTCGACGCCACTCGGGACACGTGACACCACTCACGCTGACTCCATCGCTGTCAACTCCTTATCAGTGCCTACCTTATTACAGACCAATCCAGACCTTATTGGTCACCCCGTGCCCTTATAAATCTCAACGTTCATCCGACAAAGTCCCATCACAAGGGAGAAACACAAATAAATAGGCAAAATTTTTTTTTTCCCCCGTATTGAAACGGCTGCACGCCATATGGTATTGAAAACTTCATTTCCCTGCACAGGAATACGGGATAAACCATATCTTTTGACAAGTGTGTAACTGCTAAACATTTTTGTTTTACCAGGTAAGGCCCAATGAGCTGCTCCTTTTCAGAAGCGATCTGACTACAAATGATCGCCTAACGAAGTGGCGTATAATGTGGAAATGTACAGCAGCCAAATACTCTCAATGCATGTCCAAATGTGGAGGGGGAAAATCGGAGGCCCTGGAGAAAAAGCCACACGACCAGGGGGACAGCATGCAAATTCCAAAATACAGGAGTCAAGGTCGGGATCGAACCCACGACATCCTGTATACCAGACGAGGTAGTTAACATCTCGTCATCGTGGCGCCTATTATAATGTAATAGGCGACGTTTTTGGGCATGGCCCTTCTTCACAGCACCATAGGTAGGCCAGAGAAGCTAGTATCAGCAAACTAATTTGTTTAACTTTGAAGACAAAAGGTAGTTGATTATTATTTTTAGTTGATCCGTCATAATCGTCCCAGGTCTCCTCGCATCGTTTGTCCCAATCAATGCAGTTTGTTCCACACAACTGTTCCACAGTAAATGACGAATGTTCATACATTAGCCATCCCGTCATATAGAATATAACCATGGATTCTTAATAACTGTGTGAGTAGTATTAATATATTGTAATGATGATAAACGAATGATAACATGTAATGTATGATATTACAAGTGACATATCGTGTAGGATATATGATAAAAATGTATATTTTTGGAAAATTTGTTTACTGATGAAACAGCGTATAAGACAAAAGCCACGGCAGTAACCAGGAAACATGCATTCATAAACACGTGTGCACAGCATTGTCAGTGATTATAACGGTATTATTGAACGGGGTGAAACGTAGTATTGTAATTGTAAATTGGTTATCAATTGGGTTACAGTATATCAGAGCAAACTAGTTTTTAAAGGGGTACAGTATTGTCCCGGTAATCATGCTGTTAATAAAGAGACAGGGCAGAATGACAAACACCAGCAACTCTTACGCATTTGCAGAATCTGGACACAATCTGTAAGGAACATTTTCGAAGCCAGTGTCTTGTCTACTAGTGACAGCTAAGCGATAATAATTATAATGGAACACTGCTGATGACATTTAAAAATAAAACAATGTGTGACTCTGGCTACATTTGGTAAAAAACAAAATGATTGCATAACTGGTGCCCTACGTCTTCCCCATAACATCCCAATGGTGAAACAAATTAATAACTGTACCTGCAAATTACTCTATTTGGATTAGAGTACAGTATAGGACAAGTAGCAACATCACCCCCCGACTGCGGAAACTTGGCAAGATTCTGAAAAAGAGTTGAGACTCGGCGCTTTCCCTGGGTAAACAAGCATAGGTGTAATAGTAATGGAAGTAAATGTAAGACAGAATGCATTCATCAATCCACAGATATGGATTGTTAGATTCTTATCGAGTAAAAATGGAACCTGCCAATGGTTCAGACCACATGCCAACATTGGGCCAATGGTTCCGACCACATGCCAACGTTGGGCCAATTGTTCCGATAACATGCCAACGTTGGGCCAATGGTTCAGACCACATGCCGACGTTGGGCCAATGGCATGTTTACCCGGTGGTAGCCATGTGTACGCGTGAATAAAAACAACACGAAGTGATATCTGCAATAGTGTCAGACTTTATTTTTTTTCGAAGTCTAATGAGGCTTTTTAAACGGCGGGCGCCTGAATTCTGCCACAGCGTGCAGCCTGCGACAGGACATACCAGGACAATTGCAATCGCCACCAGCCTGTTCACCACACTGTGTACAAGTACAGGGCATTACTTGGACAGCGCCCTACAATTATCAATGTTGCACACGTGTGTTGGTCCGGTGGGAGTTTGTTTGGATAGGGCTTTGATGATGGGTGCGAGAGTGTTGGTAGAAGCCTTGTGCACTGCACTACGAATCTGACGACCCCAGTTCGATTCCCCCGCTCACGACCAAACAACGATGGCGAACGTCTGAACCAGTCATGGGCCACCCCTAGGTAGAGTCAGCCCTAAATGAGTACAGTACCTTGAAATTACATCTTAATCATTCCTTTTATTTAGCGTCATTCGTGCAACTTGCATCTCACAATCGCTGAGGAACCGCAGACAAAGTGGAATGCTTCCAGGCGATAGCCGGCGCCAAACATTGCTCTGCAGTTCCCTACATATTAAGATGCTTTCAGCCAATTAGTGAGTGTTTATTGTACACGTGGGAGGAAGGGACAGATTATGTCAGTCCAAACTTCGCTGTACCGCATTCTCCTGGCGAGCCAGGGTATGGCGCTCCCTCGACGCCCACGGGAAGGGACGTTTCACACCATCTGCGTGCGATCCACCAACCCCCACTGCCTCTGGAGTGATGATGGATAACAGGTGTGCATAGCGACCACCGCCCAGCCACGTGTGTACCTGGTGCGGCGTCTTAAACATCGCCACTGGGGAGACAAAGGCGGCCCCGGCGTGGCATTTCCACCCCCCGCACCCCCAACCCACTTTCGTGTGCCGTTGCCGGCCCAGCACTTGCCCCAACAGTCCGTTCAAGGCTATACGGAGGGGCGGCAGCGGTGGGGCGGGGAGGAGGAATCTTTGTCTTTGTGCGCGCGCCTCTGTGTTTGTGCACGTGGGTGTGCATAATGCTGTCAAAACGGTTCAAGCTCTTGGGATGCAACAAGCACAGAGCGCCGCAGTGTACGCGCGTAGCTCGTTGAGCCGCCAACGCCCGCGTTGCTTTTACCAATTGTCAGCTGGTTTTCAGGCGCCTGCCCCCCCCCCAAAAAAAAATCTTCACGTTTTGGTTCACAATTTGCTTCGCTGGTTGGAAAGCGCCCTCGCAATGCAACCCCCTCGCACTCGCCGCCAGAGTCCCCAGCCTAACCGGTACGTGTCCCGCTGGCACGGCGTCAAGTTCCTCGGGGCCGCCTTGTTTCGTCCCAGCCATAAGTTCGCCTCGCGTTATTTGTACTGCATTTGCTCCGTTGTGTGTGATGAGGGTGGATGCATGTGTGTGTTGGAATCTTATTTTTTCTTCACTTGTACATTCACGCATTACGGAATTGAAGGCCCATGTGTTACTTCAACCCGTTTGTCCATCCACTGCTGGATGATGTCCCCCCCCCGCCCTCCCCCACACACTTGTTAGTTATGGAGGTTTTTGTTTGACCATACTTCACCACGCCGGTCAGATCGGGTTGATGACGTGCGATGGGCCCCAGGGCTGGCGCAGATGTCACTCGCCAATCGATGTTAACAGTGGCCAGGAATCGAACTCGGATTTCTGGGTTCGTAGCGCGATGCGCCATGCATGTTGAACTTCTTTTCGCCACCGTACTGCAAGCCAGCCATGCTAATGGGAGGTGCGCTACTCCTCCACATATGCATGCTGAAAGAAGAGCCAAATCGCAGCAAAATAACACTCGTCTAAATAAATACTGCACTGCCAAAGCGTTAATTAAATCCGGGCCAGCACAACTTGGCGTGTTGCAATGCCTGCCCCAATTCATTTAAGAATTCAAGACCACTCAACACAAAACCAGTCCCCACATCTTGAATACACACGTCCGCCTCATTTGTATGACACTGGATGCTTCTGGGAGGCTTTTAATGTTATACCCTGTAGCGCTGGGTTACACAGCACCCGAGTTCCAGATCCCAGAATGTTTTTTTTTAGAAAGTGCATGGCAATTCAAGCTTCACATCTTCCTTCCATGACACTTGGGAAACCAGGGACACTGGACCACAACGCAGCACCACCACCCCGTGTATCCATGTTCCATAGGCCTCTCTTATCAACGCTTAAAGCAGAGCTCTGCCAACATGCGTTACAGAGGAGTAATGATCCAGCCCTCTCCCTGGCAAGTCGATGAATTGTAACAATGGAGGGTTGCGGTTGGATTTATAAAAATCAAGTCATTTTATTTGTACATTGTGGCGAGTGCAGCGGCCACGAGTGGCTGCAGGGGTCACGTGAAGCCATTGCATACAATTGTTACGTCACAGGATAGTGAGGGATGGCGGTCGGATTGGGAAGGCCTTTATCCAGCAGTGGATTGACCATGGATGATGAGACGATGCTACGAATATAAAAGCGTCTACTCTTACACTTGTGATCGCAAGCTTGAGAATTGTCGAATAAATGCATCACTTACGCCTCAAATGAGAATACATAAATCCGATTGCTTGAAAGTGTTGCGTTAAACTGCCAATAACATTTAAAATGCTGACGATATCACATTTTAGACCATTAACGAGGCGAATCGAATAAACATCATGGCACGTAATGCGCAAATCTACTTTATTACAGGTTCTCAATAAGTTCACGGGACCAGTCGCCCTTCACAAGACTGGAGTTGCACATCACCGCACTCAGACTGGATGCACAGGGCATTAACGAGGAGGGGGACTGCATGCAAATCTGCCTAAGTTACCCCATGTGTAGCCTCCATCCCAAATACAAAGGGTCCCCCCCCCCTTATAGCAGACTTTTGGGGCAGGTGCTGTTAGCAAGCAGCACCTATGAAGGCCCGCACGGCGCACGAGGGGGTGGGTGGCCAGCACCGCGCCCGGCCGCTTTTGTCTCTCCAGTGACGATGTTTACACACAGCACCAGGTGACTCATTTGAGGCCGAATCAAATGAGAACCTGGCGTGGTGGGAGCAGGATTTATTCAGATAACCGTCATCGGTGTTTGCCGTTAGCAGGAATCGAACTCAGGTCGTCAGGTTCCTAGCACAGCGTGCTAACCGCTACACCACCAATCCCCCAATCACAAATACACCCCCCCCCCCACACACACACCGCACACACCTTTCCTTAAAATAAATAACTAATCTCGCATTCAAATGATCGGCATTCGGAGACGGGAGGAAGCCACAGCTTCTTTTGGGGAGACCGCGGTGAAACTAGGAAGTACGTAATTAGGCCTTGGCGAACAAGCGTGGAGACCTGATGGAGGGAGGGGGGAATTCATTCAGTCCACGAAGCCACAATGCTGCCAAGTTGTGACCCCCACCACTTATCCGGGATGCTGCCACATCGGTGTAATGGTCAGCACAAAGGACTTACAACCCAGATGTCGCCAGTTAGATTCCATCTCCCGCAACGGAAGTTGAAACGGGGGTGGGGGGGGTGGGGAGTTTTATTAATTCCACCCTCAAGCCGCCGTCTTTGTTCACCCGGCAGTGCAAAGGGTTAGAACCACAGTTTCGTCCAATGGCAGTTCGCGTGTGGTGGGGTAAAGTGTGGGTACTCACACCTCTACCAAGACATCTGACTGGCGACGAAGAGTAGGCGGTAGGGAGGTGCGGTGGCAATACTCGCGCCTCGCAGGAAAACAAATTCCTGGGTTCGATTCCCGACGTGGGCGCTTTTCTGCGTGGAGTTTGTATGTTCTCCCTCTGTTCTGCGTGGGGTTTGTGTTCTCCCTCTGTTCTGCGTGGAGTTTGTGTGTTCTCCCTCTGTTCTGCGTGGAGTTTGTGTTCTCCCTCTGTTCTGCGTGGGGTTTGTGTGTTCTCCCTCTGTTCTGCGTGGGGTTTGTGTGTTCTCCCTCTGTTCTGCGTGGAGTTTGTGTGTTCTCCCCCTGTTCTGCGTGGAGTTTGTGTGTTCTCCCCCTGTTCTGCGTGGAGTTTGTGTTCTCCCTCTGTTCTACGTGGAGTTTGTGTGTTCTCCCTCTGTTCTGCGTGGAGTTTGTGTTCTCCCCCTGTTCTGCGTGGAGTTTGTGTGTTCTCCTGTTCTGCGTGGAGTTTGTATGTTCTCCCCCTGTTCTGCGTGGAGTTTGTATGTTCTCCCCCTGTTCTGCGTGGAGTTTGTATGTTCTCCCTCTGTTCTGTGTGGAGTTTGTATGTTCTCCCTCTGTTCTGCGTGGAGTTTGTGTGTTCTCCCTCTGTTCTGCGTGGAGTTTGTGTTCTCCCCCTGTTCTGTGTGGAGTTTGTATGTTCTCCCTCTGTTCTGCGTGGAGTTTGTATATTCTCACTCTGTTCTGCGTGGAGTTTGTGTTCTCCCCCTGTTCTGCGTGTAGTTTGTATGTTCTCCCCCTGTTCTGCGTGGAGTTTGCATATTCTCACTCTGTTCTGCGTGGAGTTTGTGTTCTCCCTCTGTTCTGCGTGGAGTTTGTATATTCTCACTCTGTTCTGCGTGGAGTTTGTGTTCTCCCTCTGTTCTGCGTGGAGTTTGTATGTTCTCCCTCTGTTCTGCGTGGAGTTTGTGTGTTCTCCTTCTGTTCTGCGTGGAGTTTGTATGGTCTCTTCCTGTTCTGCGTGGAGTTTGTATGTTCTCCCTCTGTTCTGCGTGGAGTTTGTATGTTCTCTTCCTGTTCTGCGTGGAGCCTCCGGGTTCTTCTCGGTTTCCTCCCATAGCTAACAAAAAAAACCCATAAAATGCAACTTGTATTGGCCAAACCACATTCCAATACTGACACATGACTAGCAAAATCACTCAAATGGCATGACATCAATGTCGCCCCCTCTGCTGCAAAAAATTGGCAAGGCCCTCCTGAAAAAAGGGCCTTGGAGCTCAGCGACTCTCTTGGAAAAAACACGAAAAAAATACCGTAAAGAGTGGCCTCTCCATGGAGGCCTCGAGCGGAGGCCCCTTCTGTCAGCATCGGCGTGAGCAAGCAATTGCAGGGCTGCACCTGGACTTGAGAAACAAGGGCAGCGATGCGAGCAGGCGATGTTGAGTCTCCTGCAAGGGTACCGTTCGTACAGATGCTACTGCAGAAGTTCAGAGTGGGCTGCGCTCCCTCGCCGTTCACACGCGACCACTCTGGGCGTCGTGACGCGCGGTTAAAATTGGGTAAATGATAGCGGGCGCAAACTTTATTTTGTTGCAATATTTAAATTAAATTGAAGCAATATGCTTTAAAACTCCCGACTGCCTGTTTACACAACAGCAGGGTTAATAAGCTAGGCAGGACACAGCATAAATCCAAGTACAAGGACGACCACGATCTCTAAACACCGAGCACAGCGATACGGGTTTGATTAATAAATGCGAGGCTCATTGTGAAGCACGTTGTCGCGAACAACGACCCTCGGCCGAGGATGCGCGGCGGTGACGCTGCCCAGCGGCAGGTAGCGCGCGTTCGCAGAGGCTCGTGGTTCGAATCCAACGGCCACCCCAGTTAATACTGCGGTGGGACGGCATCCAAAAATAGTACGCGCCCGTCCTGCTTCGCAGTGCACGTTGAAGATTCCCCTGACGTCACGCACAAGAGTGGGCAGCCGTGTGCCGGCGTCAGGGTCCGAATTTGGCAAATGTTTTAATTCCCCCCGCAAATAACTCGCTTGGGGTTTCACACAGCAGCGGCAGAAGCAATCAACGCCCCGGCACTAGCAGACGAACGCCCCAGGCCACTCTTGGAAATAAGACGAATCCTAGTTTCTCGAGTTCTCACCTGGTTAAACAAAATGAAATTGAAAGTTGTCACGGGATTTGAGAATGTGAGAAACCAATTTCGCTGCCGCATCCAGATGCACGTGGCATTTCCACTTGACCCACTTTTAACCGTCATTAACGGTCAGCAGTGCTGTTAGCAGGGCACACGCAACACACAGCAAGAGTGCACGCAGGCACACACACACACACATCCCAAACACACACTCGTGCCGTCATGTTCACAGCCCGTCTAGTGACTCCCGGTGGCAAAATCTACTCCTGGGGGCTTTTCAGTCGTGGAAAGTGGGCGCAGCCTCACCAGAGGTCTGGCCTGGGGCCAGGGCAGCACGGGAGCATAATATGCGGGGTGTAACCGGTGGTGGGAATGTCGCCGCTATACGACGGTTTACGCCACACCCACGGCACTTCTCACAACACCAAATACCTGTTCACGGGCACCATTCAACACGGCTCCCATTCCGAAGATGCGTCGTTACCGCAGAGGGGGAAATGGCAGCGAACATGTACGTACGTATGTACGTTGAACTTCTTTCGCACTGCACGTTGCCAACCGTGCGTACCATGGGCGGCAGCGGGACCAATGGGTGCCCTACCGGGAGGACCTCTGCACTTCGACGTCGAGCGTCGAGTGCTCGAATTTTGTCGTCGGCAATGCAGTGGCTCGTCACAGGCCAGCTTCGCGGATCGACGCGGAGAACGGCCGTAGATTCCTTCGCTGTTGTAACGCCGCTGCGAATGCGGAGGGCTCCAGTGGTCGGAGGAACTCGTTTTGACACGCGCACGAAAAATCCCCACCACTGCGTGCCTGCTGTGCGGCGGCCGCGGCGGGATCCGGCCGCGAGCGGTGGCGGCGAGCGGTCGCGGCGGCCGCATCAACGGCTTCGGCCACGGTGACGCGGCGGCGATGTTAAACGGCAAACGATTCTTCACGCGCCGCGTGCAGCGCCAGCTGGAAGACCCGATGCTACGACGGATGAGAAATCCGCGACTCCCATACGCACGGCACGACCGGCACTTCACGATTCCTCGCTGAAAACGAGCTGCACGTGACGCCCACGACTTAAAAACGCCACCGCGGGGTTTGCAGGGCCCCTCCCCCCCCCACCCCCCGCGCCCCCCCTCCACCCCTCCCCCCACAACAACAACCCAAGGTGGAGCCACGAGACCGTCACTTGCATCCGTATCCGGAACGGCAACGTCATCCGGGCTGGAATCGCCGCACGTGGCGCTCTGACCTTCACCCTGCTTGGGTACGACCACGCGTGGCGTTCACGTCTTCTCCCGTCCACCACGTAAGCCGCACCGAAAGGCAGCGGTGCAGGTGACGTGGGAGCAGTGGCCCAGCCTGGTTGGCATTGGGGCCCTGGTGTAAAGGGATTAAATACCCACATCCCCCAACCGCCCTGTAGCTACGGTTGCCACTTCTGGAGGTTACAATAAAAAAAAAACCGGAGCATGTCAATGAGAGGAAGCAGAAAGATACTTCACAACACTGGCAGAGGGGAGATTTACGTGCGAACGCATCGTTTTACGCGGTGCATTACCATTATGTGTCCTGTATTACTATTTTTAATTACGCAACTGACAAAATCCAGGACGCCTAAACATCCTGGGAAAATGCACGGATTTCCCAGAACAGGCCACTTCAAAAAGAAGACGATCCCGGGAACAGGTGGCAACGCTATACGCGGCCATCCCTGGCCCAGTTGCACCGCCTGCGCGGTTGGCAGCTATGCCGCTGCATCTTAAAAATACGAGATAAGAAAAAAAAACGGGGCCCAAGGGAAAACACCTTGGCACAATATCACCGGGCCGAGATTGCCGCCTCCGGAGAAGCCGGACGCGCGAGCGTTCTGCGTATGGCTCCCCGGCGCAGCCACTCTGCGCGTGCCAAACGAGGCCGCGGGGGTTTTTGTTTTGTGCGGCGCGCGTGCCACCCCGACCTGCCCGTCGGGACCCGTACCCGCACGAACTCTCGGTGGCACCCACGCACGCTCAACGGTTGGCTGCCGAGCGGGCAAATTGAACTCTTGACGAACGTCGCGCAGGCCACTAAGCATCCGCGCAAGCGCCACCGGGTCGGCCAAGCTTCCCGACGCGGCCGCCCGTCCCGAGTCCACCGCCGCGGCCGCCGCCGCTACGTGGGGAGGTGTGCGTGCGGGAGCAAGGGCGACGAGAAGCCCTGGGAGGCCGGAGATTGAGAGTAGGCCGGAATAGCAGAGGATTGCGGGTACCCCTGCAGAGCGGAGAACTGTGGGTAGCCCTGAAGGACGGCGGAGGGCTGCGGGTAGCTTTGAGAAGCAGACGAGGACTGTTGGTAGGCGATGGCGGAAGCCGACGAAGGGTAGATTTGCGAGTGGCGAGAGCGCACGCCAAGAGCGGAGATCGGAATCGGCAACAAGGACATCGCAGACACGGGTCTTCGGCTGTGCTTGGTCCTGTTTGTTGAGCACCAAAATACAAAAAATGCAAATGTTAGAGACGTGTCCGTGTTGCGGTGTAATTTACCGCACAATTGATCGAGCGCTGGATCCGCTGCGTGGGTTTTTTGCGGTTGCGCCAGTGACAGCTTCTTCTGAGAACTGAAGACCTGAAGGAGGTGTTGACGGCTCGCGGGGCGAAACGTTGGACGTCACGCCGAAAAACACACGCGGTACGACCCCAATACACGTCGGAGAGCGGCACGGCTCCTCTACAACTTGCAGAGCCGTTCTGCTCGACGACCACAGGAATCAATAAATAAGAACAACGATGAAGTGCGTGCGGAGGTGCGTGTGGGTGCCATGGCCGAGAGCGAGTGCCGAGAGCCGACAGGCCTCACCTGGATTTGCTTCTCCTCATCTCCCACTCGGAGCTCTCAGACGCTCCGGCTGCGCCGCTGCTGCTGCTGCTGCTGCCGCTGCCGTTGCTGCTGCTGCTGCTGCCGCCCCTAGAAGCGGCATGGGGCTGCTGCTGCTGCTGCTGCTGCTGCGAGGCCCCTTGCCCCGGAGAATCTCGCGCGCAGGGGGCGGAGCGACGTCCACGGGGCGCGACGTAATCCCGCGTCGTCCGCGACGACAGCTCCAGCTCGACGAACATCACGTTCTCCGCCTGCTCTCACCCCCGCGCAAGCGCAACGAGCGGCGTGGACATGGTTACGCGGGGAACAAAAACGGCGACGATTTGCCGTCGATGATCTCACGACGGGTTTCTCTCTCAACCTTCCTGCCCCCCCCCCCCCCACCACCCCCGCCGCCCCCCCCCCCCCCACCCACATGAATGATTTTAACCTTAGCTGGAAAACATAAGCAGAGGTAATCAACAACAACATCAACAAAAAACGCCATTACTTAAATGAAATCGCGAGCCGGAACTTCGACGATCGAGTCGCTGGGGAAGGCCTCACCCGGAAGCGTGGGTTGCCCCAGCAGCGCACGGTGGCACAGGCCGTCTGGCTCACGGGTCGCTTGTACCCCACGGCCGACACCGGCCTCTTCAGCTGCTGGGCTCTGCCAAGTCGCAGTCAACGAGAGCGGCGACCACGCAAGCGTTAAGACGTTCGGTCTCCGAATATTTCCCCCGGGTCGCCGGCAGACCGGTGCGGCAGGCACGTTGACGAGCCGCCACGGGCCACAGCGAGATGTGGCCCGTGGCAGCTCGTGGATGCGGTGTGCCGGGCGTGGAAAATATTTTCCTGGTCGTCGAGCTGGACTGACCCGGGTGGAATTAAAGAGAGACGGGCAGCCCAGGAGCACCCCCTGGGATCCGGCTCCATCTCGTGTTGCCGTGATATCAATTATCTATGTCCTTGCACCCTTCCACTGGAATAAACTTCCCTTGTACATTGAGCAGGTCTCCCTTCCTTGACCTCCTTCCGTTCCACTCTTAAAGGTCCACCTCTTCTCCATCGCCCATTCTCTTGCTCATCCCTCGCCCCTCCACTCCTTCCCCTCCCTTGCTCAACCCCTACGCACCCCTCTATCGCAGTCACACATTCCTCATCTCTCGCGTGGCCACTGCTTGTACTGTTATTATTATTATGTTACGCCACCTTGATTTAAGGCGCTCTGTGAATGTAAAATACAACAGGATAAGGTGACGAAGCACAGCCAGGCGTGGATCAAGACGTGTTTATCCGAGCAGGAAGAGCCCAACCAGGAATCTGCGGCCGCCGAGGCTGTTACGCAAGGGGGGTCCCCAAGGGGGGGGGGGGGGGCGGTGGAGGACAGATCTACCCAGGGTTGCGAACGATCGGCTGCAGCCTCCACTGCTCCTCCTCCTCGTCAAAGTACGCTCGCTCCATCAACCTGCTCCTGACCTCCGGAGGAATGAAGTTCTCCATGGTCAGGTACCTGGGAAGGGGGGTGGGGTGGGGTGTGGGTTGGGACGGGCACCAATGCCAATTGAGTTTAACGAAACGAGCGGAGAAATTGTTAGTCAACGGAGCGCCTCTTATTTGCGTCAACGATGACTGAGAACGGATGAAAATCGTCAAGCGCGACAATGCTGACAAAGCCTCCTTGCCAAAGCCTGACCGACTCGGATGAGACAAACGAAATTAACCAAGTCTGAATGAATGAGAAGATTTAAAAACGTGATTGGTGATGCATTCTGTAAGATTAACCTTGGTGATTGTCTGTGTATGAAAGATGGTTGGCGTGTTCATCGATTGACCGACTTATAATATTGGGTAGTCGACAAAATGTCACGCCTCTAACACCAACATCGAATAAATGCTTGACTACATTTTTGACTGCTTTAGGTGACTGGGCAGGTGGCTGAGTGAGTGGCTGAGTAAATATGTGGCTGGGTGAATATTGGATGGGTGGCTGAGATGGATGGGTGGCTGAGAGTGAATGGGTGGCTTAGTGGGCAGGTGGCTATGTGGGTTGGTAGCTGGCTGGGTGGCTGATTGAGTGGATGGGTGGGTTGGCGGCTGGGTGCTTGGACAGGTGGATGTATGGGTGGGTGGCTGGGGTGCTTGGGCGGTTGGCTAAGTGGGTGGCTGGATGTCCCTGCACGTACTTGAGCTTGAGCTCGCGCGTGAGCTCATTCTGCGTCTGCTCCAGCTCCTGCCGCTCCTTCACGTGCTCATCCTGCACGTCCTGCGTCTCCGCCTTCACCGACTGCAGCTTCGCAAACAGCTGCGCCACACGGATAGATTCAAGAAATCCGTCATTCTACTGCCACCTCCTTGGCCAAATCGCAGCCGCACGCCTTACAATGCCTGTTACTATCCCAGGCAGCTTCCTGCCAGGCCCAAAACGTGAGATCTGACGATCGGACACATTCAGGTTGGTTTGGTCGCAGGTTCTAATGCAAAACTATTTTAATTTACATGCATGTCGGCACAAACGAATCGTATGTTTTCTGTTCCACTTCTTTCGGTAAATTATAAAAAAACGGACAAGTGCACTCAGGCTGGAAACAAATAACACGCACAGCACAAAGACAAAGGTCCGCCGTCCGTGCAGTGTCGATGAGCAAGCAACTTTGGCGAGCGCCCACGAAAAGCTGGCACGGCGCACGAAGCGGTGGCGTGGCAAGCAGCGGCGGCAGCGGCGGCGGCGGCGCGTGTGGGATCATCGACTCAACCGGACTTCTCTGCTTTGCGATTGCGGCCGCAGCGAGGCACGAACTGGGCGCTCCGCCGGTGGCGTGGCAACAGTGACGACAGGCAACGGCGTTTGCGTCCGGGCACGGAACCTTTTTGAGTTTCTTGGTCTTGAGCTCGACCTCCTGGCGCAGCGAGGTGAACGTGTCCCTCAGCTCCAGCGTTTCCTCGTCGCGACGCTCCACCTGCTGCTGCATCTCCCGCTCGCGCCATTTCTGGAACCGCGATGGGCCACGGCGACGCAGCGCGATGACGCGCCGAACACACGACAGCGGTGACGCGAAACGACGCGCCGACACCACACCAACATATGACCACGCAACGTTGTGGCGAGATGTTAACTACCTCGCCTGGTATGCAGGAGGTCACGGGTGTACGATCCCGACCCTGATGCCTGCTGTATATTTAGAGTTTGTGTGTCTCTCTCTCTCTCTCATCATTATCACGGTGCCTAGGAGATGTTAACTACCTCGCCTGTATACAGGAGGTCACGGGTACGATCCCGACCCTGATGCCTGCTGTATATTTAGAGTTTGCGTTTCTCTCTATCCCCATGGTTTTTTTTTCTCCGGGTCCACCGGTTTTTCCCTCCACATTTAGAGTCTTTGGCTGCTCTAAACCTCCACATGATAAGCCACTTGCTAAAATAAAAAAGAAATTGCTTTGTTTTAGTTTTATATACGGCAACGCAAGAGAACACAACATGGTACTCCCCGCCAACACAACCCAACTGATTATGCAACTTCCATTATCGTCCCATTCCCCCCCCCACCCTCTAGTTTTTATAATCTTGTTCAATCTAAGACATGTACGAACTATTTTCTATTACAGCTTAATCATGCCGTGTGTTGCTGGTCGCTTGGCGTTTTGCATCTTAGGCCTGCGTTCAGCGATCGTGATATATATAAAAATTTGAAGGTACCGCTATCCGTGCGCCAACCATAGTTCCAACCCCAACGTTGCGGGGAGACTCGGACCTGCTCTGCGATCTCCTGTCTCCGCTGCTCCAGCATCTTCTGCTGCTCGTTGGTGTGGTCCATGATATTCTTGCCTCCGACGAGCAGCTTGCTCTCCATGGCCTGCAGAGACCGCGCCACCGTGGACCCCACGGGTTGCATCGAGCAAGCGTTACCAAAGCAAGGAAAAGCTAAAGGCAATAAAGTCTGTGCTCCTATGATGCGGTAGTTGCGTTCCGGAACAACACCGCGTTGTCGAAAAATCGCGTTTCATTAATAATATATAAGATAGGGCGAGGCACAGTCCGCGATAACACAGTGAGATGCGTGACGCAGGCCGAGCAAAGACTGAGGCGCGTGGGTAGCATCTGGAAGCATCCAGCAGCATCCCGCCTTGTGTAGTACTACGCCGAGGCAGCCGTACGACCGCTTATTCCTACTCGCGCGACGTAGTTCCGTTCATCTGCGTTATAATAAATGTGTTCCTGAATACATTCATCGCGTTATATAAAATTCGCGGTATGAAAACAACACGCGTTATAGCAGAACAGACTGCACCAATAAGACTAATAATGCCCTCTCTTTATCCAGGAAAATTTCAGCGAGTCCTGAGACTAATTTGTCAGGAGGGTCCTGCTATGCTGCGATGTTTGTGGCCAATTCCGCTAATAATTGTTTGGCATGTGGGAAGGAACCGGAATGCCCGGAGAAGACCCATCGTGCATACGGGGGAATGACAGTTTAGCACGTAGGCTTTCGTGACCAATATCATCCAAAATACAGGGTTTTTTTTGGTTTGTTCGCGTAAATATATATTACACGATCTAACCCAAAAACAACCTGTATTATGGAGGGAATGACACTCGACACTCCGCACAGACGTATGCAATACTACCGTTCCCCCTATTTAAACACACCCTATAGGCTGTTAAGAAAAGTAAGTGGGGGCTTGGCGTGGACGAAAGCCGACGGTCAAGACTGACAAACGAGCGGTGGTCAAGGGAGGATAGAGAGGCCTGTCGAGCACGTCCACCTCGCAGAGACCGAGCAATGAGATCCGCTCACGTGCAACGGCGAGATTAGACCACGAGGGAAGGTGACGACTTAGGGGAGGCCTTCATCCGGCAACGGATAAAGCATGGCTGATGATGATGTCGAAAACCGGTCCAGAGTTAGCTTGCCTTGAAGCAATTCTCCCGAAACAATGCACTCTCCCACAAGGCTGTGGTGTCCTGATGGGTCGCGTGAGAAACACTTCCGCCGTTTGTTGAGAGACGGAGGCGTGAAGGGGGTGTATCGTCTGCTTATTATTTTCTTAAAATGAGTAGAACAATATTGTAATAGGTGACGATTCGGGCAATGGGCCTTCTGCACAGCACACTCTCTACCTCTCTATCTGTGCTGTCAGAGAGAGCCACAGCCAGACGTGTGTCCCACGTCTGGCTATGCACCCCGCCTTCATGTACACACACACACGTCACCGTGCCAGCCATGCACACACTGCGTCAGGGAGCGACGTGCACCCTCTATCATTGACGGATGAGTATTCTGCACGAGTGATGTAATGTGTGTGCAGCGCATCCAGAGATGAGCTCCCCGCTGGAGGCAAACGCCAACCACAGGCATCCACAAGGAGGAGGAGGAGGAGGCATCCCAGCCACACACGGCCGAGCGGTTGACCACTACCCCCCCCACCGTCCCCCAGAATATAAAGCATCAATTATCTCTCCCACGAGAGGGGACACAATAGCGCTGTGTTGCCCGCCTGCGATTAAGGACGGCGCGACGGAATGTCTGTGGCCGGGCCATCTATAGCGGAGCCATCGTTAGTCGACCCCCCACCCCCCGCCGAGGGCAGGGACACAGAGGCACGCGCACGCGCGAGCAATTAGCACAGCGCTCGCAGAACAACGCCGCTCTTTACAAGCCTCCCGCTTCCGCCGCCGCCATCCATTCCATTCCGTGTGTGCGTGCGTCAGGGCTGACCGCGTTTCGACCCAGTCACAACGCGTGCGTTCCCCACTCGCTGCGCTGTTTAAACGGCTCACTGCACGCCCGTCACATCAATGCTGCGAGTGTGCAGTGGGGGGACTTATTTAATTTTATATAGATTTATAAAGCGCCTTTATCCAAGGCGCTCAAGAATAATGAATAAAATTGTACATTATGAGTGTGCCGTGGGATTGCTGTGGGTGTATCGTTAGAATGCTTTGGAAGAGCAGTGAAGGTGTTAAAGGGGGTTGACGGCAGTAGGGTAGCGGTTAGCGCGCTGCGACCCGAGTTCGATTGCCCGCTCATGGCCAACATCAGTGACGATTATCTGAACCGGTCCTGGGCCTCCCCTAGGTCGAATCGGGCGTGGTGCCGGCCACCCACTGCCTCGTGTGCCATGGCGGCCTTTCATAGGTGCTGCTCGCTAACAGCACTTGCTCCAGCAGTCTTTGTCATATGGGTCTTGAGGGGGTGCTGGGGTGCATTTGAAAAGCATTGGGGTTGAAGTCGCGGTGTCACAGAGGGTGCCTTGGGGGTGCCGTGGGGATGTAGTGTTGTGGGGGTGCAGTAGGAGGGGGTGTTTATAATCTAAAGCCCAGACCGAAGCGTCTGAAACGCACGAATCGCACGAAAGGCACGAATCGTCATCGGGGAGTCGCTGCGTTGGGAGTCACCGGCACGCGGTCGCCCAAAGGACCCCGACAGCGAGGGGGACACCAGCCTGAAGCAATGTCGGGGGGAAGGAATGCGCAACAGTGTGATGGGAAACGGGAAGCCCCGTTCGTCTCTGGGCATTCCCTTTTCCGTAACAAACAATAACGCCGGTCTATGGGAATTCCGTTCGCCCGGCATTCGTCTTAGTCTCTTCCGGCGACAAGGAAGGAACGTAGGGTAGCTACCACGTGTGAACACAGGTGGATGTTGCACGGTAGTTTTCTTTGGGGACAGATCTCGCAAATAAGATTGACGCCGTTCCGCCCTCGTCCACCCGACACAATTGCCAGAATTTTGGCAGCTGCACGATGATGTTGGTCGTAGCCACGAGCGAAGCGTCCACACCCAGCGTGGATCGTTCTCCAGCAACAATCCCGTTGGTGCTGCTCGAGCAGTAGTACATTGGCGCCTTTGTTCACGTGACAACTATGCATTTCCATGGGACCCTTTTATTTAGCTGCGTCGGGTAGAGGAGGGTGTACGACACACAATCTACTTAAGCGATCCAATCCCCCCCCCCCCCAAAAAAATCGTATAAGAATATAATCTTGGTCGCGAAAGCCTACGCGTGTTAAATGGCCCGATGTTGATTTCCCAAAAGCCCCGCTTTCCCCATCTCCTCTCAGAAAGGCACTCCGACTCCTCCCCTAACCCACCCGGCCCGGCTCTCAGCCTCCCCACCAAGCCAGCTGCTGCGAGGCCGCTTCTTATTGATTTTCACTCTTCGTGCCCTGCACCGAAGCAGAGATCCGCTCTGTTCATGATCCACTGCCATTTTGACAACAAAAATTCCGCACGGGGCTGCAGAACGCCAAAGCGAGGCCCTGAATAAAGAACAGCAAAAAGGCTGAATTCTGTGCCCCCACGGTGCCATCACTGCAGATGCTCGTAGCTGAAGAGTTTGAGAGCTGGTGCTGACACTGGTTTTATTGGCCATAGTGTACTGATGATTCCTAAATAATTAAGAAACCGGAATAGTTGTCTTCTTGTCCTGTTGCTGGCTAAAACAAAAAGGCCAACGTTTAGTGATTTCCTGCTCGACTGAGCATTGAGGCGGTGCTCATCTCCTGTTTACAGCCTTGAGCCAGGGGTGAAAATTCCACATTCCTATGGCAAGGGCTGGTCTCTGTAAGTTGCATCCACTGTTGTGATTTCCCCCGCAACGTGGTAGCAATTGTATCGACCCACCGGAGAGATAATGGGCATTGTAACTGGAAATGCTGCGACTGCAAACCGGTCACTCACTCGACCGCTGTGTGCATTATACACACAGTGCGTTTATGTCACGTGACATGCAAGGAATGCTGGAACGACCGATTTCATGCCGTCTAAAATCACCGAATATTGTAACTCTCATTTGTTCCCAGCCTGCACACACTGTTTCGTCGAATTAGTTTATCTTAATTTACAGAAATAGAATATAAAAACATATGCTTCATTCGCATTACGAAATATTTAGCCACTGATATCCATGTGCATCCAGATTGTATTGTATTCAAGGCTGCAACAAAACTAATGTATATGCCTCCGATTGCCAAATCTCACAAGTTAAGCATGCGAGAGTCCGGCTGGAACTCGGCTAGGACGCTGCCTAAGAAAAACAACAGGCTGTGAGCTGGCCAGGAGATGGCAGTACAGCGACGCATATAGTGTAATCTCTCACGTACGCACAGTGTGTTTTTCTCCAGGTACGGTACTCCGGTTTCCACTCGGAAATTGCCAAATATGCCAGTGCAGGACCCTCTTGAAAAAAATAGTCTTCAGACTCAAAGAGGCTTTCGCAGGTGAATCATTGGCACGAGAGTTGCTATTATCATGCGAGGCTTCACCACACGGCTTCAGGGATCGCTTCGAAGGCAGGGCCCTGGGACACGGAGGCTGCTGGCCATGGTGCTGAATTTAAACATAAAGTTGCGCCGTCAAGTTAAGCATAGTTTGCGAAACCCTATTGCTTGCTGTGCAGCAGCTGTTTTCGGAACCCCGCTAAGTATGCAACAAACGGGCGGATTTCTGCAGGGCAGCTTGAGAGAAACCCTATTGCCGTGCAGGCTTGGAGCAGAGGTCTAAGCCCGCTATGCACCCTGGTAGCCGGGTTAAATTCCCAGTCACGGCTAAAGTCGGACATGACAAGCGTTCCCCGCTCCATCTTTGCTCACTTCTCCACCAACCCGCACTTACCAACGTCATGAGGTTATGGTTAAATACCTAACCGCCGTGTGCGTGTGGAGAATGCCTTGGGTTAATAAATTAATTTACAATGTTGCTATCAGTAATACTGTACTGTGCAACAGCAGCAGCAAGAGAGGTGGTGCAGTGGGAATTTGATACACTGCCGGGCAGTGGCCATAGGAGGAGAAACGCTAAGCATTCGTCTGGTGCTGTTCGTGTCGATCCGACGGGGGATGTCCTTGGGGTTGGACCCTACACACCTCTAATCCCGTAGACCCCGCACCCCGTGTGGCATGGTTCATTCTGCTGGGGTCCCTTCGAGAGCTCAGTGACGGGAACTCCATTAAGCCTGTCGAGGCGGCAAGCCAAGCCAAGCCAAGCCTCGACTGTGTTGACAGAAGAGGTGAGGAGGAAAGACATGGGGGCAGCGTGACTCACAAAGGATCTTCCTCTCCCCAGGAGATCGAGTCTCCCAATCAAGAGAAAGGCAGATCATTCACCCGAACCAGATCAACCACCCCCCCACTTCCCCCCCACAAATAATCCCCCAAACAATCATAACAATAACTACGCCTCAAGCGAATCTCGATACTTTTGATTCAGGAAGGGGCTCTACATTGGAATGTTTAGCCAAATTCCACTGGTGCGCGTTGTGGCATGTGGGAGCAGACTCGAGGACCCAGAAAAAAGCCACCAAAAGCAAACGACGGGGGTGACACTCAGCGATGCCATCTGCTGGCCACTCCCCGATGCCCAACAACATGTGGACAGCAATCGTGGCGGCCACCTCATCCAAGCACGAACCAGGGCTCGATCCCTGCTCGGCGCCGAGTAGGGGCGGGGGGGGCAATGGAAAGGGATTGAATGAGCGGTGCGTGCGTAATCATCCACACCTTGATCTTGGACATGAGCGCGTCCTTGGCGTCCTGCTCCTTGGACAGATCCCACACCACTTTGTCCTTCTCGGCCATGAGCAGCTCCTCCTCCTCCTCTTCCTCCTCCTCCGTGGCTCCTTCTCGCTTCTCCTGCTTCTTGCCGCAGCTACGCACCTCCGCCTCATCCCGCTTCTCTCCGCCCGCCGAGTCCACGGCGAAACCGTCATCGTCCACCTCATCATCATCGTCGTCGTCGTCGCCGCCATCGTCATCTTTGTCGTTGTTCTCGCCGTCACCGCCCGCGCGAGACTTCCTCCTGCTTGTCCGACTCCTCCGCCGCTCCCTGCAGAGGCTGCGCTTCTCCAGCTGCGCCCTCAGCCTGGAGATCTCCTCCTGGAACTCGCGCAGCAACGCGTCCTTGGGGTCCTCGTTGATGCGCGGCTTGTTCTTGATGTTCTTTGCCCGGCTGGCGTAGCGCAGCGTCGTCAGGGACTCGTCGTAGTTGCAGTCGGCGGGACCCACCGTGGCCACCATGATGGTCTTGGCATTCCCTCCCAGGGAGTCTTGCAGGAGGCGCGTGAGCTTCGAGTCGCGGTACGGGACGTGGCTACTGCGGCCGTCCACCAGGGCCGAGATGACGTTGCCGAGCGCCGACAGGGACAGGTTGATCTTGGTGGCCTCCTTGAGTCGCTCGCCCTGCGCTCCCGTCTTGGCCTGCCGCTCGCTGCCCGCCAGGTCCACGAGGTTGAGCTTCCCGGCTCGGATGCGCGCTTGCCCGTCCACGCCGCGCTCGCTGCTCTCCACCGTCACCACGAAGATGGCGTGCGAGCGCGAACTGCGCTCGTTCATGTTGGTGGCGCCCACGGCGCGATTCTGACCCCCCACGTTCATGACGTGCTCGATCTCCTTGACGCTCTTGGTCACGAAGGACGACAGCTCCTTCACGTAGACGCCGACGTCGGGACGCTCCTTGAGCTCCAGCCGCTGGCTCTGATCCTTGCAGAGGAGGTCCCTGATCTCCTCCTGATAGATCTCCAGGTAGGAGGCGCGCACCAGGTACTGCTGGTTCTGCGAGCGCGAGATGTGGGTGAAGATCTGCTCGAAGGAGCTGGGGATCACGCCACGGCGCTCCGGGTCGCCGCAGGCCCGGCCAGGACCTTCCATGGTGTACGTCTTGCCCGTGCCCGTCTGGCCGTAGGCGAAGATGGTGCCGTTGAAACCCATCAGCACGGACTCCACCAGCGGGCGGAAGGTCTCGTCGTAGAGGTCGGCCTGCTTCGAGTTCCAGTCGTAGACGGCGTCGAAGGTGAAGCTCTTGGGCAGCTCCGAGGGTCCGGCCCGCGGGTTCCTCACGGTCACCTGCCCCAGCTTCACGTCGAGGTCCACGGCGCCGCAGCAACCCGCGGACGCCTCGCGGCGGCTCAGCGGTCGGCAGCGGACCACGACTCGCACCGTCTCCTGCGCCTTGGCACGAGACGACATCGCGGCGTCGGAGCCTCCAACAACACCACCACCACCTCCTCCACCTCCTCCTTCTTCTTCACCGCCGCCGCCGCCGCTGCCTCCTCCTCCTCCTCTCCGGGGCTCGCGTCTCTCATGCCCTCGTCGCGGCCCTGGGAGAGAGCGAGAGAGCGCGGCTCCCCTCCCGTATCCCCTCTCCCCTCCCGTATCCCCTCTCCCCTCCCGTATCCCCTCTCACCTCCCGTATCCCCTCTCACCTCCTCTCCCCTCCCTCTCCCCGCTCTCTCCTCTCTCTCCCCGCTCTCTCCTCTCTCTCCCCGCTCTCTCTCCTCCCTCTCCCCTCCCTCTCCCCGCCCTCTCCTCGCTCTCTCTCCCCTCTCTCTCCCCTCTCTTTTTTTACGATCAGAAGAAACAAGAAGATGCTCGGTGTAGTCGGCACTTTGCTCCGTTCATCATTTCGGTTTTTTTTGTTTTTTTAATGCTTTGCTTTATGTAACCCCCCCCCCCTTTTAAATGAAAGACCCAAAAAATGTTTTCCCTTCCCTCTCTCTCTACCCCCTTCTCTGCCTCTCCTCTCCCCTCACTCTCCCCGCTCTCTCCGCTCTCTCCCCGCTCTCTCCCCTCCCTCTCCCCGCTCTCTCTCCCCTCCCTCTCTCTCCCCGCTCTCTCCCCTCCCTCTCCCCGCTCTCTCTCCCCTCCCTCTCCCCTCTCTCTCCCCTCTCTCCCCTCCCTCTCGCCTCTCTCTCCCCGCTCTCTCCCCTCCCTCTCCCCGCTCTCTCCCCTCCCTCTCCCCGCCCTCTCCCCTCTCTCTCTCCCCTCTCTCTCTCTCTCCCCACCCTCTCCCCTCTCTCTCTCCCCTCTCTCTCCCCTCTCTCCCCTCCCTCTCCCCGCTCTCTCCCCTCCCTCTCCCCGCTCTCTCCCCTCCCTCTCCCCTCTCTCCCAGCTCTCTCCCCGCTCTCCCCACCCTCTCCCCGCCTCGTCCACTGCGGCTCCACTCGTGCACGCCGCAGCGCGTTTGTATTTGGCAGTGCACACAGGCGGGCGTGGCAGCACTTTTCAGACTTGGTAGTGTAGGTGGGGAGGCGAGGCATTGCGGTTAGATTTGGTAGTGTGCATCGTGTCGGCGGTGGCAATGTCAATAGATGTTGTAATGCAACATTGTGTTGGCCAGGCATCGCGATTAGATCTGGTAATGCATGCTGGTAGGTAGGCGTGGCAGTGTAATTGTATTACATGGCATCATATTTAACAAAATATAAATATTCGTCAATAAAACTGCCGTAAAATAATAACAACACGCAAATGTACGTGCCATGAAGGGCTTTTTTCCCATTTCATATTTCCTATTAAGGCCACATACACACACGTGTGATGTCTGTACGAATTCCCCGAGGGTTTGTGTTGTCGTTATTAATTGCGCGTTGTGCACCCGTGCCAATGTTATCAGCAGCCCCTTACCAGACAATTAGTTTTACACATTGGGTGGGAGTCGGTAAGGGTTTGTATTTAGTCGTGCATGTAATTAGGTGCGGCAGTGCCATTGTATTTGGTAATGTATAAAGGTATGCGTGACAATGCGATTAGATTTGGTAACGCATATAGATAGGCACGTCAGTCCTGTGTTTGACGCGGGGTGGGCAATGTATTGTATTTGGTAGAGTATATAAGTGCGCGATAATGTGATTGTATTTGTTAGTGCACATTGGCCAATGCGGCACTCCTATTGTATTTGCCAGTGCATATAGAGGGGGGGCGGGGGGTTAGAATAAATATAGGAGCGGCATTATATTTGTATTTGCTAATTTACATAGGCGGACGTGTCTGTGTATGTTGAACTTCTGTCGCACCGTACGTATTAGATATAATGTGTATGCGCGAGCACAGCTACACTTGAATTCATGGTTGGGCATCGTGCGAGTGTACAGTGCACACAGATGGGAGCGATGTGATAATGCAATAGGACTTGACAGTGCGATTTACATTTGGTTATATATGTGTGTGTGTGTTGCACACACACACTTGTTAGTGCGCATTGGCAGGCGTGCAAGTGTGATTTTAAATTGCGCATTTTAAATGCGTGCGTGCATGTGTGTGTACCCAGGCAGGTGCGGCCAAGCGATTGCATTTTCCAGTGCGCATGGGCAGGCGTGACTCGCCACGTTTGTATTCGCTAGTGCACATCGGTGTGGGCGTCGGCGAGCGATCCGATTTGCTGTGAGGCCGCTCGAGTTTCGTCAATGTTGGTCTGCGTGTCACCGGTCGCCGGCAAATAGTTTTTTTGTTGTTGTAAATTTTTATATAAGGGGCCGTCCATAAATGACGTCACGCACCTGGGGGGGGGAGGGTGTGAGACATTTGTGACGATGTGTGACGAGGGGGGAGGGGGGTTTGAGAAATGTGACGTCACCTCAAAATGCGCAACTTTAAATAAATATAGACAACACGTTCTACTTAATTAGACTTTTTAATGTTTTCTCCTACAACATCAGAGTGCAGCGCCACATTAAATACGCACTACAATGACAATAGTTTAAAGAGATTTGAAGCATGTTTTTTGGGGGGGGAGGGGGGTAGAGCTTTGTGACGTCATATTTGAGGGGGGGGGGGTCTGACCTTTTGTGACGCCGTGTGACGAAAGGATGGGGGGGGGGGGGTAAAAAAATCGTCCAAAATCGCGTGACGTCATTTATGGACGGCCCCGAACGCACCTAGGGCAAGGCGTCAATGGCCCACGCGAGTTTACCATTTACGCGAAGGCTTGCAACCCAGGCAAGGCGGCCAGCACAGGGCAGTGCAGAGACAAATAACAATCGGCAGCGTTGTGCTGCACTTCTACGCTACCGCGTCGAGAGTCGTGCCCCCTTCGCCAAAACCTTCATAGCCGATGCGTGCTGCTGGGGCAAGTGCTGTCGGCGAGCAGCACCTACGAAGGCCGGCACACGAGGGGGGGGTGGCCATCACCATGCGCGGATGCCTTTGTATCCCCCAGAGCTGACGTTGCTTACGCTTACTGCACCCATTTAAGGTTGAGTTGACCTAGTGGGGGGGGGGGGGGGGGGGGGGGTGCTCGCGACCGGTTGAAATATTCGTCGCTGGTGGCAGCAAGCGGGAATTAAACTCGGGTCGCCGGGTTCCCAATGCGGTGCGCAGGAACCAACGCGTCGCCACCGCTCCCCATGGATTTTGCTACACTGCCCCCCCCCCCCCCCCATCCCCAAATATAGGCGAGTCACAATGTGGTTTATAACACGCAGCATATCCGACCGTCACAACCCAGTGCGGTGTGTATGTATGTGTAATGACAGGGTGACACCTGCAGGCCTCAAGGGGTAATTACGGTTATTGCTGCATTACATAATGCCTTATTATGAAGAGGCGTATCTGGGGTTAAGGTTAAGGGCGGTGTCAGTCGAGAAGCTCCGGGAACCATCCCGAAGGGTCTTAGTAGGTTCTAGAAAGGGGGCGTGGCCAGAGGTGGAGCTTGGCCACGTCAGGCGGATATAAGGAGCACCGAACCAGAGCTTCGGGGCTGTTAGTGTGGGGTCTGGGTCCTGGTTGCGTTGCTGCTCGTCGTCATCTTCGTCTTCGACCACGTGGCTGTTCTTCTGCGGGACCCGCTCCGTCTTCGCCGCTAAGCTCGTCGACCAGCCAGCGTAGAGCAGGACGGAGAGGGGCTGCGTGTTTAGAGCAGCCTCGGTGTAGCCGCGTTACGAAGTGTATCGCCCTGTGTGCTCTTAATAAATAAGAAGCCTTCTACTTAAACGCGTGTCGGAAGTCGCTCACTACATATGTACTGCGTGCATGGTGTAACTGGTCATTGTAATAATAATAATTCAAATGTATAATGCGCATTCCATCCTAGGATCCCGATGCGCAATGCATGAAGAGCAAGAAACAAAAACAGAACCGGGGCAACCGACCAAACTAAAGAGGCAAGGCCACTTTTCAATAGATATGACGTCAAAGCTGACTTAAATATATCGACCGACTCTGCCTGATTTCAGGATTGCAAGGCGTTCCATAGTTTGGGTGTGTTCACAATTCCGACCCTCTCAAACAGACGGCAAACCCCAATTTCGCGTACATTCGCCTATACCTCCTCAGTCCCCAGCGAGTCGAACACAAAACACTGCACTTGCTGTGGCATTCAACTATATTGGGCGATGGTGTCGCTTAAAGAGGCACTGTTTGAAGGAAGGGAAATGGGGAGAACCACTTCAAATATCCTGCCTGTCCCATTAATGGAATTCAGTGGCTAGCAGGCGTGAAGACCCCTCAAGTTAAAATCCTCCCTTGACAGAAATGAGCCTTGGAAATGTTAATATTGTAATGCTTAGTTATTGATATGTCGTCGTGCATGTAAATTGCAGGCAGCAGCCAGGTGGCGAGCCTGCACTACCAATAATTGCCCAAGCTTTGCGGTCCTCTATATATGGAGATGCTTTCAACCAATTAATGAGTGTTTATACAGAATCTCCCTTTACACATCGGAGCGTAGGGAATTGCTACACTTGTCATATCTGCGGTGAAGCACTCAGTTCCTGCCTCACTGCACTTGATGTAATTCAACGAAAAGCTGTCGAGTAGACTGGTGATCCAGAACTCACTGAAATTCATGCATTAATCGCATATCTTACAGCGGGAATTAACATAGTTTAATTCACTGCAGTCACTCCCTCCCCGCGGTCAGTCGCTTCCGTATCACTCTTTTAACTCTACTAGAACGGTTACTGTTCCTGTGAACTTCACAACTCTGATAGTGCTGTTAGTTTTCTTGCCGCTTGACGTTTTGGAACTGCCTTTCGGCAACTGTGAGCAACAAAAAAAAGAACCCGAGTGGAGTGTCGTGAGATGAAGGGGGTGGGATCGAGGGAGCTCGAGGCTGGGCAGTACGCTCGTGCAGAAACAAGTTAAGAAAAAAACATGCATTAGGCATGGCGTATGCAACGCTTTCCAACAAGCGTTTGTCCTCAGCAGTATTTAATTACCAGTATGAAAGCTGTCAAGGGCAAAGCCCCATTTACATATTTTTAAGCAGAGTCGTTCGTTTTGCTCTGGCTTGGGCCTCCACGTTTTGGGCAACCCCCTTGGATGGATAAATTTGGCCGCTTTTCAAAAGAGCAAGTCCCCAGTAACACGTTCAAGAGGACGGCCACCGCATAGACGGAGCCCTGAGATCAGTTCATGTGCCACGAGTGAGATGGATGGTCGCAGCACTGGGCCACGTGGAGGGTGGCGACGGCGTGGGCATGCTTTCGTACATCAGTGGATAGATCATGGCTGATGACGATGATGAAAACACTTTGTCACACAATTTTTGTTCCTGGGTAGTAAGTGTTATTTCCTAATTTCTAATGCCTAAAAAGTAAGAAAAAATGGCTATTATTCCCCACAAACTTTGCTTTTGTGACCAGGACAGTGATATTTTGAAATTTACCTATTTTCCATGACAAAACGGGCGAATTAGTGTCTTTTCGTTCACATAAAGTCAGAAAAAACAACATGAATCAAAATTAACATGTATTTATACTAAAGTAATACAAAGATGACTACAAAAGATTTAGAAGTGAGTAGTTTTTCGAGATTTACGATTATACTGTAAATCACTTGCACGAATCAGCTCCCAAATGTAGTCTCCCATCATGTTCTCGTTATACTGTCCTTGGTAGCGGCGTTCAAAGTCCAGTATATCCTGGTGGAAGCGCTCGCCTTGCTCCTCCGAATACGCCCCCATGTTCTCCTTGAATTTATCAAGATAAGCATATTGACTTTGAGGGACATCCTACAGCCCATTGTGCCATAGTTCTTCACCAGAGTCTCAACCAGCTCAACATAGTTTTCGACCTTGTCATTGCCCAGGAAGCCACGAACCACTACGACAAAGCTGTTCCAAGCCACTTTCTCCTTACGAGTGAGCTTCTTGGGAAATTAATTGCACTCCAGGATCTTCTTTATCCGTGGTCCGACGAAGACACCAGCTTTGACCTTTGCCTCAGACAGCTTAGGGAAGAAGTATTGAAGGTACTTGAAGGCTGCCGACTCCTTATCTACAGCTCTGACAAATTGTTTCATAAGGCCCAATTTGATGTGCAGTGGTGGCATCAGCACCTTCTGGGGGTCCACCAGTGGCTCCTACTTGACGTTGTTGTTCCTGGTCACATGGCCGGTCTGCTCTAGACCAATTCTTCGACCACATCAATTCCATACACCCAGCCATCAGATTTACCATGGAAGTCGAAAAAGATGGCAAGCTACCTTTTTTGGATGTCTTAATAAAAAAGAGACCTGATGGTTCAATGAGCCACTCTGACTACAGGAAAGCTACCCATACGGATGCTTACCTGAAACCGGATTCCCATCACCATCCATCCCAGAAGAATTGCCTCATCAAGACTCTGCACCATAGAGCCCAATGCATATCCGACCAGGAACACATAGCCAGTGAACTCAAGCACGTACACCAAGCTCTTAAGGCTAATGGTTATTCCGACTACATGATCCGCAAAACTATCACTCCAGCCATGACGAAGGACCCTCTTGAGGAGCCTTTCAAAACCATCACTTTACCCTACATTGCGGGGATCACAAAAAATATCTCCAAAATATTGAATAAACACAAGATCCAGGTCCGATTCAACACATTACATCAGAATCAGAAAGGGTTTCATTTGCCATGAAAGTTCACACCAACACGGAATTTACTTTGGCAGGACGGTGCATACATTCAACATATAGGAATCTAAAATCTGAAATAAGTTTTAAAACGTCTAACTAACATCAAGGGACTGAAGTATATAAAATTGAATAAATATCGAATATAAAATAGCTTTAAGATATAGTTTAAAAATAAAAAATACAAATAGATTAACATAGTTAATATCGGCAAGGTGTCATTATGTAGATAAAATGTTAAAATCAGTGTAAGCCCTTGGCCTTGTTTAACAGGCCAGCAGCAGATGGGAAGAAACTGTTTTTATGGCGTGAGGTTTTGGTCCTGATGGACCGAAGCCTTCTGCCGGAGGGGAGTAGCTGAAACAGAGAGTGTCCAGGGTGGGAGGAATCGGCCATAATCTTCCTCGCTCGCCTCATGGTCCTTGTCGTGTACAGGTCCTCGAGGGTTGGTAGATTGCAGGCAATTACCTTCTCAGCAGTGTGGATGATACGCTGCAGTCTGCTCTTGTCCTTGGCAGTGGCAGCAGCGTACCAGACGGTTATGGAGGAGGTGAGGATGGATTCAATGATTGCTGTATAGAATTGCACCATCATTGTCTTTGGCAGGTTGAATGTCTTCAGCTGCCGTATAAAGTACATCCTCTGTTGAGCTCTCTTGGTGAGGGAGCTGATGTTCAGTTCCCACTTGAGGTCCCGGGAGAGAATAGTGCCCAGGAAGCGGAAGGACTCTACAATTTTGACAGGGGAGTCTAACAGGGTGATGGGGGTGAGGGGGGCTGTATTCTTACTGAAGTCCACAACCATCTCAACTGTCTTTAGAGCATTTAGCTCTAAGTTGTTCTGGCTACACCAGGTCACCAGGTTGTCAGCTTCCCACCTATAGTCAGACTCATCCCCACCAGAGATCAGCCCAATGAGGGTGGTGTCGTCCGCAAACTTCAAGAGTTTGACGGACAGATGATTGGAGGTGCAGCTGTTGGTATACAGGGAAAAGGGCAGTGGGGAAAGGACGCAGCCCTGAGGAGTTCCAGTGCTGATGGACCTGGAGTCAGAGACTTGTGTTCCCAGCTTAACGCACTGCTTCCTGTCAGACAGGAAGTCTGTGAATCACCTGCAGGTGGAGTAGGGCACGTTCAGCTGGAAGAGCTTGTCCTGAAGCAGGGCAGGGATGATGGTGTTGAAGGCAGAGCTGAAGTCCACAAACAGGATCCTAGCGTAGGATGCTGGGGCGTCCAGATGCTGTAGGGTGAAGTGGAGGGCCATGTTAACTGCGTCATCCACAGACCTGTTGGCTCTGTAGGCAAACTGAAGGGGGTCCATAAAATCCGTGATCTGGTTCCGTTTGTAAAAGATGTGATTCCGGACATACAGTACCCTGGCGTCTACAAACTAAGTTGCCTCTGTGGTAGTAGTTACATTGGAGAAACCAAACGACATGTCTCGGATCGCATTCGTGAACACAAAGCAGACCTGAAACACGGTAGGACCAACACCTCGGCCGTGGCAGAGCACTGTTATAATTCAGTAGGTTCACATGACATTGACTTCTCCAAGACAGAGGTTATTTGCAAGCCATCTGGCTACCATGAGAGATTCGTTCATGAGGCTATCCACATGTACAAACACAGAGACAATTTCAACCGAGAAGATGGATTCTGGCTTAGCAATCATTGGAAGGATTTGATAAACCATTTAGGGTCTTAATTGATTGATCACGCTTAAGGTGGCTTTCAGACCGCATCCATTATTTTTCTTCTCCCCCCTCCTCTTTTCTGAACATAGATGGACTCGTCCATCTGAACAAACTGTCAAATCGCTCTCTGTGGTGCTAACGTTAAAAAAACCGCCACTTTTTAAAAATTTTCTTGTTGTGGTTTTCTCACCTGATGATGATTGCTTGTGCTGCAGTCGAAACGTCGTGAGAATTTTATTGTTTTATATTTTTATTATTTTATTGTTTCCTTTCTACGTGACTTTACCGAAAGAACCAAGAATATGTTGTTGTTCCTCACAGAGAACTCGGTCCGCTGTGGCCTGTCCCGCCTGTGGTAGTGCGCCTTGGTGTCCCTGCTGCCCCAAAGGCAAAGATAGCAGGGAAACTTGGTAAACCCGCCTTGGAGACCCATCAGGAATGCCACCATTTTGAAGTCTCCGATGACCTCCCAGCCGTGCTCATCATACTTCAAGGCGTCCAGCAAGGTCTTGATGCTGTTACAACAGCAAGGTGCACCGAGTGAGCCAGGGGTAGAAACGGGTACGTGTTACCATTATGGAGCAGCACTGCTTTGAGGCTCCTGGATGAGCTGTCAATGAAGAGGAGTCACTCATTCGGGTTACGGGCGATTCCGATTGCCTTTAACACAGACTGGTCACATTGTGGCAGAAGCAGAGCCCATCTTGACGGGTGAAGAAGCTGCAAAAAGGTTGGTGACGCTTCCTCTGATCGGCGACTTGCACACTTTCATCCAACAAGTTCCACTGCTTGAGCCTAGACTCCCCGCTCCGCAAAAATAATAATCTGAGGGCCCCCAATGAGGAGGCATCGACGCAGAACAAGTTGGCCTGCGCCGGTAAACAAACTTTGCCCTCCGTTAATCATTAACGAGAACTGTTGTTCTGCCCCAGCACGGGAAAACCCAGCTCAGTCACCACAGCGACGGGGGGGAAATTCCAACCGCAGCCACAAATACACCCACAAAAAAATAATGTAAAATGACCCACATCCCGCCCACTTCCTCTCTAGTCCAAACGGAGCCTCCCTTGAAGCCGGAGGAAAAAGCGGACGCGCAGATGTTTCAAAAAGAAAAGCTACATTTTTCAAATGCCATCGGTGAAAGCATGCAGCGCGCTGTGACACAGAGGCACAGATAGTTTTGTCTTCAACGGCTTGTTGACATTCTGTTGTGCAGACTAGTTAGTAGCCGGCGTGAGGGCAAGAGGGAAAGTGAATATTACGTAACTTAAAGAGTTTCGAACCTCTTTGATCCAGGAGATAATTCATGTCTTGGGGCAATGTGCCGTGAACACCAAAACGGAAAAGCAAACGAAAAATAAAAAGGCGGCCCTGGCGAAATCTTGGCGAGGTGACTAGTAGAGAGGTAAGGCTGGTTGGTTCACATTTTTCTTACTGTTAGAGAGAGGTCTACTATTTGTGGCTGATTGGTTAGTCGGTGAGAGGTATAGCCAGTAATAGTGGCTGGTTGACTACTTTGCTAGTGTTAGAGGCAAGGCTCGTTGACGAGTAGTAATGACAGGGCTATAACTAATGGCTAGTTGCTTTGTGTTGGGGAATGATTAGAGTTTGGTTGGGTCGTGTTAGTGATAGGACAGTAACTAGTGGCTGGCTGGCTATTCTCTTAGTATTGCGGTAGACTAGTATAGTTGGTTAGTGCTCTCCACGCCCAAACCGCTGTTCATCCTCCCTTGCTACAATGCAAGGGCTTCCTATCTGGTGTTCACAGCTTCAGACCATCTGACGGTGCAGGTAACGCCACTGGCATTGTGCAAATGGGGAATGCACCATCGGACGGCAGGAACGGCCAGGCGAGGACTCTCACCATCACTGACTATGATACAACCTGGGAAAGCGAGTCCGAGACTGAGTCCCAACCAAGGGATGAGAAGAGCGGGGTGAGGGGTGAAGGAGATTCGGCGGGGAGCAGGCTGGCAAGAACGGTGGCCGATGACAATGCTGCCCCTCATGCTGCCCCTGCTGCTACCTCGGCTGTTTCCGTCCTCTCCACACGACCCAAACGAAGCCTCTACGCTGCCCGTGACATGCACCAGTACAGACACGGCTACCCGGTACGTCAATCATTTTCTTTGCTCAGTCCCGTGGCTTGCTTCAATTGACGATGCTGCTTCCTTGATGTGTGGTGGTAATTTATTTTTTAACGATGCAATGACAGAAAAAAGGAATACTATTTAGTAGAAGCTCGTTTGTTGATTTTAGAAGAAGAAAGAGCGCAAGAGTGACATGCCAAACCTGAAGTTCTACCAGAATCGGATCTGCTTCGAACCAAACGGTATGTATTTTAACAAAAGCGATGGGTGGGGGAAAATGCATAAAATATTTTCTGCCATGTAACATTGATTGGTAATGATTACGATGACGATGTTGCGAATGTCCACCATGCAGGTGTGTTAATAGAGGATGTCCTCAAGTGGAAGGGAAACTATTCCATCCTGGATCAGAACCACAGCTACATTCAATGGTACACAACACGATTTCAATATCCACAAGAAAGCACTGAGCATTTACACTACAATTATTCAAGTATATCGCATGCTTCTCCTGCAAAATAAAGATTAAGACAAAAGTACAGTAATGTGTTAGATTATTTACAAATCTGCCCACACACAGTGAGGGAAAAAAAATATTTGATCCCCTGCTGATTTTGTACGTTTGCCCACTGACAAAGAAATGATCAGTCTATAATTTTAATGGTAGGTTTATTTGAACAGTGAGAGACAGAATAACAACAAAAAAATCCAGAAAAACGCATGTCAAAATTTTTATAAATTGATTTGCATTTTAATGAGGGAAATAAGTATTTGACCCCCTCTTAGAAAGATTTCTGGCTCTCAGGTGTCTTTTATACAGGTAACGAGCTGAGATTAGGAGCACACTCTTAAAGGGAGTGCTCCTAATCTCAGCTCGTTACCTGTATAAAAGACACCTGTCCACAGAAGCAATCAATCAATCAGATTCCAAACTCTCCACCATGGCCAGCTCTCCAAGGATGTCAGGGACAAGATTGTAGACCTACACAAGGCTGGAATGGGCTACAAGACCATTGCCAAGCAGCTTGGTGAGAAGGTGACAACAGTTGGTGCGATTATTCGCAAATGGAAGAAACACAAAAGAACCGTCAATCTCCCTCGGCCTGGAGCTCCATGCAAGATCTCACCTCGTGGAGTTGCAATGATCATGAGAACGGTGAGGAATCAGCCCAGAACTACACGGGAGGATCTTGTCAATGATCTCAAGGCAGCTGGGACCATAGTCACCAAGAAAACAATTGGTAACACACTACGCCGTGAAGGACTGAAATCCTGCAGCGCCCGCAAGGTCCACCCGCTCAAGAAAACACATATACATGCCCGTCTGAAGTTTGCCAATGAACATCTGAATGATTCAGAGGACAACTGGGTGAAAGTGTTGTGGTCAGATGAGACCAAAATGGAGCTCTTTGGCATCAACTCAATTCGCCGTGTTTGGAGGAGGAGGAATGCTGCCTATGACCCCAAGAATACCATCCCCACCGTCAAACATGGAGGTGGAAACATTATGCTTTGGGGGTGTTTTTCTGCTAAGGGGACAGGACAACTTTACCGCATCAAAGGGACGATGGACGGGGCCATGTACCATCAAATCTTGGGTGAGAACCTCCTTCCCACAGCCAGGGCATTGAAAATGGGTCGTGGATGGGTATTCCAGCATGACAATGACCCAAAACACACGGCCAAGGCAACAAAGGAGTGGCTCAAGAAGAAGCACATAAAGGTCCTGGAGTGGCCTAGCCAGTCTCCAGACCTTAATCCCATAGAAAATCTGTGGAGGGAGCTGAAGGTTCGAGTTGCCAAACGTCAGCCTCGAAACCTTAATGACTTGGAGAAGATCTGCAAAGAGGAGTGGGACAAAATCCCTCCTGAGATATGTGCAAACCTGGTGGCCAACTACAAAAAACGTCTGACCTGTGATTGCCAACAAGGCTTTTGCCACCAAGTACTAAGGCATGTTTTGCAGAGGGGTCAAATACTTATTTTCCTCATTAAAATACAAATCAATTTATAACATTTTTGATATACGTTTTTGTGTATTTTTTTGTTGTTATTCTGTCTCTCACTGTTCAAATATACCTACCATTAAAATTATAGACTGATCATTTCGTTGTCAGTGGGCAAACGTACAAAATCAGCAGGGGATCAAATACTTTTTTCCCTCACTGTATATCCATTGAACTGTAGTTCAACACTGATTTTTGCCTTCATATTTAGAATGTCTTTTTTGACACACATAGACAAGCCATTTACAGATACCCCATTACTTTCTAATAACCGTAATTTCCTATCAAACGGTGATTGAATATTGTTAAAAAGATGGCTCCACATTTTACAGAGGGCATTAAAAGATTTCATACCGTAGTCTCCATATTGTAAGATGCTCCGGACCGTCAGATGCATCCCATCTGTTGCTTTAAAAGAGAGGGGGAAATGCTTATTGTAATCCAAAGAATATTGTAATGTGTATTAAGATTAGTGGGAGAAGTTTAGAGGCTTTGAATGTTTTATGTAATTTCTCACAATTGTTATTGGGACATCTATTAATGGATAACAATGCATTTCTTAACTGGAAATTAATTTTCACTTACGTTCGTCACACAGGCTGTTTCCGCTACGTGAAATGGGTCTGAACTGGTACGCTATGGAACTGACCTTGCCAGAGATCAAGGTATATTGAGTCATTGCTAAATAGCCCTTACCCCACATAAAATTACCGACTGACTTCATCATTACATTAAGATACACATTAAATGCCATTTAGAGAAGTGATTTGGAGGTCAGAGTGCTGAGCTACCACTACTAAAATCCTGGGTTCAAATCCAGGCAGTTGTTTGTGATTAAACCATGTTCTCAAGTCGTGAGGTCACAGCTGGATCACCAACGATTGGACACAAAGAAACGTCAGATTAATATGGTTCTGCACTTCATAGGGCTAAGTTCTAACTCTGAGAGTTAAAGATATCAATGTCATGCAAGCAATATTTCTCTCGTATGGCAGAGAGGGTGCTGCCCTCTCCGTGTAGACCTGGTTAGGGGATAGCTCTGTGATATGTGCTTCCGTGGATCGTTCGAGAACACAAATGGTCGCCCTGCTCTGCGAGAGGTCTGACTGGGTAATTATTCTGAAGAGATGATACAGATAGCACAATCTTGATAACATTTGGGGGAAAAATATATATACACTTAGCACAAAATGGCAATAAAGGAATAGCCATGGTATTGGGGTCCAATGTGAATGGTCAAGAGGGCCCAATTAAGTATATTACGGGGCACAACAGGTCACGGTCCTTCAGGTTTAATGCTGCGACCCATCCAATACGGTGAGCTTTGGAACCCCCGACTCAGCAACGGTGATGTATGTTGAACTTCTTTTTCAGTGTACGTGGCCAACCGTGCTAATCTGAGGTGTGGGAAAGAGACACCGCACGATTGATATATACAAACAATCCTGATCACACCCGTCATCCATTGTCAATTATTTATCTCCCTTCTGCTCTTCCGCAACCATTCTCTTCGAATACTTAGTTTCAGTAAAAAATTTCAGTTTATTTTGAAGTACTCTGTGAGCTAAGAAGCACATAAGTCGGGTTTCATCAATAAAAACACACCGTTTCTGTGACGGACATAACACATCAGAGAAAAATTTAATAATAATGCAAATGAAAAAACAAATGTAACAAAACAATTTCAAATATAAAATTTCTATTTTAAAAGTTTTAGCCAATTAAGGAATTAAAAAAGTGCAAGATTGGGCATAACAAGTGCCAGTGGTAAAACACACCGTTTCCCGAGAAACACTACATTTTAATCTCCAATAAAAAATATATAAAAATGCGCCATCAATCAAAAACAACATTGCACCGAGCAAAACATAGCATCGTTAAAGAAAAATAAGTTGCAGACAAGACTAGAGGCCACTTACAGGTAAACGATGTCCACACATATAGTTATTTGTATGCGTGTTTTATACTTGTTCACTCACGAGTGCCTCTGACCCCCACCACTCAACAGAAGATGCGCGAGTCCCCCACGGTGCAGAATCGGCTGGTGCGCGCGTACGAGATGATGCTGGACACGTACGGGCTGCGTCTGGACGACCGCGAGCGCGGCACCATTCGCCGCGCCGATCACTTCCATCAGCGTCTGCGCGACGTCTTCAAGTGAGATAGGATGCATCAGCGGGTGCCGTTTGTTCGGAGCGGGTGCCATTTCAGAGAAGGCAAACATTTAAAATCGAACATGAAATACACATCAAGGAACGCCTAATAAGAGTTTTACAATTTTACATATCTGAAAATATTTTCTTAAAAATGGTCTTTAATGTACAAACGGCCATCTCTGTCCCTTTTGTCACCCGCTTCTTTGCTGCTCCTCTGTCCACTGCACTCAAAATCATGAAGAATTTATTGAATGTTTTTGTTTGGGCTATGAAAATAAATTAAAGCATTTTGGATAAATATTTAAATAAATCATGTGTGTGAAAGAACGAAGGTGAATTTTTTATTGTAATTGGAGATAATGTTTCTTATATATAAAAAAAAAAATCTCCAGACCTGCCCTACCCTTGCCATGCTAAGCCCAATTAACTTGTCATGCAATCGCGGTCCTGTTCCAGTCAATGTTTTAAAAAGTACAAATTACTTGGAACAAATTTGCTTGTTGTGAACAAACATGTAACGTAGGTTATCTCGTGTTGAAGCCCTTGGTAAATGGTGCAAAGTGGTCAATGAGAATGTTACGAGAAACATTATTGCAGGACGATTGCACCATTTACTGTCATGTTTAATTCATGTGTACGTTTCGGGCATGTGAGTGCATGTGCGTTTGTCCATGCTTTACGCAACTCATGATGCACTGATTCATCAAAAAATATTCTTACGCTCAAGATACATGCAGAAAATTGTCCGTGGGGGAAACCATGAGTAATACATTCATGCAAATTATCTGCAAATGATATGGCATTACATTTATTTTAATGAAGTTAACTAAAACGAACAATTAAACCAGAATGCAAATATGACAATTAAAATTAGAACAAAAATACATTCTTGAATAGAATTGTTACCCTCAATGTATGACTATAACCGAGCGATCCGATTATTTAAGCAAACAAATTCTCTCGAGATGATTGCATTGATTACTCAACTAATCAGATGACGAAAAAATATTTCATCGTCCCAGGTCTAATTGTGCCTAATGCATCGAATTGCTTCTCGTGGAAGTGATTGAACGGTTTCCTGCCGAGGATTGCATGCAGACTGTGCGGACACGTCTCACCCACGCAGGGACGAGACGTCGCAACACCACAACATGCGGCTCACGCGGGTGCTCAAGAGCCTCGGTGAGCTGGGCTTGGAGCACTACAAGGCGCCGCTGGTGCGAGCGCTGCTGCGCATTGCACTGTCGCCCGCGTGCCCGCAGGCCGCCGCCCACATGCGACGCAGCGCCCTCGACTACTTTGTGTTCACTGTGCGAGACCGAGGAGAGCGCCGACGCCTGCTGCTCTATGCACAGGCCAAGTACAGGCACGTTCGCATGTGTGCAGAACTTTCGCACCGTATATAGCCAAACGTCGGAGGTGCGTTTTTTGAAAGCCACATCAACACAATACGTAGCAGGGCCTTCTTCAAAGCAGAGCAGTTTGACGCCTGTTTGGAGGTGCCAGGTTGGGTTTTTTTTCACTGTAGAAGCCGAACCGTGCCGCCTACATCGCACACAATGAACGAGTCGAGTCGCACGTAGGTGACATGGAGACGATGTTTGGTTCTGGCTCGGCTCGGCAAATAGCCAGTGGAAAAACCACCGGTACCGTGAAGGCACCACACTGTCCTGGTTTGCATGTGCCAATGGAAGAGGGATAGATTATATTCTTGGTTCTTTCGGTAAAGTCACGTTGAAGGGAAACAATAACATAACAAAAATATAAAACAAGAACATTTTCTTGCTGTGGTTTTCACACCTGATGATAATTGCTTGTGTTGCAGTCGAAACGTCGTGAGAATTTAATTGTTTTATATTTTTATTATTTTATTGTTTCCCTTCTACGTGACTTTACCGAAAGAACCAAGACTATGAATCCCTGCAGTCACGAAAGCTTTAAATAAAACATTTAAGGCATAGATTAGTAAGATTAAAGCGAGATAAACAAAAGAGAGAAGGGCAGCGTTTCATTGTAACAGTAACGTTTTAAAGGATTGTAATTTAGTGACATAAGTCCATTGAAGACTTCTCCTCTTCTTGTCCCTTGGCCTTTTGGGCCAGTGGGACGTGACCGTTTCCTTCACCGATATCTACTTGCAGTGCTCCCTCCACGTCTCTGTTCATCGCTGTGTCTTTCGACCGAGATAGTTTCCATCCCATCCAATGGTGTGATATTCAACAACCAGTCAGATCGTGGCCTTCTACCTTTCTGACGGTTGAGTGTTCGTTAACCATCCTTTGCAGAAGAATGTGACTAACTGAAATCATCTTTTATACATCTGTGTGGTTGGAGTTAGGTTTCATGGTAGGGCCATCCAATCAGCTCACTAACAATTCCTTTCACGTTTTCAGTTGTTGTAAAGCAGGTGATCTTTTTTTGCGTGCAATACTTGTAGGCCGGAAGATGAGTTCGTGTGGGGACCACCGGTAGGGAGACTGACTCGCTACGCTCACCTCGTCACACCGGATTCCGACGAGTCCGACCGCGAAGTTGAATCTAATGAGGAAAATGAACCTGCGAGGGACTGCCAGGGAGAGGAGCTGTTAGAAACAATATGTGATGCAAGCACAGAGGACGTCCATCAGCATGCTCCACAGTCTGATGCTGGCTATGATGACATAAGCTAGTGGTGAGTACAGTCACAAACATGCTAGCGACCGCGTCATGTGCTGCGTCTTACTCATCTTTCCATTTCCGGAGTCCTACTCAAACACCATCTCTTCCACGTAGCTCCGAAACATTGTATTTACATCGAGGCAAACTGTGTGTACGTATTAACAGCATAAAGGGAATACCTGCAGAGCCGTAAACTGGCACTTATTCGCATATTAGTCACAAACGGCTTTTACATTTTTATTGTAAGTGAATACAAGACAGCACAATAAAGATATTTATTGTTATTTAAAAAGAGAAAATATCATTATGTACACTTTTTTAAAATACACGTCTATAAATCTGCACATTTTTCAAGCATGAGACAATTTGCCTTTAGACTACAAGAAAACAAACAGTGAATGTATGAAATTATAACTGTACACTGCAGCAATCGCCAAATGCGCAATAGTCACAAAAACACGAGACACACTTCAGAATGCCCTTCCACCTTCCATACAAAGGGCATTCAGATTTTGAAAACCCATACAGAATTGCCACTGAATGAGTCAAGTGTTAAGTGCTTCTGTGAGTTTCTGTGGATCCTGAGAGTTAGTCATGAAGCTCTGGTGTCATTGCTGTGTACTTTCCAACACTATCGATTTAAGCGGTAGGCTACCGATTTTTGAACTCTCTTGCTGCTTTGCTATTTGTAAAGGTAATCGTAACACTTTGCAAACAAAAAAAAATTAACCAAACTTTTTTTTCTGGATACAATTTTTGCTTCGAAAATCAGCATGCCTTCAAAGGGTTTAAACATCGGCGGCCTGCCACTTAACTTACTAGGGTTGACAAGTACTGTGTGTGATACTGTGAGCTGGGGGGCGGTCAGGCGACGGGGCTGTGGCAGAGTGGGCAGACGGCACGCGCCGCAATGTCTCGTTCGGCGGCGCAGTGCTTGCACACCCCGCACATCCAGAACTGGAAGTCGAAGATGCGCCGTCCCGTAGCCACGCACAAGGGCAGCTTATCCTCGCCTCTGTGGATTCAGGAAGGGTCGCAACACAATATAATAAGTACACAACATCCTATTGGGTTATTGTGGAGCATCATGGCTTTTAACATTTATAAACAGACCTCTGTTCTGTCTCCACATACAAATGAAATATATTTTTAGTCATCGGACTATTGGCTTTCCCGACCAATATTATCCAGCAGCATCTGTTTAACAAGCCCTAGTCTGCATATTATCACCTCAAATGTCTAACTTTGTCATTTCTTACAGATACATGAATCTTCAGAAACCAGATTGAGAACTGGTTGTCATGGATTACTTGATGCACTGTTACATACCTATTGTAGAAAACAAATGCAGCAGATGACAATCGCCAGCCAGTATGTAATAAGGTGGCCTGTGTGCAGTGTGGAATGCTTTCCCAGCGCCTATTTATGATGGGGTCTCTTGACAACGAATGATGAACAAAACTACCAGGTGGATGGTGCGAACACGGTGCTTGCGTGCGCGCGCAAATGCCTTACAGTTCGAGTGATGCCGCGGCAGCACTGGGGTCGGATTGGCCGCGTGCCGGCGGGTCCTTGGGCGCGTGCCTCGTGAAGATCTCCACTGCTAGCTCGCGGTACGGCCGCAGCTGCTCCTCTGAGAACCCCTCCAGGGCCTCGAGGCGGAGAAAGGCGCGCGAGCACGTGGCGAACGAACGGCTCGCCACGGCGCACAGCGCCAGCAGCGAGTAGGCGTCGCTCGGTGGCAGGACGTCCTCGTAGTCGCACAGTAGCAGTGCTGCCAGAGGGGCGGAGAAATAATGGATTGTCAGAGACATTCATCGTATTAGAGCTGAGCCATCCAATGACATAAGTAATTGATTACTCGACTGATTATACAATTGGATAGCACAAAGAAAATAGTTGGGCTCATCGCTTCCAGTGGTTTCCACCTCTGTTTCCATGTGTGCTGCTGGATGGGAGGTGATGGGCAGGGTTTGGTGACATCAATAGGATCATCCGCATCACATTGGGCACAGTTTTTCGGGAGTTGATGCCTTCGTGAGGCAGACTGGGGGAGTTTTCCACTTTTAAAGGGGCCCGATTAACCGACCACGCATTTTTTTAATTAATTAATCAACTTAATACATTAATCATCCTGCCCAAGTGAGCTAAGAGCAGGAAAAATTGCTAGAAGGGATATGGCCATCGGGTGAGACCTGCTATGGAATGGCAGCCAAAGGAGGGAACACAAGCCAAAGGATGTCTACACATGAAGTTGAACCGATGAGATTGGCTCATGTGCAGGGGCGAGATGGATTCTGACATTCCAAGACGATGAGGGAGAGAGACCATCATCTAGCAGTGAATAGATCATGGCTGTTGAAGATGGTAAAATATATGTTGGTCTCAAGCGGGATACTTCAATAAAGAAACTTTAATTTCTACTTTGTCTTATCAACTTTCTAAACCGTTTTCATGACGTAAAACCACCAATTTTAGCAACAACAAAAAGTACTGGAGACCCGGAATTTATAAAATATAAAACATTTGCAGGTGGGTTTTATGAGTTAATTGGTGAAATATGTATGATTGGTGAAATATATGCTGTACTGTCTTGCCTAATGATCACGAGGTGGTTTATGAACTACTTCGTAGTTTTTTTTCAGTTGTGCTTTATAGCTCTCTGATATGTTTTGAGGGTTGCAGTACGTATTGTACTGTATGCCGAATTTAAACTATTCAATTGCCGAAGAAGCTCTCAGCTTCTTCCTATATTAAACGTGTTGGTCACGACAGTTGCACTAAATGTATTCCTTTTTTCAAAAAGATGACCGAGTGATCGCCACCATTCTTGTGCCCAAAGCAATGAGCTCCGACGGGTACCCACCGCTGTGCCGACCACTGTGCCCACCGCTGTGCCCACCGCTGTGCCCACCACTTGCCCCACACGCGTGTACCGGTGCGGGTAGCGCTCTCGGCCTGTCCGGAGCACAGCTGTCGCTGTGCCAGCAGGTAGAAGTGGTAGGCCTCGGCGCCCCGCCATGCCCCATCAATCAGCCGACTGTCATCTAGCGCCGCGTCCTCTTCCAGGAGCCCTGCCAAAGCCGAAGATGCCTGCCAATAAAATTAAACGCACAATATTAAAAGCTGTCTCGGCTGAGGTGGCCAGGTGGATCAGGTGGCAAACACCTTGTCAGAGCACTGAGCACGTGATTAAACCAGGTTCTCCATTGTAACCGACTTGATGGTTACTGCTTGGTCACTAATGCCGACAAAATAAACCCCATTGGCTTAAATTCAGTTTTTCACGCAATTCAGCATACTTTTAGTTTTGAAGATAATGTTTTTCTGTTCGTTGACATGTGGCAAACATCTCTATAGCAGGGCATGTGAGAAGGTGGAGTAACCCTGGTTATTATACGAGGAAATTAAAGTTACTTCAGAAGTACCGGTAGTTCTGGGATATCGGTTTCCAGAGGCTCGAATGTGGGTTGATATGACTGCTTTCTGGGAGAATACTGAATGTAGATTTCTCCACCTCATGACATAATACCATAAGCATTCTTAGAATTGGGAGAGAAAACATATCTCAGTTCAGAATCACAATCTTTATGAAGACTGGAGGAATCTTATGAGCTATGAAGCTCTTTTTGCAGATGTCCAGTATGGGCGGATCAGCAAGTTACAACAACAATACAAAAAACGATAGGAGTGAAACATAGAGAAAATGATAAACAAGTTACTAAATATAAATACGTATTAAATACTGTACTTTCATTATATAAGTCCAATTTATCAAGCTAAGGCACGGCAGCAAAAGCAATAACAAATCAATCCCAGACCACACCAAGATAACACAGAGTAGTCCCTCAATAAAATGGCACATGAAAATTAAACTACCGATACACAGGTAAGGATCAAACTTACTACGTGAAGCAAGACAAATTAACAATCTTAAGCGTGAAGGTTTGACATTCAGGTAGGGGCTTTTAATGGCACATGCTGCCCTCACTCACCTCCACACGCTTGCCCTTGATCTTCTCCCTCTGGCCGTTCTTTACCTGCTCGTGGTAGTTTTCTACAAGCAGTGCGGCCAGCACGTACAGCTTCTTCACGCGCAGGGGCTTTGTGCGTTTCTTTGCCTCCTCATCTGCGACCTGTACCAAATAACACCCTTTGTTAATCATCTCACTGAGCCTCAACACTATTATTCGGGAGGGTCCAGCATTGGGATGCCTTCAAGTGGAAGCAAACTGGAGTACCTGGAGAGAAATCTAGCACTAATATGAGGTGGCAATACTGTAAGCTCCAATCCAGATTGCTCTACTGCCATCTCCTGACCACCTCAAATATTGCACCGCACCTCTGATAAGGACGGCTGCCTACGTACGGTGCAAAAGAAGTTCAACATACATGCAGCTACGTGTAGCATGACTGTATTCTCATTGAGTAAGCTGTACATGTACAGTACTTTTTTCAATCCACTGTTCTAGACGATGGCCTCCCCACACACTCCGTGGGTCATCAGGGGTTATTTGACCGTACATCACCACGCTGATCAGTGTGGGTTGGTAAAGGTAGGGAACATAGATGTTAGAGTATAGCAGAGTAACACAATGGAGTCTGCTATACCATTTTATGGTGCCCACAACGCAGCCCCACAGCAGCCCTAACAACCAGATGTGCATGGTTACCTCCAGGCAAGTACTATCCTGGCCACACTTCGCTAAGTTTAGCTTCCCAGACCTAACGAGATCGGGTGTATTCCGCGTGATTTGGTCATAGACTTAAGTCTGTTATACAGCTGAAACAATCACTCTGGGATATATAAGTATTCATAATATAGGTGTTTTTGGGTTAGATCACGTAAATATAAATGTGTTGTTAAACCCGCCACCACCCCACACAGCCAATAAGTAAGGTTTGTCACATAAACAGAACATGCCAACGACACATTCATATATAAGCGATCTAACCCAAAAAACACCTATATTATGGATATTGGTCGCGAAAGCGTACGTGTTAAAATAAATAAGCATGTCAAAATGTCGCCAAACTGTTTCATTCGAAGGCACGTGAATAATAATGCAACCAGCAACACTCGACAATAATAATAACGGTCGGCAAGGCTGAAGATTTGCAACCTTGCCTGGAACATGAGTTTGGCAGCGTCCAGGAAGCGATTGGCCTTGCGGTAGAGTTCTACGGCATCCAGACGCTTGCCCGTTTCCAGCAGATGGCCCGCATACTTGGCCAAGAGAGAGCCAATTTCCTTCATGTTATGTGTTTGAGCCAGATCCACCGCCTGGTTCCACTGTGGGTGGGGCGGGGGAGGCAGTGATGGCAAATGGTACAAAAGTCAAATTGTAAATACCACTTTCAATCTTAAGTAGTACTAATAATGTAATGTATTTGTCCACATGGGTGTCATGGAGTCTCTAAACACTTTTTCACCAAGTCCTGTCTCGGGAGGTTTAGTAATATATATTTTTAAGGAATATTTTGCACGTGAGTAAACCGAAGCAGCCCGAGAAAATATCGTGCATACAATCAAAGATCTTCAAAAAAGCCAACCTCAAAGGTCCACACACACACAAAATCAACATACACAACGATATGTCCATGAAAAATGTATTTCTTACAATCTCGTGGACACCTCAGCCCAGCAGATTTGGCAGCATAACAAAATTGTATGATCTACCAACTCTAAGCTCCAAAGCGCTGGATTACAATTCTCGTATATTTTCTGCAAATAGAACCACGTGACAAGGTGGGATGATTTCACCTGGTTGAGTTGCACACATGTGTCAACTGCCATCTTGGGCTGGTTGCACTTCAGGTAGGCTGCAACGGCCTGCTCGCACATTCCCACCGTCACAAACATGTGCGCAACGTTCTGTGACCACACGGGCACAAGACACACGCCATGAATTAGAACGGCAAAGTGGTCAGTAGAATCACCAGATTGTTTGCACTCAGAAGTTAATTCTGTTGCAAATGGATGGCTCCTTGTCATTTCACCTGTTAAAAAGAGGAGACCATTGTGTGTTGTGTCAAAAGAAATGTTTAAAATTCTAACAATGCCATTGTCCAGAAAAACATCACTACGTTTTAACGCTCTTTCAGGAGGATCATGCTTTGAATATATGACCAATAAACCTTTTAATGAGTATTTTGAAAATGGGAGGATGTCGAGAGAAACCCCATGCATGGGAGGGATTATCCCACATTTCTGTACTGCCATCTCCAGACCAACTCACAGCTCAGAGGGTTGTCAGTCTTACCAATACACATGACCCACCACCCTTTGCTTTAAAGGTATACACTACCACACCTGGATTTAGCCACCAGTAAATATGAATTCAATCTTATTTACATAGGAAAAAAACCCCGTGTGTCAAGCCTTTTAATGAGGGCCCTGCTTGGGAAAGTTTTACCAAAATAATGTTTGGAGTAGTCCAATGACTTCTCCCTTCTACATTTATCTGCATAAGGACATGCCACATCTCAGCAGGTTTTCCCTGGCTAAGTAACAAACTAAAGCGAGCAACGTAGTTGTTTTTCATGCCAGTACCGTCAGCAGCTTGTGGTTCTCGGGGAGAGACGTAGCCAGCCTCTCCAACCCGTCATAGTCCTCCAGCATGTAGTAGCACTCGGCGAGCCTCTCCTGGTTCCGCCCCTGCACGTAGTACTGCACCGCGTGGGACCTGCATTTCGATAGGGGCGCGTTGGGGACTTTGATATGACTGTTAACAGCAGCCTATTCTCACAGCGTCGCTTTTACTAGCGTTCGACAAGCCAGTCAATTTGTACTCAGTATATGCCGTATATTGTGGCGAATATTGCATTTTGAAGAAAGAATATATATTTGGGATGACTGGCACAGATAAAGCAGAAGCTAAGCACATCCCTGCGGAACAAGGCCAACTGTGCTTATATCCAAAGTGTGCTTTTGCATTCGAATTTTCCCCCTCGTCTTCCCCCCAACAGTGTAATGTAAGGATGTATTGCATTTGTTAGAACTTTGCTCCTGTAAGATGTGCATATATCCAACTTTAATGGAATGAATAAATGGTTGCAGGAAGGGAGTGACAGGGGGACAAAGGTGAGAGGACATCACAGAGTCACCCAGTGAAGAACAGGGGATAAGGATTGGACTTATCATCGGTGGCGATGATGATGATCAGGATGAACTAAAAATCCATCTTAAAAGATTTTCTCCAAGTGAGTAGCATCTCGTTACTGGTGAGTGCAGCATAATTGTCACTGTCTTTATAGGCAACATGTATAGTAATGTGTACCACACCACTGGGGTGGGGGGGGGGGGCGGGTACCACTTGTGCCGGTCAGCGAAGTAGTCGCCGATGGCGTTGTACGCGAGCTCCAGCAAGGTGTCGTCTGCGTCGCCTGAGCCCGTCTTCAAGAGCTGCAGGACTCGGAACCAGTCACCCAGCTTTATCCTCAGATTCACTGCCAGGTCACTGGAGGCCGTGATAAGTTATGAAGGATATGTAAGAAAGTTAGAAAGCAGAGATGTCCGACTATGTACAGTGAGGGAAAAAAGTATTTGATCCCCTGCTGATTTTGTACGTTTGCCCACTGACAAAGAAATGATCAGTCTATAATTTTAATGGTAGGTTTATTTGAACAGTGAGAGACAGAAAAACAACAAAAAAATAATCCAGAAAAACGCATGTCAAAAATGTTATAAATTGATTTACATTTTAATGAGGGAATTAAGTATTTGACCCCCTCTCAATCACTCATTGTTTTTTTCGGTAAAGTCACGTATGTAGAAATACCATAAAATTATATTAAAATAAATCAATCACGACGTTTCGACCGCAACACAAGAGACCTTCATCAGGTGTAAAAAACAAATAGCGAGGGAGCATATAGGGCGACACCAACGCAACACATAGAGAGCGCCAAACTGCACGGAGGTAAATACAACAAGAAGATGAGACGAGAATTCAACAAACCTAAGAAAAAATTATGTGATGCAAAACCAGTCAGGCCAACAACATACGTGACTTTACTGAAAAAAACAATGAGTAATTTATGCAGTCACGAAAGCTTTAATTCTTTATCCCCTCTCGATCAGAAAGATTTCTGGCTCCCAGGTGTCTTATATACAGGTAACGAGCTGAGATTAGGAGCACACTCTTAAAGGGAGTGCTCCTAATATCAGCTTGTTACCTGTATAAAAGACACCTGTCCACAGAAGCAATCAATCAACCAGATTCCAAACTCTCCACCATGGCCAAGACCAAAGAGCTCTCCAAGGATGTCAGGGACAAGATTGTAGACCTACACAAGGCTGGAATGGGCTACAAGACCATTGCCAAGCAGCTTGGTGAGAAGGTGACAACAGTTGGTGCGATTATTCGCAAATGGAAGAAACACAAAAGAACTGTCAATCTCCCTCGGCCTGGGGCTCCATGCAAGATCTCACCTCGTGGAGTTACAATGATCATGAGAACGGTGAGGAATCAGCCCAGAACTACACGGGAGGATCTTGGCAATGATCTCAAGGCAGCTGGGACCATAGTTACCAAGCAAGGTCCCCCTGCTCAAGAAAGCACATATACATGCCCGTCTGAAGTTTGCCAATGAACATCTGAATGATTCACAGGACAACTGGGTCAAAGTGTTGTGGTCAGATGAGACCAAAATGGAGCTCTTTGGCATCAACTCAATTCGCCGTGTTTGGAGGAGGAGGAATGCTGCCTATGACCCCAAGAACACCATCCCCACCGTCAAACATGGAGGTGGAAACATTATGCTTTGGGGGTGTTTTTCTGCTAAGGGGACAGGACAACTTCACCGCATCAAAGGGATGATGGACGGGGCCATGTACCGTCAAATCTTGGGTGAGAACCTCCTTCCCTCAGCCAGGACATTGAAAATGGGTCGTGGATGGGTATTCCAGCATGACAATGACCCAAAACACACGGCCAAGGCAACAAAGGAGTGGCTCAAGAAGAAGCACATTAAGGTCCTGGAGTGGCCTAGCCAGTCTCCAGACCTTAATCCCATAGAAAATCTGTGGAGGGAGCTGAAGGTTCGAGTTGCTAAACGTCAGCCTCGAAACCTTAATGACTTGGAGAAGATCTGCAAAGAGGAGTGGGACAAAATCCAACCTGAGATGTTTGCAAACCTGGTGACCAACTACAAAAAACGTCTGACCTCTGTGATTGCCAACAAAGGTTTTGCCACCAAGTACTGTCATGTTTTGCAGAGGGGTCAAATACTTATTTCCCTCATTCAAATGCAAATCAATTTATAACATTTTTGACATGCGTTTTTCTGGATTTTTTAAATTGTTATTCTGTCTCTCACTGTTCAAATAAACCTACCATTAAAATTATAGACTGATCATTTCTTTGTCAGTGGGCAAACGTACTAAATCAGCAGGGGATCAAATACTTTTTCCCTCACTGTATACACAGTCTAGATTTTTTCATTTTAACAAAGATGAGCTTCATGACGACCAGCTTAACAGCCCTGTTAACATGAAATAAAATAAACGAGCTTCATTAAACCAATTATGACTAAAGCATGTAAAAGTGGGTAAAAAGGGTTTGTCACAACTTATCACATTTTTACTCCTTTCCAAGAGGTTGTTTATATTTTTTACATAACTTGGTCAAAATGATTAAATGTTTTAAAGTAAAAACGGGCAATGACTGGCAGTCAAAACAAGACATAAAAATCCAAGTTTGTATCAGCTGCATAATAAAACTACTCAAGACAATGTTAATGTTGAGATATTCTTCATGACATAACCTAGTATTTTTGTACCTAAATTTGACGTGTAATGATAAACAATGAAGCTGTGCGAGCCACACACCGGCGGTCCATGTCCAGGTACATGCGCTCAGCCTCCTCAAAGCGGCTGAAGTACGCCGCCACCTCCGCCTGCTTCATGGCCTGGCTTTGGAGGCTGCCCAGCCGCTTGACAAACTCGAGGCCCTGGAAGTCCTTGCAGCGCACGCACGCACGCTCCGCCATCTCCAGGTTCAGCTGCTTCAACGCAGCCTCTGCCAGGAGACGCCTACATCCGAGCCGAGTGGACAAGTGGTAAATACTGTGCTTGGAGCTCTCTTGATGTGTTTTCAGGTTGTGCTGCGTGTTGTTCGGCATGTTGTCTGACGTTTTGCTCCACGTACCTGGAGGTTTCTTCTTAGCGTTTGGAGCCAAACCTGGTAGGTTCTTCAGGAATTATAGTTAGTTCCCAGCACCGTGGATTCAAAACGTCGGGACATCATGCAGCATAACTCATGGTGCAACCCGAAAAAAACATAGCAGAGCTATACAGCACTACCACACAAAAACTGACGCAGTACTGTGCTTAGAGCTGTGCCAAGCATAGTACTGTTGAAGCTAATGGAAACAATAAAATATAAGAGGCTATGATGGTGGTGGTGTATTAGCACAGGTTTAAAATACATTCAACAAATTAATTGGCACCTTTGCTTAAAACCAAGTGAGAGCCCGATGAGACGAAATGTCATTTTCAAACGAGATCTAGGTTATAAAATCATTACCGTACATGTGATAAATGTTCAAAACAACAGTAAACATGGCCAAAATATTAACCAATGCACAAAAATACATTCAATTACATGTAAAGTTTAGTAATTGAAAATGCAAGGAGTAAAAAGATGAATTTATCACTTAAAATTTCAACAACATTTTACAAGCAGGCTTTTACCTGAAATACTGATTTCATGCTCTGGGGTGCCATAACCCAAAAGCTAAATATTAAAATTACCTCCAACCTATTTACAGTTATTGTCCCTGTGCTTATCAAATCTCCTCCACAGATATCGTAGATCTTCAGTGATGGACACTAGATGTGCTATGCAAGCAGGTTTACTCACTAAGCAGATAGCCTCTGCATATTTGCAATACATAATGTGTAGTGCAAACCTGTAATGCTGCAACCTGTAGGCAATAGTTGGTGGACCACACAGGTTTGTGAAACAACCAAACCTGTTGGGCTGTAAGGTGACTATGAGATGGCGGCACATTAAATGGGTTTAGCCCATCTGTGGAGACTTTGCGGTGTTATCTCCCCATGTATTGTTTTTCTCTGGATACTCCTGTTTCCTCCCATATTAAAAAAAAAACATCCTTAGAAATGAGCATACCAAACAACCCAAAACATGACCCATTTCCTGGATAAATAAATTATGCGAAGAAATAAAGAACAATGTAGTGAGCAGTGATCTAAAGTAAAGCAAATCAAGTATGTTTCCAGGAGATAGTGGGCAGTTACATACAATATCTTAAGTTATATTCTGCCTTAGTTTGCAATGTAAATGGGTGTCAAGGGCAAAGTTCAGTGAAGAAATGTTCTGCAACTGGCCGCAGGTCTTTATTCTAGGTCGATGTTGTAATCACTTATAGCGGTATACTGGATGTAGTATAGTGGATATATGTCAGAATCAGAATGGCAATATTTATTTATATATTGTGGGTTGCTGATCCACAGACCCAGGCTGAAATTAAGCCCAGATAAAACAATGCTAATGTTTAGTGCAGTGCACGGGTGCCATTTGCAACCCACCAGAGGCGAGGGTGAGGGTTGTCCTCTATGAACTGCGAGGCCTCCTCTATGCCCACATTCTCCACCAGGGCTCGGCTGTCTCTCAATGAGCGCACCTCAAAGTTTGCCACGCACTCCTTGTTCGGGTGCTCTGGGTCCTGTGTGGCAGCAGCAAAACGCACGTATGTGGTGATCCATGAAAATCTCACTAAATCAATCAAGGTTTCTCTTATAAGCTGTTTGGAATGTTTTTTTTTTACAAATGCAGCAGTGTGCAACATGAAAAGGAGGGCTTTGAAAATATTACATCATGAAAGCCTATGCAGGACTAGCCACTCAATTCCTCACAAAAATTATCACAGTAACACTATTCCAGAATACAACATTCATAATGATGCATGGTCACAAACTTCTCAAACAAGTGTTATCTCATTACAATGTTGTGATTGCCTGTCAAATATAATCAAGGTTTCTCACCCTTAAGATCTCATCCATGAGTACAGATTTGATCTCCAGATCCTCAAAGCTGCAAATGTATCCAGATGTTTGGATGGGCTCCTGTTAGGAAGGATGAGTTACAAATTAAAAAATTATCTAATACATTGCAGTGGACATAATTCAGGCAAATGTATGTTATTCTTGCAAATAAAATATTTGTGTTCCAACTGCCCTAATTAGCAAATATATTTTTAGTAAGGATCTCCATAATATACTTTCTAAGTGTCTAGAAAAAAAATATATTCCATTATTTTACATAAAATACATAATAGTTACACAGAGCAATCACACCAGCTTTAAAACTATTATAGATTTATACAGCACGATGGCGAAAACCTACATAGTAGTACCATTCTAGATTTGTCTAAACGCCTCCAGCAACTCGGACAATTAAACCGGAAACAGCAACACGATAGCGCTGTCCAGCTTACCTCAGGGTCGAGGTTGCGGAACACATACATGCGCGTCTTCTCCATCATCGCGAACAGGTCAGGGTTATCGGCCGCCCAGCGCACATCCCACACGTCCTTGCGCTCGAACCCTATGGGGTCCCGCGGTTGCCCTGGGGCTGCCCCCGTTGCCCTTGCACCATCTCCCGCATCCGAGCCGGATTCGGAGCCCATCAGTGAGCCGCCAGCCTCCAAGTCGAGGATGGTAAGCACGCCTGAGATGTCCACCACTGCCAGACGGCTGACGACAGAAATAGAAAATAACTCAACTATTTTTTATTTTACCAAGGCCCACTGAGCTATATACCTCTTTTTTCAGAAGCGACCTGGCCACAAATTTTTGCTTAATTAAGTGGATTATCACAAGGAACTTTATAGCAGCCAAATATTATAAAAGCACGATTCTAAAGTTATCGTCAACAACTGCAACAGCATCATTATCACCATCGTGTCTATACATTGTCAGAGGAAGACCTAGCCATCTAATCACCACCACTCATGGTCCTGCAATGCCACAATCCACGTCACTCCTACACTTGAACGTATCTCATTGCTCCATCTCAACGGTGGGCACAATCTCTCCTTTGGCTGCCAGTTCGTAAATAGTCTTGTCCACCCCAGAAATCATACCCTCTCGCAATGTACGCTGCTCAAACTCTCTGACATTTAGTAAGTCAATGTCTCTGATTTGCATTATTTTTTTATCCAGATCCATGTACTTCTCTTTCTCGACGTTTAATTTCAAACATGCATCTCTCAATTATTCTTGCATCTTTCAATTATTATTCTCGCATAAACATGCATCTCTCAATTATTATTTTCAATAGTCTTCGCAAAGCCAAATATTAAATATAATGCGGATCATTGAAACTTTGTGCATAACGGCAGTTTATACACTTGTCATTCTAGCCTATATGGGCATACAATGCCACCAGGTAGAGGTGCAGGCACTTACTTCATAGCAATCATCAACCATGGTCAATCGAAATGCTGGATAAAGGCCTTCCCAATCCACCACCATCTCTCACAATCTTGCGAGATAAGCACAAGCCGATTCATCACTCAGTTTCCTTGATGGATGTCCTGTTGGATGCATTGTGTTTGTCGGCTGCCACTCCATCAATACTCGTGACTATCATCCACTATTCCTTCCAGCGACGTGTCCTTCCCAAGCTCACTTACTTTTATTAATAGTTTGAATGATGTCATGAACCTGTGTGTTTTTGTGTTTATTTTTTTTGTCTTTCCCCCGCACCTCCGATTAGCATGGTTGACTGCGTAGAGTGCGAAAGAAGTTCAACATACATACATGAACATACACTAATTCATGTGTTTCTCTATCTCTACATGTAATTCCAAGCACGTGTCTCTCCATGCTTCTTTGTGCACTTACGTGGAGTTGCAGTTGAGGGAGAGGCGGTATGGCCGGGCAGAGGCAACATAGTTCTGCACTAAGCCCACGTTGGGCAGAGTGTAGCGCTGCAGGGTGCCTGACTCTCTTGCCTGCCACAAAAAAATATATAAGACGCAATATAGTAACATGTAACAATGTAGTAATTAATCGATTCAAATATACTTTTATACTCACAGTAGACTTTGAATTGTGCTCGCAAGAATTGATTATTTGTGACTTTTGCAAATTGATATGCACGTCATACGTTTTTGCTGCTTTTAGGCTAATAGCACACAAGCCAGAGCACACGTGAATTCCTCATATACACAAATCACGCAAATCCTTCATGACAGAAAGCTAGGTGAATTGTTAATGCCTAAAACACCACATACAAAAACTACAGATGCACCTCGTTAATGACAGTGATGGGAGGTAGTAGATCTAAAGGCACAATGCGCATTCCAGCTACACTTCCCTGGAGAGGCGTTATATTATTTTTACATAAAAGCATTTTGTATAATCACTCACTGTTGCTTTAAAAGTTCTACTCGGTAAATGGTGATGGCAGAGAAATTTGACCTTTGTGGTCGAATGTAAAAACATCCTTTATGTATGTATGTATGTTCAACTTCTTTCGTAGCGTGCGTAGCCAACCGTGCTAATCGGAGGTGTTTTTGGTTGTTGGAACTGACCACGAGCAGGGTTTTGTCTGAAGCTGTGATGCAGCAAATTGGGTCTTTAGTTGCCTGCAAGGAAAACAGAGGCATTATCCTGCACATTCACCAAGACATACCAAGTCAACAACCAAGTGTGTTGATAAAACAGCATGTGTTACATTAAGTATAGCCTGTAATAAAAAAAAGCATACAACTGTTGCTTTGCTGATGTCCGGCATGCCATCAACAGCTCCTGTAGGTTGGTCATCCACGTGAAAAATCCTTCAAGGGAAACAACATTTTCATTATTATCATCATCAATGTCATTTATGTGCAACCACCAAAAACACGAGACATTGGCAATTTATTTTACTGCAAACATCAATCGGGCACTGTCTTTAACAATGGTATCAAGTTTAAAATTCATTCTCATCGTTTCCTTTCCAAGCTCCTATAGCCTTGCTCAATTCAAGAAATGTGTTCACTCTTGTCTATTAAAACTTTGAGAGTGGTGTTTGATGCTGGTTGCTTGACATGTTAGGCCTTTGGACCTGTGTCGAGAAACTGTATTTAAAATTAAAAGTTGGACACATTAAAAAAATCCAATCCAAAATCGTGACAAATACAGGAATGTAAAACAATGTAGCATGAATATTGAGGCATAGAGCTGGTTACTTCTCTTTGCCGTCACGACGAGACCGGGCCACTTGGTTGATCTCCAGGCCAGTTATTTTTTTCGCCACACGGTACTGCCACACGTAGAAAGCGTTCTTGGATGCTGCGATGACGTGGGAGTGTGTCATGGCCACGTATAGAGGTTCTGTCAGAGAGATTTAATAAAGAGCAACATCTGTAACGTGGGAGATGGTCAGACCATCGGCGTAGAAAACTTGACACATGCATTCAAATAATCGTCTTACAAACTTTAAATCAGCTTCAATAACTGGTCACTGGTGGTGTTCATTCGAAAGCGTTAATCCACGGCTGTACCAATAAGAAATTATAATTACCAATGTCAATGTACTTGGAGTCCTGTGGAGTTCCAATAGAGTTGCACAGCACCAGGACGTACTGTGGAGGACAGTTACAAAAGACATCTACAGTGGTTCATAAAATGTAACATCAATCTGCTTAGGTTGATTATGGTCATGTCTTAAGTTAGACTTTAAAGATACCAATGCCTTATCCTCACTGATATTGGCATGGTGGTGTCTGTTGTGGTGATTGAGGTATAGAAAACGATTCACATATTATGGAATGTTCATTTTGTTAAGATTTTGTCAAAAAAGTGCCGATATGTCCACTACCAATAATAAGAAAATTCACCAACACGTTTTAGTCAAGATATGAAGCTGGCTCTACTCTTTGTCAGAACTCACAATGAAACACCACATACGAACGTCGAAGTAATATGGAGTCTATGTTCAGCAATGAATAATGTGCTTGATTTGGAACATTTCTTATTTATGACAATTGGGATTTTAGTATTATCTTGAAACATCCACGGCAGTGTTCAGATTTATACATAATATACTGTATGATGAAATGGAAAATATAATAAGGAAATTACCATATCAACCACAAAATCAGTTACGCCTTCCTCCTTGTTTGCAAGGCAAATATAAGACAGAATCATAATTAAATGCACCAATTAAATATTTAGTACACACTACACAAAGACTTAGCTAAACAAATGGTATAACTCAATTCACATTTTAATCCACACTTGAGACGCCCCGCATGATGCCATGTTGAACGATTTCTTGGAAATTTACAACAGTTTTTTTTGCAAATACCCGTTCGAGTTAATGTTATTAAACGTGGAATATAACACTCATGATGCTATGCATCCTGCTTCTAGGAACTGAGATATTCACGAACATTAATACATTAATGCAGTTGTACCATCAGACTACAATCAGCAGCACAAGCAGCCCAATTAATACGCCATGCATTACATAATACAATTTATATTTACAAAGAGTTTAAACATGACTGTATCTTAAGATGACGTAAAGGAAGGGGGGGGGGGGGCATGCACAATGAGTGGCCTGGTAGAACAACAACGTACTTATTGGGATTATTTTGCAGACATTAGAAATGTAAGAAGTCTACATGACAAATAAGGACATGATACAATAAGGCTGCTTATGAAGACACACCACAAAGGGACAGTCACAGGCAGATGCAATTAAGATATTCTTTATCCTGGATTCGAACAGAATGAGGTATTCAGCAGTGTGCATACCCAAGGAGAGGAAAATTCTAGATGGAGGAAACGCTAACAGGGGTAATCCCCCATTGAATGGAGATTGAAAGGGCACTGACATGAATCCATTGTTGCAGGAGCACAGGTCACATAAAGGGGCAAATATGAAGATGAAACTGAAGCGGTATACAGCGGACAAATCCATGGAGGACCATGAAGTGACTTTATAAACAGCAACGAGAGGCTGTTTTTAAGGCAAGACCATTGCAAAGCAAGGCGTGCACCGCTGCCAAGCGAGGCGCATTGTCACCTGTGCCTGAGTGTCTTCAGCGCGTGTGGCCAGCACGCAGTAATCACCACACGCCGTCACGGACAGCAGGCTGCGCACATACTTCATCGTCTTCTCGCTGTGCTTGGTGTCCCAGAACACCACACAGTATTCCGTGCGCTCAGGCTTGGTGTACGCATACACCACCGTGTTGGAGCAGTAGCCCCACTGTGAAGAAAATGCAGGGAGGGGGGCAGTGACGTTATGTGAGAGCCTGCATTGCTTTCCAACAAGCGTTTGTCCTCGGAAGCACAGCAATTGCATTAGTGATTGTTACGATACTTCCGAGTCACAGAATGAGACGTTACACGTCACATGGCACCTACGATTAGCAAAGTTGGCTACGTACGGTGCGAAAGAAGTTTAACATATATGTGACATCGTAAGATTGTCACAGGTAATTATATGGGAGGCGAGTGCACACACGGAGCGCTACGTTGTCGCAGTGGCGGAAAATCCTCACCCATTATCTCTGGGTTTTTAATTGCCATGTTTTTGGTAACATTTTTGTGAATTTCCCGATTTTATACAGGGTAAGTCCAGAATAACAACAGAAACTAAAATTGTACATATAAATGAACATATTTATGAGTTACTCTAATTCCATGCTACAGACAAATGGACATACGGACAGAGCTAATGTTAAAACATTTTCCTTCTGAGTTGGAAAGCATCCAGATCAAGCATGTTGGATTGTGGATTTCAATGCACTGCATAACGGGCTTGTGGCAGCCTTGTAAGTGTGGCTCCAGCGAAAGCAATCAGATTACCTTGTAATCTGGGCGGATGTTTGCAAAGTAAAGGAAGGAGTCAACACCCAGAGCAATGCGTAGGCCGCCCCCCTCCCAGGCTAGGGCAGACAGGTGTTTCCCTGGCATCTTCAGACTTCTCAGGTGCTGCAGGGACATGTGCATACTGCGCTCACACAGGGCGAAACCACGGGCAACTACCCTGCATACTAAATAAAAGTCAACGTGGTTTCCTGCTCAACAATAACGTGGGGAGAGTCATCTCTCATTTACATTCCTGGGACAGCAGTCTAAATTCAAACTTGCGACCTTAATGATAGAGAATCACACAATCTAGCCATTAAGCATATTCAACATTATTATAGTTTGGATTTATTTTAGATGCACAGAGTGCTAGTTAGCAATTGGCAAAATTACAACATTATAAATGTACAACCCCCTGTCAATCTATTGCTGGATGAGGGTCTCCAAATGCCGTGCGAGTTGCGGGGGATAATTTACCATACTTCACGATGCTGGTCAATGCAGGGTTGGTGAATGTGCGGAGTATATACGTGGAAACATAGAAACACAATACAACAGATTTTGCCACACTATCCTCTGCTGCACACCAAGCAGCCTTGGAGCCTATAACGCTGGTGGTCACCGATCAAAGCACTATCCAGGCTCAGAACTGCTTAGATTTTGAGATCTGATAAGATCAGGCACATTCATGGTAATTTGGTCGTAGGCCAAACTATGGCCAAAAATGTTACTAGGTAGAACACCAGCTGCATTTTTGACGGAATAGAGTAAGAGTTTGTCACTCAGAATCACTCACCTCGCCAAATGGCGTGTAAAACTGCACCAGGTTGAATTCCTTCTCCTGGCCATAGGCTCTCTGTGATCCGGCCACAGCCAGCACACTGCCGCAGTGGTTCCACTGGATGCTCATCACCGTCATGCCTGCATCTATCAGCACAGGCTCTGTGCCAACACAGATGCAGAGATAAATAACCGCATTGTTGCGTGCTGCCCAGCAACACCCCAGAATGCAAACTCACATGTAATCTTAAAAGTGATATTTTTTCTCACATCTGCAATACGTTACCGTATTCTCCAGGTAAAAAGATGCTCTGAAAAGACACACCGCAAACTTGTGCTCGGTAATGATACAAATTTGGTCAAACAAAATACCTACCGGATAATAAGATGCACCTCCAACTTTTGCCTTCCTTTTCAGTGGGAAAAAGTGCACGTTTTAATCTGGAGAATACGGTAACCTTTTTCAAAAAGCATATTATGATCATCAGTCATGATCAATCCACTGATATATAAAGGCCTCTACAAGCCACCTCCATCTCCCGGTCCTGTGAAGTAACACTCCACATTGTACCTGCCTATGAACTGTTTATCATTGCTCCATCTTCTTGGCATAGTCCCTCTATTGGATGCTTAACTATTGTTAGTTTCAGCAATATCTCTTCTTGTGACATGTCCTTCCCAAGTCAACTTACTTTTCTTAACAGTCAATATGATGTCTCTAACCTGAATATTTTTTCAAATCCACGTGCACCGCTTTCTGTCTCTCAGTGTAAAATCATCACTGAAACATCCTGAAATTCAACCAAGGATCTACCTACAGAGGTCCCATTAAGGTTTTCAGGAGCACTGTTCAGTTGTAACTTCAGAAACGTTATTTGTTATGTAATACAGAGTTTTAAAAGCCAAAAATTTATTCAAATCGAGTGTTACCTATAAATGTACATCCAAGGAAGGCAAATAAAATAAGCGAAGGACAAATCCAACCCATAGCGACAGCAGCGTTCATCTGTGTCAAAGAGAAGCTTACTTTCGTCATTTTCATGGCGCATGATCTGGAAGCGCCCGTTATCAAAGCAGATGGCCAGGCAGGGACAGCCAGGGTCCACGAAGCCCTCCCGCCCATCGTACCAATGCAACCCGGCGATGCTCACAACTCCGGTCGCTTCTGCCAGACACTGCAGCGACATCTTGGCCTGTAGGAGTTCCAGAAAAAAAGTGACAATGAAACAACCGCCCAAATTGCCATTATAAACATTGAAACACGCCAATAAATCTCAAAGGAAGATTGCACAGAACAACAGCTTGCAAGGCAATGGTCTGTATTGAATTAAGAACACTGCACAGCAGTTGCAGATATCTACTTACACCAACAGAAATTAAGACTAGCCAAAAGTGTGACTGCAGTCACCAATATAAAACCACGGGCTACATAGTACACCACTGCCCGCTTTGACAATTCACCATCAGCATTTTAAATATTCACCAAGCTATTCCTGAAGATGTCCACTATCTCACCAACCTTGAAATGAGCAACTGCCTCCAACATAAAATAATAAATAAACAACCCAAAAAGCAAATTAACCTAATTTTGTAGATACATCATCTAAGCTGTGTCCCAGGTTATTTGATATGAATATGAAATTTCGTTATGGAGAAAAAAAGAGGACCATAATGACACGATTATTAATTTAAAATATATCTCTCACAACATTTCAGAGTTGTGTTATATAGCCCAGGACAAGTAGTAAAAGTATGCATGCACAAAATAAGGCCTATATTTATCTGTTGAATTGCATCTTCTACTAGAGAATCTGGCTGTGGCACTACTACAGGTATCAAGAGGGCCTCAAACCCCAAGTTAAGTTTATATGATTAATAAGAGATAAAATTGGCCAATAGAAGAAAAATTGTCCATTGTTGGCAGGTTATTTAATTGAGATCGTGAATAACCGGTTTGCTGAATGCGTATGGGGTTCCTGTAGTTTATATGGAGTAACCTTACCAATAACATCTGAAAATTTAGCAGCATTTGTTTAACAAACCTGATGCTACTGATGAGATCCAGGTAAAAAAAAATTCCAGAGTTTTCCTAAACATATGCTGCTTGATAATATTGGTCTGATAAGCCAAAAACGTCATGGAATAAACATATTTGTATTTGTATGCATTGACATAAAACGAAGTTCTGCTTATATATATGCTTGAGATAGCAAAGTGAAATTTCAATGACATGTAAAAGCTCATCAGCCCCAATCTTTCAAGCTTTGATGCCCATCAGAACCAGGGTGCTTTGCCAATGCTGCGAAGCTGACCACAAAGTTGCCTGTGTTGTCATAGATGTGGACTTCTCCATTGGCCATCCCAAACAGCAGCGTTCGTCCATCTGGCGACCATGCAGCGTGACAAAGCTGTATGCCCTTCAGTTCCTTCCCCCATATACGGTTTCCTTGATGGCACAAAGCATTTATTTTTTGTTATTTCAAGAGTGAGCAGCAGGAAAGTCATATTTAAAGGTTCTTTTATAACGCATGTAAAATGTTAAAAAACACCGTCAGAATGTAACATATTCGGCATATAAAAATGAATCTTACACTCACAATACATGTAGAAAATGGTGTAAGTATGAACTATTAACAATTTCGAAAAGTTATATGCAAGTATTGCCTTCAGGCTTTGGAAATTAACAAGGTAAAACGAGAAAGAACAAAGACAGACGAAACATTAGAAACAAGACGGAGAATAATTGTCCCCAAATTTCACAGGTCGTTCATGAGCCCAGGCCAGATACCGTATTTCACTTCAAGGTACCGCCTGAGATGGCATCACTCTTATGGTTCCAATTTTTTTTATGTGGCCAATAACAGTGAATTACATATCCATTTGAAATGAGTGGGTTATCAAATAATTTACTTGTATTGTCCATATACTACTAACGTTTTGTTACCTACGGCAATACCTATTTCTGTTCTGGTCCCATTAAAAATTGGGTGGAGCAGGGTGAATCCTTAAATGCCTATAATGCATGCCCTTATAAGGCTTGCAGATACAGGTTCACCTTTTGCCAAAGACATTTCCTGCAAATCTCTCACCATCCACCGATCCCACAATGACAGCTCCATCCTCATAGACGATGCAAATCTTCTGTCCATCCAGGTTCCAGCACATGCTCCTCACCATGGACTTATTTCGGTTGTTTATCATCTCCTCGTACCACAAGCCTACGTTTGTCAAGATAGTCATTATTAAAATAATGTACAATGTCGAATATCCGATTCACTGGGGATTGAAATACAGTATAGGTGGCTCTTGTGTAAAGGACAGATATATAAACTTCGATCGAACATAGTTAAATAATAGGTTACTGGAAATGCATTACTCTGCTTTAGCAAATATGTGCGAGTTAAAAAAAAACACATTCCTGCACGTGAAATGGTCGAATTTCTGAACATCTATAAAACATTACAGTTACACCATGTACAAATACTGTACTGGGTTAATTGTTCAGAGCGGATATGTGCCAATCAGACATATGACGTTATACTGCAGGTGGATGCTTGCCACCAATTTGTTTTCTGAGCTCTCTAGCATGTCATTAATGTAAACATGAAATGTTAAAATAACTGCTCTAAGTACTCACCCTTATAAAGCATCCACACAATGATGAGGCCATTCTGGTCACTGCTAGTGAGCTTCTGATAATGCTCATTCCATGCCAATACCTGCACTGCACCTACAAACACCAATGTTGCATTATTACCATCATCAATTAAATCATAAAAACAGCTTCAATTTAATAAATTTAGGTCACCACGAGTCTCATCACAATTTGGATCATTATTAGTATCGATAAAATTCTGACTTACCACTGTGGCCCTCCATAGTTTGGTTCAATGACAGGTTGCTTGGTGCTGCCAACCCTTTGAGTTTAGCATCTTCACCTATAAACATGGGTGAATGGCCATTGACATATTACGTGTTACATATCTCCATTTAACACACGAAGGTGGCAAAATGTGTTCATAATAGTACGATGCTGCATTTAAGATTTTGAAAACCATCCTGTTCAATAGATACATAGGTAAAGGTGGCCGAATCACTCTTATAGAAATCTGAGCGGGTACTTCTGATATCCTGGATTCAAATATGGGCTTCCAACCTTGTTAAAATCGAGTTTTCAAACATATTTAGTTGACCATCTTAATTCTGCTCATCAATGATAAAACTCAATATTCCATTGAGTTTTGCACTTTATTTGGCATTTCAACTATTTAAAAAACATATCAGTCTTACTATCATACACCAGTCTCATACAGGCTTGGGGGGTGGTGCACCCCTACTGTGTAAAGGTAATAAAACATCCAAATGATTATTTTCAGAATTCATGAGTTGTGTACAGCAAAATATATATACATTTTTACGAATATTTTAAATCCACACAGATGTTACATCTGTCTGAAAATGTCATGTATATTTGGAATAATTTTAAAACAAAACTATTTCGACTCGTAAAACTAATTGTCACTGAAATTATTGCGGGGAAAAATCATGTACATTCTGATCACCAAAAAAATAATAGAAAATTATTTTTACATTTCAGCAAATGTATTTAGATTCAACCATCTCTTCTCATACAATTGATTCCATTATACCAGAATTCGCTGTACATCTACTATTATATTGCACGTTTGTCTTCCCACTACAAGCCTACTTTGTCTCATACCACTGCTAATGCGAATATCCCTTGCAATGCCACTATGAGCAAGTTTTAAACGAAAATCAATGTAAATTTTGATTTAAAGCTTTCGTGACTGCAGTAATTCATATTCTTAGTTTTTTCGGTAAAGTCACGTTGAAGAGAAACAACAAAATAATAAAATATATATAAAACAATAAAAAATTCTCACGACGTTTCGACCATAACTCAAACGGTCATCTTCAGGTGTGTTGGTTTGCATAAATATCATTTATATAAATATCATTTATGCAAACCAACACACCTGAAACGTCGTGAGAATTTTTTTTATTGTTTTATATATATTTTATTATTTTGTTGTTTCTCTTCAACGTGACTTTACCAAAAAAACTAAGAATATGAAAATCAATGTGTCTAAATCTATCGATAAATAAAGGCTATGTTTGGTGATCTGGTCTTACCTGTCTGAGATTCCAACTTTAGAATCTTAAGCAGTCCATCCTCCCCTCCACAGGCTATGTAACCCAGTTCTTTATTCCAGGCGACACAACGCAGCTTGGTGCTATTTGGGATAGAGATCTGAGGAATCCAGCATACACAGAGGATTTAACCTCATTAAGAAGCTACTTCTGATCATCTTCACTCCCAAATACATTCTCCGATAACTCCATAAGGTATTGTTTAAATTATCATTTAATATCATTGCCCTTGATCTATCCACTGCTAGACGAATTCCTTCCCCACCTCCCCACTATTTTGCAATGGCCCAATCTATCTCATGGCAACACATGAGCTGATCTTGTCATGCCATCTCTCTGGTGATCGCCCTCTCGGGCGTGTTTCTGCTTTGGCTGACATTGTCACCAGTCTTGTCCATCGGTCACCATCCCTACGAGCAAAGTGTCCTGACTAAATCAACTTTCTTTAACAGTCAATACGATGCGTCTCTCATATGCAGCTCTTTCTGTCGCTCAGTTTAATTCCAAGTACGAATCTCTCCGTGATTATTTACAAAGCTGTTTACCTCGTGCCTCATTTTCTTTGTCAATGTTCATGTTTACGATACCGTATAAGGAAACATGCAATGAATTAAACCTTCGTTCTTCGGGCACATTTTTTTATTTCTTGATGATCTAATTAATTTTTCAAAAAGCACTCCAGCCTGCTATATTCGATCATCTTGATACCGATACGCCTTCAATAATCGCCCTTGGTATACAAACATTGCCGATTGACAGTTTTGTCACTTCCCTCCAACTTAAGCGGTTTTCCGCTCATCTCCTATGCACAGCCCTGAACCAGTGGTGGTAATTACACATTCCCATGGCAGGACATTCATCATCAGTGGATGGGGTAGCGATGTGCGACAACATCAACTGATGATTATATAACATTGTGCATTATGTAAAATGTATAGTTGCTCCATTTTAACATCAGCCGTGCGAAGATCACACGTGTCAACCCCTTATCAGTGCCCCTACCTTATTACAGACCAATTCAGACCTTATTGGTCACCCCGTGCCCTTATAAATCTCAAAGTTAATCTACAAAGTCCCATCACAAGGGAGAAACACCAATAGGTAAAAACAGTTTTTTGCCCGTATCGCAAAGGCTGTACGCCGCATGGACCTGAAAACTCAATTATCCTGTACAAGAATACGGGGTAAACCGTATGGGTTGACAGCTTTGCAAGATCACCCTACTGCAAGGATAATCGGCCTCCGTAACACGTCGCGAATTATAACGAATTAAAGACAAGCACTTTTTTTTTAAATCGCCAGCACCGACTAACACAATGAGCATAAATGCAAAATACAAGTTTAGTTTTTATATAAGAATAATAATGCACTATATTGTATTTTATCGTACACTGAAAACCCCAAAACATCCCCCTAGCACCAGACAGGTCTCGCCGCCGTAGGCCTTTGGCCCCAAAGTGACGCGCGAGCGGGTAAAGCAACACCAACAACAACTCCGCACCTTTTTACTTAAGTAGACAAACATCGCGGCGCAGAGGAAGTCAGCAATTACGCCAACAACTCTTGTATATGTCTTAATATTTGAAAGGTTTCAACAATCGCTACGCTGATGGGGCGACCGCCAACTCGTCGCGGCGTTTCCGTTGCCCCGGTAACGCGCCACCCAACTTTACATTTCCCAGCGACGATAAGCGCCGGGCGCCGCCGTTCGGCGGAGCTCGCGATTGGACAAGAGCGCGGCTCGTGACGCCATCGCCGCCGCTCGCCCAATCACAATTGAGCATTGACGAAGCTCGACGGCTTTGCTTATGCATGGTAGGAAATATAAAAGTGCTGTATTTTTTTTTTTAAGAAAGTGTGGTTGATCACCCAAACAAAAAAACACGCTCTCTTATTAAAGTGCATTGTCTTTGAAACTACACCAGAGACAGCAGCCTTCTTTATGGCCTAGTGCCAGACAAGAGAACGCCAAGAAAGGGTAAAACATTCTTATTTTTTTAAAATACTTTTGGTACTGCCAAAAAAAGGCCAACTTTGTTTACTGTGCATGCTTTCATTACTTAAAATTCCGATTTAAAGCTTTCGTGACTGCAAGGATTCATCTTCTTTGGTTCTTTCGGTAAAGTCACGTAGAATGAGAATAAAATAATAAATTGCTAAAATAAAATAACACAATAATATTCTCACGACGTTTCGGCCACAACACAAGCGGCCTTCATCAGGTGAAGGGGACGAGACTGTCTGGAGGACAGCGATGCTGCTTTAGCATTGGTGCACAAACCCACGAATAACAATGCAACAAATTCCTGAACAACACTGTGGCCCTGGAAGTAGTAATATATAATGTATACACGACGTTTCATAACACACAAACGCAGGGTCGTGAGAGATGGCAACGGCTTGGGGGAAGTCTTCATCCAGCAGTAGAATGATCATGGCTCATGGTTATTTTACAGATATGGATTGTACATTTAAATAACTCCCATTGCATCATATTACTCACCAGCACATACAATACTGTGAAATACACGACGTGCCGAACAATGGCCCTTTTATCACAGCAAATGCAGAAGCACTGCTAGCCGAAACGTCACGTATAGTATATTCTTGGTTCTTTCGGTAAAGTCACATAGAAGGCAAACAATAAAATAATAAAAATATAAAACAATTAATATTGCTTTTTTAAATTATTGTTTCCCTTCTACGTGACTTTACCGAAAGAACCAAGAATATGAATCCCTGCAGTCAGGAAAGCTTTAAGTCACATATACTGTACTATCTTTTTCGTTTAAGGGGCCGCCCGTAAATGACGTCACGCGATTTTGAACGATTTTTGACCCCCCCCCCCTGCGTCACACGGCGTCACAAAACGTCAGACCCCCCTCAAATATGACGTCACAAAGCTTTGCCCCCCCCCCCACCACCAAATAAAACATGTTTCAAATTGCTTTAATCTATTGTCATTGTAGTGCGTTATTAATGTGGCGCTGCACTCTGATGTTGTAGGAGAAAACATTTATTAAAAAGTCGATTTAATTAAGTAGAACGTGTTGTGTCTATATTTATTTAAAGTTGCGCATTTTGATGTGACGTCACATTTCTCAAATCCCCCCCCCCCCCTCGTCACACATCGTCACAAATGTCTGACCCCCCCCCCACGCTAGGTGCGTGACGTCATTTATGGACGGCCCCTATGTGATTAAACACATTTTAATGGACCCCTCAGATTGCTAAAATAATAATAATCATTCCTGTAATATAATTTGACTCAATTACAGACAATGCACACCGCGCGATTAGCACGGTTGGCTTTGTGCGGTGTGAAAGAAGTTGAATATCCATACAAGGAATAACACACGGAAGTTGGCACAAACGGGCTCGTGAACCCCACTTGCTGTAGTTGCCATCACAGAGACAACTGGAAGCCGAGTCGGTTTGGCAGTTAAACCGATGTCCCTGTGTGATCCACCAACCCTTGCCCGCAACGCACTCCATTGCAGAAGCGTGCCACGACGTCACGTGGGAGGGGGGGGTCAGTCATTTGTGACGATGTGTGACGAGCGGGGGGAGGGTGAGAAATGTGACGTCACATCAAAATGCGCAACTTTCAATAAATATAGACAACACGTTCTACTTAATGAAATTGACTTTTTATATAAATGTTTTCTCCTACAACATCAGAGTGCAGCGCCACATTAAACACGCACTACAATGACAATAGTTTAAAGCGATTTGAAGCATGTTTTATATTTTGGGGGGGGGGGGGGGCAGAGCTTTGTGACGTCATATTTGAGGGGTCGGTCTGACTTTTTGTGACGCCGTGTGACGAGGGGGGGGGGGGTAGGGTCAAAAATCGTCCAAAATCGCGTGACGTCATTTATGGACGGCCCCCAACCCTTGCCCGCAACGCACTCCATTGCAGAAGCGTGCCACTACACCTAATCTTAACGAAAGGGTGAAAATTAATTATTGAAAGATAAAACGAACACAATTGCATCCCACGACAGCTGAATTTCAGCCGGAGCTGTCCAGCCTGAGCCCAGGAAAATGTTGACCTGGCTGATGAGTCTTCGGGGGGAGTAGGAAGAGCGGTTGGTCGGGGGGGGGGGGCCCTCAACAAGATTCCATGCCCTGTATCCCAAGCACGCTCAACCCCTTCAAGTTTTACTTTCAGCGTGCAGTTAAAAGTACACATATATGCCACGGTTTTCTTTTATTTATTTGTGGAAGCTTATTGTAAGCAGCGTTCCAATAAATTCCCTGGTCGGGATTAATGCCCTGTGTGTGTGTGTGCTCTAATCTCCATGTGAGATCAACCGTTTTCATCCTCCACTCTGTCCCCACCACTAATCCAACCTCACCTCACGCCTCTTCTGTTTGACTCGACTGTTTGGGACAAGTTCCGTTAGCGAGCATCTTTTCAAAGAAATGTAATGACAGCCCTTTTGTCATTTCACTGCTGGATGGAGACGTCCCCAGGTCGCATCAATCAGGGCAGTTATTCAACCACACCTTTCCGGCATGAATACAGGAGACGTTAAGATGTTCAAACACCAAATATACGCCTCTTCTAATGCATCAAGTCTGCTTAACCACACTTGATGCCTTGTAGTAAGTGTATATTTGGTGTTTGAACATTGTGTCATTGCCGGAAAGGTTAAAGCCTCTTATTTGTAATCATCTTGATCCCGGCAACCCTGCCCCCTGGTCAGTACGGGTTAGCGAACATATAATATAGGCGACGTGTCAGGCAATGACCCCTTTTTCATAACCTAAAAAACGCAGGATCGTGAGAGATGGCAACGGCCTGGGGAGGCCTTCAACCAGCAGCGGAAAGATTATTTTACAGATATGGATTGGTTCTGAAATCACTTACCACTGATATTAGCAGTGGCTGGGAATTGAACTCAGGTACCAGAGTTCGTAGTGCAGTGTGCTAACCACTCATCCAAAGGTAAATTACTCAATGCCAGTGACAAATAGAATTGCTTCGGACTGCTGATTGTTGCGAGTGTCGCTTCTCTGCAATCGGCTGCCTCCAATTGCCCAGTAGCGCCTTGTTACAAACATCTTCCAGAGAGGCCGGGACCTCTTGCACCGCATCAGGCGATCTCTTCTCTATCCCATGCCACATCCGATTAGCCCCCTCTATCCAACCAAAATAAAACTGTTTGTGTATGCGGCGGAATTGGGCATGAAGACTATATGCTGTCTGGGAACTCTTCGTGCAATCCATATTGGACTGTGGATAGAGCTGACACATCCATGAAAGATCTGGACATTGTTTATGTTGTCTTCACAGCAATACCGATGGTTGTTACGATGGAGCTCCTCTGGGAGGCGATGGGATACGTTGGTTGAGTCATGGGGGGTCAACCAAAAACAAACATTCCACGTATAGCCTGAACAAACTGTTGGGGCAAGTGCTGTTAGCGATCACCGATGAAAGCTGGCACGACACACGAGGGGGTGCGTGGTCAGCACCACGCCCGACCGCCTTTGTCTCCCCAGTGGCGATGTTTACACATAGCACCGGGTACTAATTTGAGGCTGAGCTGGCTCTAGGGAAGCCCAGGACCGGTTCAAATATTCGTCACTGATGTTAGTGGCCGTGAGCGGGATTGGAACTCAGGTGCGCCGAGTTCGTTGCGAAGCGAAGCGCGCTCATCGCTCCACCGCCGCTCGAGACACCCAGAGACACACGGGCGCCTGGTGGGTCTTTCTAATACAGTGGTTCTTAACCTTAACTGCAGCCGAGCACGCCTTTGGTTCGCACTCGTAAATACATGTTTAATAATGTTTATAAATACCTGGGGGGTTTGATAAACAAAGGAGTTGTACTTACGTGTCCGTGCATAATTTGTCTTTCGATTATTTACCTTCTAAAAAAGTCTGGCCAAGTCTCACCCCCCCCCCCCCCCCCAGAAAGGGCATCTCGCACCCCCAGGGGCTGCGTGCACGCCAGGTTAAGAACCACTGCTCTAATACCTCCCACTGTAATCCAATGAGCAGTGTGGGTGGACATCTGGCCACGGATTACAGCATTTTGGCTAACGGTTATTTTTTCCTTTTTGTTTTATAAATAGTGCGCGGCTCACAAGTCTCTGGCCATAGAGCCATGGCACCTGCTGCGAGAGATGATGCTATGAAAGTATATAATTACGAGAGGTATATTTATCCATAATACAGGTTATTTTGGGAGCTAGGTCGCGTACATATAAATGTTTCGTTAAACCCGCCACCACCCGACAAAGCCGATTAGTAAGTTTTGTCACGTTAACAGAACATGCCATTTCGTCACTAGTACAGCAGCATCGGTGTGTTGCAGAGCAAAGCCACAACATTTACAATCTGAGTACCTGCGTCTGGTAAAGCTTAACGATGTCTGAGCAGGCATTTACAGTATTTGTATTCGGGATATGTAGTAATGCTGTTGAGAATTCCAAATAAAAAAATATATACGAGTTCCTTTATTGCTTGATTCAACGTTTGTATAAAGTTCTGCGACGTAGACCACGTCCTTTGGAGTCAGGAAATCTGGAAAAATCTCTGTCGACTACACAATCCTCCAGGTAAGAATAATGTAACGTTGCTTAATAACAACAATAATTGATGATGCTATTGCTAGTTGTGATGACGTTTCCGCTGTTGAAGTTACGGATGATGCTTACGGTGATGTGACTGTCACTAATATTTGTGTTTAGTTTGTTGTCTGTCCCCGCACCTCCGATTAGTACGGTTGGGTACGTACGGCGCGAAAGAAGTTCAACATACATACATGATAATGGTAATGATAACAATACTACTGCTATAAAAATTCTCACGACGTTTCGACCATAACACAAACGGTCGTCATCAGGTGTGTCGGTATGCATACATTTATTTATTTTAAAACGGTGTATTTATTTATTTATAAAAAACGTCAGCGCCACGCGCAGCGATTTGGCAGTTTATTTAGAAGGACTAGTCCATCTATGTTCTGAAAAGAGGAGGGGGGAGACGAAAAAATAATGTATGCTGTCTGAAAGCCACTGTAAGCGTGAACAATCAATTAAGACCTGAAATGGTTTATCAAATCTTTCCAATGATTGCTAAGCCAGAATCCATCTTCTCGGTTGAAATTGTCTCTGTGCTTGTATATGTGGATAGCCTCATGAACGAATCTTTCATGGTAGCCAGATGGCTTACAAAGAACCTCTGTCTTGGAAAAGTCAATGTCATGTGAGCCTACTGAATTATAACAATGATCTGCCACGGCTGAGGTGTTGGTTCTACCGTGTTTAAGGTCTGCTTTGTGTTCACGAATGCGGTCCGAGACAGGGCGTTTGGTTTCTCCAATGTAACTACTACCACAGAGGCAACTTAGTTTGTAGACACCAGGGTACTGTATGTCCGGAATCACATCTTTTACAGACGGAACCAGATCACGGATGTTATGTAATGTGTTGAAACGGACCTGGATCTTGTGTTTATTCAAGATTTTGGAGATCTTTTTTGTGATCCCCGCAATGTAGGGTAAAGTGATGGTTTTGAAAGGCTCCTCAAGAGGGTCCTTCTTCATGGTTTGAGTGATAGCTTTGTGGATTGTATAGTCGGAGTAACCATTAGCCTTAAGAGCTTGGTGTATGTGCTTGAGTTCACTGCCTATGTGTTCCTGGTCGGATATGCATTGGGCTCTATGATACAGAGTCTTGATGAGAGAGTTCTTCTCTGATGGATGGTGGTGGGAATTCGGTTTCAGATAAGCATACGTATGGGTAGCTTTCCTGTAGACAGAGTGGCTCATTGAACCATCAGTTCTCTTTTTAATGAGGACATCCAAAAAAGGTAGCTTGCCATCTTTTTCGACTTCCATGGTAAATCTGATGGCTGGGTGTATGGAATTGATGTGGTCGAAGAATTGGTCTAGAAACCAAACGCCATGTCTCGGGCCGCATTCGTGAACACAAAGCAGACCTTAAACACGGTAGGACCAACACCTCGGCCGTGGCAGATCATTGTTATAATTCAGTAACCTCACATGACATTGACTTTTCCAAGACAGAGGTTCTTTGTAAGCCATCTGGCTACCATGAGAGATTCGTTCATGAGGCTATCCACATATACAAGCACAGAGACAATTTCAACCGAGAAGATGAATTCTGGCTTAGCAATCATTGGAAAGATTTGATAAACCATTTCAGGTCTTAATTGATTGTTCACGCTTACAGTGGCTTTCAGACAGCATACATTAATTTTTCGTCTCCCCCCTCCTCTTTTCAGAACATAGATGGACTAGTCCTTCTAAATAAACTGCCAAATCGCTGCGCGTGGCGCTGACGTTTTCTATAAATAAATAAATACACCGTTTAAAAATAAATAAATTTATGCAAACCGACACACCTGATGACGACCGTTTGTGTTATGGTCGAAACGTCGTAATAATTTTTATTGTTTTATATGTATTTTATTATTTTATTGTTTCCCTTCAACGTGACTTTACCGAAAGAGCTAAGAATATGAATTACTGCAGTCACGAAAGCTTTAAATCAAAATTTAATACTACTGCTGTTAATGATTGAACTTGCTGGCTCTACTACAAGCTTCTGCAGCGGCTATGATGATGGTGTTACTGCTATGACTGCTCCAGTTTGTTCCAAACGTTGATGGTGATGTTACTGGTGCTACTACTGTTGCTTCTACTGCTGCCAGTGCCGGATTAAGCTAGTGTAGGGCCTGTAGCACATGTTATAAAGGGGCCCTAAAATACAAAAAAACACAAATATTAAGGGGCCCTAAAATACAAAAAAACACAAATATTAAAACACTCACTTTTTTACTTGCATAGTAAAATAATAGTATTTTTTCATTTGCTATACAGCCAGATAATACGACAAATCGCTAACCCTAAACACCCAGTCGTTCATAAAAGTTGAAGGCAGTATAGCACTATAGTAATAGAGCAAGTGCAGAATCACTGAAACCGAAATTGGTAGCTTGAAAGCATTTAGCGCGGGGCCCTTGAAAGTGCGGGGCCAGTAGCTACTCAATGTGTAGCTACTACTACATGTGTACATGTGTAGCTTAACTACTACATGTGTAGCTACTCAATGTGTAGCTACTACATGTGTAGCTACTCAATGTGTAGCTACTACACGTGTAGCTACTCAATGTGTAGCTACTACACGTGTAGCTACTTTTGCTATGAGGATAATCCGGCACTGACTGTTGCTGATGATAATACAACAGCGCTTCCGTGGCAAGCGCTAAGAGAAGTTATATAATTATGAGAAGTTCAGTATGTAATGCTATATAAAATACAGTATTGGCATTTTCTACACGATAATAAATTAGCTGGCAACACAATTTAAGAAAGATAATATGATCTGAAATTAAACAATTTTTTTGTGAATAATCACACAATTGCAACATTACATCTACACAGTGGATATCCTATGGATATACTGGGCCCTGTCAGGGCAATGTGGAATTTCCTACACTGGCTCATGGCCAACAATTGAGATGAGCACGACTGCATGTTCGGTATGAGCAAGTGAGACGTTTTGTCCTGATATGATTATATGCACAGCATTAATGTTATTTCTTGATGATATTGATGATGATGATGATAATGCTGCTGCTGCTAATGATGCCTAATCGCTGCTTGGTTATGTAAAACAAATATTCACAGATAGATTCTGCTAAATCTCTTGGCAAAAAAAAGTTCACATCTTATTGTTTGCTCATTTTAGTGGCGAAGGTCACTCTTTCAAACGAGAACAATCCTCGCCTCCCGAGATCCCAACCGGCTAACCAATTAAACTTGAATGTGCATGGGGCGTTTATAGTGACCTCCATCATCGGAACGTGGGATATCCGCCACTCGTTCAGGCCTGTAAACGGGAAGACGAGCACCGCCTCGATACTCATTTGAGCAGGAAATCACCTTTGTATGTTGAACTTCTTTCGCACCGTATGTGGCCAACCGTGTTGATCGGAGGTGCAACCTTTGGCCTTGACTTTCGATCTCGAATTTTGGCGACCAGCGCCGCTTTACCGGGAGCTGCGAGATGTTAACTACCTCATCTGGTATACAGGAGGTCGTGGGTTCGATCCTGACCCTGACGCCTGCTGCTGTATATTTGGAGTTTGCGTGTCTCTCTCCCCGTGCGGTCGTGTGGATTTTTCTCCGGGTTCTCCGGTTTTCCCCTCCACGTTTAGAATCAACGTGCCATTAGATGCATTTGGCCGCTGTACATTTCCACGCGACGATGATAAACTTCGTTGAGCTATCATTCGTGATAGGCAGGTCGCTTGTTTTTTTATTCTTCTGTAGTTTAGATGGAGTTGGGACGAACGAAGATGCCGCGGTGCGGAGCCAACGCGCTCCGCCAGGCAGTGCACCCATCGCACGGCCTCGCCTGGACAGACGGGCGCCGCGTGATGCTCGCCTGCCTGAGACTCCGCAGCGCCGCCCCCTACAAGGGCGGGCGAACAGACACGGCAGGTGATTGTGACGACGACGATGATGATGATGACTCGGTAACATTTGGTGGACGATGGTGTTTATGATGAGAGCAATATAGACGATGATGATGAAAGTAATGTTGTATTGATGGATGATAAATTGCAATTCATGTTTTGGAAATCACATTTGTGGATGATGATGATGGTGGTGAAGATAACACTGGTGGATGATTTTTATAATGATGATAATGATGATAATGATGATTGTGACAAAGTTGAAAATGAAAGTAACTTCAGAATCAGAATATTTATTTTTACTGGAGGAATCCGATGAGCTATAAAGCTCTTTTTCACAGATGTCCAGTAGTGGCGGGTCAGGAAGTTACAATAACAAACAATACAAAAACACAATAGGATTACAAACTTTGATGAATGACATGAGATCAACATGATTTGGAAGTAGCATTCGTGAACGATAACGATGATGATCATTGTCTACAAAGAAACACTGTACACAAACCCTGCAAATCCGGCCATCTCAAGGTGCGTAAACCATCATCACGTAAACTCTGGGTCATCCTCGCAGCAGCAGCGGCTTTAGGCTCAGCCATCGAACAAAAACGGTCACCACATCGCGCACTTTCAGGTGTGCTTCTGCGGCCGTCTGGAACGCTCCCCCGATATTAGGAAGCCACTGGAGTTATCGACATTTAAATAATTTTGATTGAAAACGAATTTCTTGAGAGCTGCTTTTTGTGTTCAGTTTGTTGTCCTTCCCCCGCACCTCAGATTAGCACGGTTATCTACGTACGGTGCGAAAGAAGTTTAACATACATAACGACCTCAACGCCAGCCACAGAAATTAACAACGGCACCCTTCCCTGTTCGCAGCGGGAGTCGGAGCCTCGTCCACAACCGGGCCTGTCCCGCCCGCCAGTATCACCTCTTGCTCACTGCTCGACAGCTCCATCATTGGCACGTTCGAGCACGTGTGGGACCTCTGCTGGGGCGCCTCCTGCTGCCCCGGCTCGGCGGCGCTGCTCGCCGTCCAGCACAAGCGCCACGCCACCGTGTGGCTCCTGCGCCGCGTGGGCCAACTCCCGTCGGACCCGGCGGCCAAAGGGTACGACCCTTGCGCGAACCTGCTCGTTTCGCAGACCTGCGAAGTGGCGGTGCGCCAGCGCATCCTGCCCCAGGGCTGCGTGTGGCACCCGAACAGCGACGCGCTGGCCGTGCTCACGGACGGCGAGGCGTGGCTGCTGACCGCTGCCCGCCAGGGCAACTCGCGGATCCGCGTCCCCTTGCCGCACCACCACCACCACCAGCAGCAGCAGCACCAGCGGCCGCACCAGCTGCGCCATCCCTGCTGCCCGCAAGCCGTGCGGTGCGCAGCGTGGAGCGACGGTGGCAGGCGCCTGGTTGTTGCCGCGGGTGCCTCCATCTTCTTGTACGAGTGGGACGAGGCGCGTCGGTCCCTGTCGCCCTCTGCCACCTGCCCCATATTCCACCTGGGAGGGTTCGCCTCTGCGGCGCTACCTGTGGGGGGGTCGCTCCTGGCGGTGGCGTTGGAGGCGCCGGGGCTGGCGGCGGTGGCGGCAGCGCCAACTCCGTGGCCTCACAATAAAACGGCGGGCAGGCGACTGGCGAGCTCTCAAGTCTCCCTCGCACGCGGTGTCGAACCGGGAATTCAAGAGATGAAGGCGCTGCCGGGCCACCCTAGGGTGAGAGATTCACGGCCACGGCGATATTTACTTCTACATGCATATAACGTAAGCGAATATTTCCCTTGATTTGTCATTTGTCAATGTACGTGAAGAGGGATTGGTTGTCACGGTCGTTAGCACACTGCATTATGACCTCCACATGCCACCTGAGTTCGATTCACAGCCATCGCTAACATCAGTGGCTAAATGACCACGGTGAGATTTTTCTAATTTTTCCTGATCGACAACTGTAACTGCCAATCGACTGTGGTGTTACACATTTATACGGCTGCTTGGATAGAGGCAGGTGGATGCAAGAAAATTGCCCCATTGTTTTAACTGCTGCACCAAAAGATTGGTTTGAACTGCTAACCCCTGGATTGCAAACCATAGACCGTGAATCATTACCCCACGGCAGCATCCCAATGCCGGTGATGATGACAACAATAATATTGTCGTATCGGTATATTTCTTTACCTTTTAATCCATCCGGCCCATGCCTTGCAGCACCGGAGCTCAGCGGACTTTTGTCACTGCGTGGAGTCCGCGAACTCTCTGGCCGTGGGGCCCCCACCCTCCACCCTCCTGCTCGTGTCGTTCGACGGCAGCAGCCACGGCACGTGTGCCACCCGTCGCGTGCTCATGCCGGGCCTCGCCGTGCCAGACTTGGTCGCCTTCGAGCCTCGCTCGGCGACGCTGGCCCTGGCGTCCAACGCCGCGGGCCTCGTGTTGCTCTTCACGCTGGGACCTCTGGGCTCCGTCGTGGCCAGCGGCAGCGTTCGCCTGGCGTCGGAAGAGAAGGTTAAAGGTAGCGGCCCAAAATCGCGCGTGTGGTGCAGCGCCCTGCGCGATCCGGCCAAGCACCGATGAGATTTGGAACGGACCGTACGATGTATAAACGACGCAATGCCTGATCCACAAATACGAAGGAGACGTCACAGCGATACACTCCGCTGCTCCTGACGTGCTTGCATGGCTTGACCACCTCAATGTGAAATTGTAAGTGGTTGTTCTGCATTTACATTAGCCATACGAAAGACGACTTTTGACATTAATGTGAAGGCGTTAATTAACTTGCGACTCTCGTCAGTCTGGAGTTCTCAGGTCAAAAGCAATTCGAGACCGGTCCAGATAACACTTTCCACTGATGTTAGCCGTGGTCAGGAATCTAACCCACCCGTGTAGATGGGTTCACCATCCAGTGTGATAACCATTATGCCGACCGGGACGTCAACAGTGGCCATCCTATGGATAGACTCAGCCCAAACATGAGAATATGGAAGTTCTTCCACCACTGGCTCACGGCTACATGAAGAGGAGATGAGCACCGCCTCAATGCTTGATTGAGCAGGAAATCACGTTGAGAAATCTAAAAGCGATCAACTAAACTTATTTAGTCTTGCCAGGAAGGCCCACTGAGATATATTGCTCTCTTTTCAGAAGCGACATGGCCACAAATGATAGCTCAACGAAGTGGCTTATCATGGAGAACTTTATACCAGCCAAATCCTCTAAACGCATGAGTCCAAATGCGAAGGGAAAAACCGGAGGACCAGGAGAAAAATCCACGTGACCACGGGGAGAGAGACACGCAAACTCCGAATATCCAGGCTTATCACACTCAAACACACCGCCCTGCTTGTGTCACTGCACTCTGCGCTCTTCCAGGCGTCTGCTTCTTTGACGATCGGACCCTGCTGTTGGCGTCGGGCAGACTCTGCCAGGGAGACGCGCCTCTCGTGTTGTCGTCACCGCCATCATCGACGTCGTCACCGGAGCCGTTCTCATACACGAGCAAATACTCCCTGCGCATCCTCGCACGCGACCTCCCGACCCCGCGGGCAGCGGAGGACGAACGCAGCACTTCCATCCAGAGCACCGTGTCCAGCTCAAGGTCCAGCCTCAACTACATGCAGGCACGTCGAGGCCCAGTGGCGGGAACTGTCGAGTGTTTAGGTGGTGAAACTTCACTGGGAGAGGTCCATAGGGTGGGCTAGGCGGGGGGGGGGGGGGAATTAAGACAGGGGACCCCATTTCATAGTTTGCACCAGGACCTACAGTGAAGGAAAAAAGTATTTGATCCCCTGCTGATTTTGTACGTTAGCCCACTGACAAAGAAATGATCAGTCTATAATTTTAATGGTAGGTATATTTGAACAGTGAGAGACAGAATAACAACAACAAAATCCAGAAAAACGCATGTCAAAAATGTTATAAATTGATTTGCATTTTAATGAGGGAAATAAGTATTTGACCCCTCTGAAAAACATGACTTAGTACTTGGTGGCAAAACCCTTGTTGGCAATCACAGAGGTCAGGCGTTTCTTGTAGTTGGCCACCAGGTTTGCACACATCTCAGGAGGGATTTTGTCCCACTCCTCTTTGCAGATCTTCTCCAATTCATTAAGGTTTCAAGGCTGACGTTTTGCAACTCGAACCTTCAGCTCCCTCCACAGATTTTCTATGGGATTAAGGTCTGGAGACTCGCTAGGCCACTCCAGGACCTTTATGTGCTTCTTCTTGAGCCACTCCTTTGTTGCCTTGGCCGTGTGTTTTGGGTAATTGTCATGCTGGAATACCCATCCACAACCCATTTTCAATGCCCTGGCTGAGGGAAGGAGGTTCTCACCCAAGATTTGACAGTACATGGCCCCGTCCATCGTCCCTTTGATGCGGTGAAGTTGTCCTGTCCCCTTAGCAGAAAAACACCCCCAAAGCATAATGTTTCCACCTCCATGTTTGACGGTGGGGATGGTGTTCTTGGGGTCATAGGCAGCATTCCTCCTCCTCCAAACACGGCGAGTTGAGTTGATGCCAAAAAGCTCCATTTTGGTCTCATCTGACCACAACACTTTCACCCAGTTGTCCTCTGAATCATTCAGATGTTCATTGGGAAACTTTAGACGGGCATGTATATGTGCTTTCTTGAGCAGGGGGACCTTGCGGGCACTGCAGGATTCCAGTCCTTCACGGCGTAGTGTGTTACCAATTGTTTTCTTGGTGACTATGGTCCCAGGTGCCTTGAGATCATTGACAAGATCCTCCCGTGTAGTTCTGGGCTGATTCCTCACCGTTCTCATGATCATTGCAACTCCACGAGGTGAGATCTTGCATGGAGCCCCAGGCCGAGGGAGATTGACAGTTATTTTGTGTTTCTTCCATTTGCAAATAATCGCACCAACTATTGTCACCTTCTCACCAAGCTGCTTGGCAATGGTCTTGTAGTCCATTCCAGCCTTGTGTAGGTCTACAATCTTGTCCCTTGCATCCTTGGAGAGCTCTTTAGTCTTGGCCATGGTGGAGAGTTTGGAGTCTGATTGATTGATTGATTGCTTCTGTGGACAGGTGTCTTTTATACAGGTAACAAGCTGAGATTAGGAGCACTCCCATTAAGAGTGTGCTCCTAATCTCAGCTCGTTACCTGTATAAAAGACACCTGGGAGCCAGAAATCTTTCTGATTGAGAGGGGGTCAAATACTTATTTCCCTCATTAAAATGCAAATCAATTTATAACATTTTTTACATGCGTTCTTCTGGATTTTGTTGTTGTTATTCTGTCTCTCACTGTTCAAATAAACATACCATTAAAATTATAGACTGATCATTTCTTTGTCAGTGGGCAAACGTACAAAATCAGCAGGGGATCAAATACTTTTTTCCCTCACTGTAATGCCTACCATGCTACGCCACTGTTGAGGTCGATAGATGTATGACCTTAATTTACCATCCATCAAAGCTGATATATTACAAAATATAAATTAGAATGCAATCATTATCAATAGTTGTCACTCGCCAGCAATTATAACCTACCAATAGTTTTGTTAAACCTTATTGCTAGCTATGCAGGTCATGTCACACCCTCTCAAAAACACAAGCTTACCCTTTTAAAAGAGGATGTTTTAGCAAATTGTTGTTGATTTATCCTTGCTTTGTACTAATTTTGGTTTCTCTTGGCCTTCCCGCAATACGGAACTCACTTTATTCCCAGGAGGCCGTACATGTTGCAGATAGGATGTGTAAAATAAATATGGAGATGTACGTTGAATGCTAGATATGTATAAGAGGCGTTTTGTCTGATTGTTTATGTCATTACTTATTATCCACATCGACGCTTAACGATAATTACAAGTAATCTTTAATTTAACGTGTGAAGCTGTTCAAAATCATAGACATCACTAATAATTGCAAGTAGAGGCCACAACGCAGTGTGTTATGAACAGCCCCTTTTTCCATCCACTGCTTGATGAGGACTTCACCACGCCCTGATTGATGGCCAAAGTGGTTATTTGAACATACATCACCAAGTGCGTGATCCACCAACCCTTGACCACCAAAGCAACGGATCACAGTCGAAGTGAGGAACAAAAGTGAATGGAGAAGGGTAGCATACAGACGTTAAAGCATAGACGTTCAGTACAACAGCAGATCCTGTTGCCCATGCCCTTTGCATCCCTGCACATATCTCTGCAGCCTATAACACCTGGGATATTGTTATATTTCACTGTTCTCTATGTTTACCCGCACGCGGTGTCTCTGTCCCCTTAGCAGCCAATGTTGCAAAACGTTTCGGTTTAGAAATAAGCCATGACTTCTGTACTCTTCAAGGAATTGGTCTCTAATGTAATTCCAGAAAAACACGATACTTGTTACGTGAACTGTACTCTGATAAATGAGGCTGAACATGGCTGAATAAAACACGACAACGGTGTGAATGAACAAAAGCGTCAATGGCCCGTACGGGGATCGAACCCGCGACCTTGGCGTTATTAGCACCACGCTCTAACCAGCTGAGCTAACCGGCCACATGTTCCCAATGTTTGAGTCGACGTGTAATGTCTACTTTCTATACCATTCCTTCCGTATACACGCTTGTCAAAGTATATGTTTCACGCGCCATCAGCCACACGTACCTCTTTGCCAGTGCACAATTTCGGCAGCATGAGTGCAATGCAAGCAAAACCCTGGATCGGTTTCAATATTTCAGTGTCTCACCAGCAGAGCACATGCTTGACCTGAACCAATGGTGGTGAAGTGCCGGATGTTTAGAGGCGAGGTAGGACCCTCTGTTAAGATACAAACTATTTACATTTTACCAGATAAGGCCCAGCGAATTTTTCAGGAGCGACTTGGCCACAAATGATAGCTGAACAAAGTGGCTTATCACGTGGACATTTATAGCAGCCAAATACTGTACTCTAAAGGCATGTTTCTAAATGTGGAGGGAAAAACCGGAGGACCCGGAGAAAAATCCACACGACCACGGGGAGAGAGACGCGCCAACTCTAAATATACAGCAGGCGTCAGTGTCGGAATCGAACCCACAACCTTCTGTACACCAGGCGAGGTAGTTAACATCTCGCCAACGACACAAATGACGCACAATGTTATTCACTGTAATGTGGGGCTGGAGACTACATGTACTATATACATACGGAGTTTTTTTTGTAAATATACCGGTGGATCTCAGCAGTGGACGTCCTCTCTCTGGCATATTCATCGCATTTGTCTGTCATTCCATCATTCGTCTCGACCACCTACCATCGTCCCTTTGAGCTGCCCTGTCCTTCCCAAGCCCACTTTAATCAACAGACAAAACGATGGCTCGAATTCCAATGTGTTCTCCAATATACGTATCCCTCCTCCTGCCCGAACGCATATCTCTTATCGTTCTTTATGAGCTTAGCTTATGTTTTCATTTTCATTACCGTATCGCTTAAAAAAATGTGTTTGACCATACTTCACGACGTTCGTGATTCACCAACCCTTGACCCCTAAAGCAACGGATCACAGTCGAAGTGAGTAACACAAGCGAATGGAGAAGGGTGGCATACAGACGTGAGAGCATAGACGTTCAGTACAACAGCGGATGCTGTTGCCCATGCACTTTGCATTCCTGCACATAGACCCCCAGCCTATAACACCGGGGATATTAAATCTTGATTTAAAGCTTTCGTGACTGCAGGAATTCATATTATTTGGGTCTTTCGGTAAAGTCACGTAGATAGGTTCAAAGAAAATAACAACAACAAAAACTACGACGTCGTGACTTTACCGAAAGACCCAAAGAATACCTGCATGGGATATTATTATATTTCACTGTTCTCTCTGTTCACCCACACGTGGTGTCTGTGTGTCCACTTCGCAGACTATGTTGCAAAACCTTTCGGTTTAGAAAGCAGCCATGACTACTGTCCTCTTCAAGGAATGTAATTCAAGAAAATCACGATGCTTTTTTACGTGACCCATAAGGTGATAAAGGAGGCTCAACATGTCTGAAAAAACACAACAACGGTGTGAATGAACAAAAGCGTCTATGGCCCGTACGGGGATCGAACCCGCGACCTTGGCGTTATTAGCACCACGCTCTAACCAGCTGAGCTAACCGGCCACATGTTCCCGATGTTTGAGTCGAACTGTAATGTCTACTTTCTATACCATTCCTTCCGTATACACGCTTGTCAAAGTATTTGTTTCACGTGCCATCAGCCACACGCACCTCTTTGCCAGTGCACAATTTCGGCAGCATGAGTGCAATGCAAGCAAAACTCTGGACCGGTTTCAATATTTCAGTGTCTCACCAGAAGAGCACATGCTTTACCTGAACCAATGGTGGTGAACTGCCGGATGTTTAGAGGCGAGGTAGGACCCTCTGTTAAGATACAAACTATTTAAATTTTACCAGATAAGGCCCACTGACTTTTCAGGAGCGACGTTGCCAAAAATGATAGCTGAACAAAGTAGCTTATCACGTGGACATTTATAGCAGCCAAATACTTTGCTCTAAAGGCGTGTTTCTAAATGTGGAGGGAAAAACCGGAGAACCCGGAGAAAAATCCACCCGACCACAGAGAGAGAGACACGCCAACTCTAAATATGCAGTAGGCGTCAGTGTTGGAATCGAACCCACAACCTCCTGTACACCACGC